CTTACTAAAATTTATGCTAGCTCACATCCAATCCACTACAAAATAAATCCTCTAAATTCACAATTCCTCCAAGAGCCACATTTATCCTTGTCCTTTTGTCTTTGTCATTTCTTGACATGTTATACATAGATGGATATCAAGCACAAAATGCAGACATCCCAGAACGAGTGAGATTTCCTGGCTGGAGCTGTATTTTATTCGGTATAACAGTCCATTCACTTGTTTCCAATCCCTTGTTTGGTTTGTGTGCTGGGCAAAGGGAGCGGAATTTGATGGAGGAATAATAAAGTGACAAACGAGTTAGTTGGAGAGATGATGCGGCTAATCCCTTAATTTACTTATGGCACACAGCCCTAAATCCACAACGACCGTGTTGAGAGGAGTGCATGAGCGTGCCTCCAATAAAAAGGGACACCGCAAAGCAGCAGCAGCAGCAGCAGCCAAAATCGATCCGAATTCACACCCTCATCCGGAAGCTAAAGCGTCCGAGTTTCAATAGTCGAGTGTATCGTAAGTAGTCTTCTTGATGCGTATCTAGGATTCTGGACTTTTTGAAAGAGTGTGGAAACGTGTTTTACGTTAAAAGAAAGTCGAGAGTATCAAAGGAAAGTATCAAAATATCAAAATGCCCCAAAATTACCTATTTTAGATGCATATCTCTTATCTTTAACTTTTAAAAAGAGTATGGAAATACCTTTTAGTCGTGAGTTTGAAACGTATCAAAATATCAAAATGCCCCAAAATTACGAATTTCACAAAGCTTATTTATTTATTACTCCTGAACACTTGTAACATTTTTTCTACTTGGTTTTAATTTGAACCCAGTACACAGCACTAGATTAGTAGCAACACGTAACAAACTCATTCATCAAGGGTGGAGATACATACTCGTATCATTTCAAGTTCAATGAAGCCCGATCCAACACATGTAAGTAATTTATTGCTTACACGCATACCCTTATTGCCTTTGTGAACACATTTTGTGTCACTTGTTGTTTCGCATGAGTCTGTCTGCACCCTTATTCAGTCCTTTCACCCTCCTCTCGTCGTCATCCCGTGATGATCGTCGGATCAGATCCGTATTATTATGGACCTCCACTGACTGCTGAAGAAGGGAAAAACACATTTTTATTTACTTCCCTTTATTTACTGCATCAAACAACTGCAAGTCACTTCACTATAACGCTTCAATTGTTGTAATACAACCGCCCTAGATCAACCTCGTCTCGGACCACTTGATTTAATTCAGACCTTCACATGTTCACTCTGATATTTTGACCGTGACGAATCGACGAATTAATAAGGTCACGCTTCTTTCTTTTATTAACCGTGACCGCCCACAAGGTCATAAAAGAAGGGACGCTGAATGGGAGCAATTACGAAAAAGGGACTCGCACTCCAAGGCCATTAATGAAATAATGATGGCATGTTAAAATACACCGTGGAGAGAAAGAGAGAGAGAAATTCTATCTCAACGTCTCCAATAACCCCTTGATTTACAGACTTTCTTAGGAAAATCCTATCAAAGAAAACAAGACATGCTATCCGTGGTGGGTGGATTGGATTGAGAAAACCAGGTCAAGAGTAGTATTTTGTCAAAGTTCTTATCAAAAAGTATAACAAACCAAGTAATCAAATCCACATGTACGAAACAAACTTACTTTTTAACCCAGCCAAGAGATTTCGTGGTTAGAAGGAGAGAGAGCATGCAAAAGATACATTATTCCTCGGAGAAAGATTCACTTTCGGCCAAAAATCTCAGAGATCTGTTATTTCCAAAGCAAACAAGGATTCAAATTCGTTCAGAGGAGGAAAATGGAGCACAATGGAGGAGGAGATCTCTAAACCCCTGCAGCGGATCCATTTTCCAGTTTGTTGGAATCAAATCAAGAAAAGAGGCAGCAGCAGCAAACACTGTCTTCCTACCTTATTTGCTTTGTCTGCCTTTGTACAATTTTGAATTTATCGTATTTACATTTTATGTCGAGATACTTTCCCTCCCCTGCTTTTTTTCCAACAAATATCAAACATGCATCACGTTATAACTTAAGTGCCATGTGACTCAAAATGGCAATTATTTTGCCATCATAATTTGCAAAAAAATTAAATATTCGCAATATTTAAACCGACCATTGTGACCAATATGTATGACTTACTTTTTCCCACACATATGGACTCTACGAAGCCAAGGTATTACAAAAGTGCCCACCACACCACATAATCGGATTTTGATTAGCTTTGCACATTCAAAACATGAATAAATCTGATTTTGTTGTCATAAATGTGATACATATTTCATGCCCGGTAAACGCTTTCTTTTCTTCCTTCCGCCTTTCTCTCTCTTTCCTTCGGAGAGCACGTACGTAGGAGTTTCAATAAAAGAAAGGAAGGTAAAAGCTTCAAAGGTTGAGTTTATCTGAATGCCAAGTGGGATGGGAAGCAGGAAACTTCTTCTCGTGGCTGGTGGGTGGTAGTAGCGATGCTGATTTTGTGGCCAGAAGAACGAAGAAAATGTGGTGGGTCGCATGTGGAGTGAAAGAATCGCTTACACGCATAAATCTTTGCATTTGTGAAGAGCTACGTACGTATTTTACTCGCAATTCGGTAGGACAGACATTAGCATTGCATGATGCTCGGTTTTGGTTTTGCCTACGCCACGACCATGATTGCCAGCCACGAAGGAAGGAAGGACGAATGTATTATTACAAAGTAAAAGCATCTGGTGAAGAGGAGCTAATTTTCACATCATTTGTCAAAGGTTATGAGCACACCTATCAAAGGTAACTGGAAATCTGTAGGGGTTCCCCATTTGCGCTCCCACCCTCCTGGCTAACTTATTGAAAAAAGATTAGCCACCTCAACCACTCATCCGCATTCTCTTCCTCCAGCTACTTTTTTCCACTTCATTGCACTTCCTTCAGGTATGATCTATGTTCATCGCTCGAGCGACCGACGACCGACCACTGTGTAGCGGACCAAGCGATTAAGTACATAATAATGCGGGGCTGCCTGTGATGATAAAGTGAAGGAGATTCTTCTTGTGGCCTAAAAGTGGGCACAATAGGGATGAATATAATGTTAAAATACATTAAATTTATCTTTGCACTTGGTGTATTAACAAGTGTTTGTTGCTACTTGTTTCGTGCAGCGTAAGAAGAACGCGAATGATCACTGTATGATTTATGAATCATTGGCTCGTGCTGGTTAAACTGGAACACGCAACTGAAATTAAATTGACTTGCAACCAGAAGCCTGACTCGGCACTATTTTTTTGTCAGCAGTCATAGACAAATCGGGTAATTAAGCCCGATGCTGTGTGAGGTGAGGAGAAATTGAGATAATTTCTATAAAACAAAAAATTGTACAAAAATCGCTACAAAAATTTGCTTTCTGATAAGTATTGACTGTCCAATGAGGTTGGTGAAAGCGAGTTAAATGTGAGTGTGCTTCATGTCATTTACAATTCAAGAATATTTGTACACAGTTTTGACGCAGCATTCATTTTGAAAAGTTAGTGTCTCTCGCTTGTCTCGCCCTAGCATCAATTCCATTCTTAATCCGTCGCAAAGACCAAAAAGCTTGGAAACTTTCATGTCGCCAAACTTAACTCGAAAATGAACTTTGTGATCTTCTATTTACCATTTATATCTGAGGGATTATATATATCTCTCTCTCCGGCCAGCCAGCCAGCCAAACTTTGCATTAAGGGAAAGCAAGCATTCTGGTCGGATGCCACACTGCGTTGCACAAAACCACGACCACTGCCGCCACATTATCGCCATCACCACCACCACCACCACCATGATCTCCTTCCTAAATTCCAACTAGATACATACAGTTAATACCCTTTCTCTCTGTATCCACCGCATCCCATCCGTCCAGGTTTCCAACATTTGAGGATTTCACGTATTTCACATTATTTCAAAGGTGTTTCCGGAAATATGAGGCAAAAAGATGCATCCATTTATCATCATCCGCACGCAAAGTTCTTGCCCAATTGGCTTGAATGATAAGTGTCAATAAGTTTAAAGTACATACAAAACCTGGCTGAAATATTTACAAACTTATTTGTACAATATTACTTGGAGGTCATGTTTTCTGCACTGAAGGCTCGCTCCTGCCAAGTATGCAGGATACATGGAGGACATGCACCGATGCATCGATGGTGGTGGGTGCTGATGAGTTTGTGAAGTGAATCCAATCCGTGAGAGATGAAAAGGCCAAGTGATGTCGACGGAGAAAGCAGATGTTGTTCTCTCATTGAGTCACACACACTCCCATTGAGATTATCTCTGGCTTATAAACAAACTAATCATCTCCTTTACATCCGACTGAATTCACATCACTCACTTTCCTCTCCTCTCTCCTCTCTCTCTCACTCTCTTCGTATTCATCATCAAATCCAAAAGCAGGCCAATAAGTAATAAGTAAGAGGGAGATGGAAGCCTTGTGGAATGAATAGAAAGTAACAATGCCTTACGTACCCTTTGAGGATGCTAATACCGATCTTATGTATGTATATCATTGTCCATACCTAGTGGTCGTCGTTCCAAGGATAAGTTGTGCAAGCCATGCATATGTAGTAGCATTATGTATTACATCACCTTCAATTTGCATTATTTTGATCCAGTTTTCTAATGAATTTGCAACATCTAAATAATATACGTACCGATTGTCAGACTTTGTGTTAATAATAGGCATTTTTCAAATTTCCATAACTCTCCCCCTTTTTCATCAGTTTAGGCAAAATTTTAAGACACAATGTGCAAAATATGGAGATGACACCCCAGAATGATTTTCAAGATGTGCTTCGGAAATTTTGACTCAACTTATGAGACAGGGAAAGTTACGGGAATAGCGTAGCTTTGCTAACTGCTTAATAATCGTCAAAAATTATATTTTTATTAGATTTCATATTGACATTTCACAGTGTCTAAAAATCATAATTCTAAATAAGGTAATTAAACTTGCTCTGGTTAATTTTTCCACCTTCTGAACAGACCACGCTCTCTCTGACTGTGTCAGTGATGGTGAATACAGCGTAAATGGGACCCATTAAGGGAAAGAGGTAGAAAATACTGTGACGACACAACGACGACTTAAAGACTGAAAGAAGGTAAGTGGAGCATTACGGAGGAGGAAATGCTGGTGGGAGTGAATTGACTGTTGGTGACTCTGATAGAATAGCTTGGTCGGTGGCAGTTTTTTTCCTCTCCCTTTTTAGACGACCACGTCTGAAGAATAAATGAGGCTGCTTACGCCCCACCTCATGACTCCATTTCTTGCTTAGCTTAACGTAAAAATGGAGAAAATGATCACTTTCCTTGAGAAATGTCTCTCCGGAGGATTCACATAGATTCCACTCGTCGTAAAAAGTATCAAAATTACGTCTCATTTTAATTTTATAATTTGAATATATTCAAATTTATTATTGTAATTTTTTTCAAAATGGAGATCCCATCGTGTATTATTTCCACGCAGAGAAAGGTATTTTCTGGTCATTCACTTCACCAAGTCCGCCTCTTAATGGAGACTTTCACTTTGGTCGTTGGCAGGGACAGACCTTTCTGCAGACTGGGCGACACAGTCGAGAAGGCGAAAGGTGATGGGACAGATGTGAAATTCACACGCATAACGGCACGGTAATTTCCCAATATGGGGAAAATACCAATTTACTGTATTTCAATACTAGGAACGTGAAAATAGGAATGTTTGCCGAGTAGCCAAGCTAAATTTAAAGGCAAGGCTGCATGGTCAGAATATGTAGTCGATACTGCAATAATTTACGTATTTACCTTCTCTGCTGACTCTATACATCAAAATGTCAAGGGCTGACTTAATCTGGCTTAAGCAGCAAATGTAAATAGTTGAAAAAATCTATCGAAAAAGTGGGAATGTTTCTCTACATTTAAAAAACCCCATATATTTATCAGCAGGGCGTACCCTAAAACTCGGTGTTTTGACTCTGGTAGTAACCACTCCTTTCTTTTCATACCCGAATCGGGTAAAAGCCAGAAAGTCAACCCTCTTCGGATTTCTATTGGTTGCTGCTTAGACGTACGTACACATTTGTCCTGAAACCCGAGTAAGACGGAAATGGGAGGGAATAAGGGTAAAGTAAGCATCATAAATAACCCGATATCCACTCACTTATCTATCCTATTATGTAATAATTATATGCATAATGTATCACTTGGCAAGACTCCTAACTTATTTTATTTAGAATGATATAATCCCAGTTTTCCAAGTAAGTAATGTTCAAAATTAATGACTTCCATTTTCATTCATAACTCGAACCCATCCCGTTTCCACTTTCTCTCTTTACTTTCACCGACGAGACGATGAGCAAGACATTGAATTTTCCTAATGGATTCTTCAGAATAAATGAAGTGGAAGGAGGGAGAGAACTTCATAATAATTTCAATTAATTTGTCACCACTCCAAGAACCACTCAAGAACCAACTCCCAGCAACGTTTTACATTCCCACCTTCGGGAAGAAGCAAACAACAAAAAGTTCCTGACAAACCTCGACCCTTTTACTCCCGAACGTAGATACTTCTAGGTATGTAAATGATGTAAATTCTGCCATACTTTTCAGTCATAAAGGGAGACAAATTCACTCACTTTGCTAATAACGTTTCATCACTCAATGTCACATTTACATTCAATTCACTTTCACCACCTGCCTCCATTATTTTCTGGCTTGTCCTACCAAACTTTAATTTGCTGCAGGCACCAGGAATTCACCAGAAGATGATTATGTATTTGTACGGAGATTGGTTAATTTACTTAAGGATTGAGTTTTGATGTTGGACAGACGGAAATCTTGACATGGAGAAAGCACGGAGCAGCAGGAAAGAAGAGATGCAAAGAAGCTTACATATTTTTGTGTGCATTTGTACATAAGCAACGGGGTGACTGTTTTAATCAGCAGTAAGCATTAATATGAAATTTAACATTCTAGTAATTTACATACGTACACTTCCTTATTTTGGAAATACGACTAATCAAATGCAAACCAAAACCACGATTACTAAATTATTGACCACGATTTGCAGGTTGGACCATGATGTACAAACCTGGAATGCGATTACAGAATTCCAAGAACAAGAACATGGATTGAGTTTTATGAATTGAAAGACGTTTGGTCACGTACACATTTACCTGGCCGAATCACAAATAAATTTCCGTACACCCAAAAACAAGCTACGGACACACATACATCCGTACATATTTCTGATACGAATGAAGTAGAGCGAGGCTCCTCAACCTACGCAAACAGACTTATGTAACGTGACACGTTTATTTACAGATCGCCAAGCATTGTTGGAAATGCCAATTATCGGCCTAATCCAAACCACTGCTCGCATACAACAGTAAAAGAGAATCAAAAGGTAAAAAAGCGGAAGAGACCCCATTATTTCTTATATAAGGATATATTCACCAAAATGGGATGAATGGTGCGGTGTAGTCCCTTAATTCGAGTACTTTTGTATGTATGTATCATGTATTTTTCACCATGTGGGCGCATACATATTGGTCAGTGCAAAGCAATGTTTTATTTACGCGTGTCGGATATTATTAGTTATCAACGATTCAGAGAAATGAATGAGGTCCTTTCACTTGGATAAGTTATTACATAAATTCTACTTCCAGATCAGAGGGCTCGACACACTTGTGTACTTTTACCTCACGCACACCTACTGATTAGACTAAAAACATGAAATTCAAGGGATTTATTGCAGGACAAACGCTAATACCAGGAAATGACTGGGACTCTTTATTTCCGAATTTCTCCTCAAAATTCATCCCACCTCCTCCTTTTCCGTGTCAGAGAAATGACCAAATTCTCTGATTCGATGGAGAGAAGCCAAAACCAGCCCCGAGAAAGGGAGCACCACATCCTCCCAGAAGCAGGCAGCCTAGTCGTCATCATCGTCATTGTTAACATCACACGTATACCATGAACCAACCAACTCGGCAAAGTTTCGAAGTGCTCAAGCCAAGTAGTCCTCCAGCCCACGTTGTACGTACGTTGCTTGCTGCTGAGTTTGTTGGTAGAAAGTTGGTGTAAGCTCCCTTTTCACCACCACCAGATATAAAAGCAACTTGTGTCTCACTTTCCAACTTAGTTTCACTTTAACTCTCCCTTTTACTTCCTCCATGAAAAGGATCTTGTTCGTAAAAAATTTAGCATAGAATTTCAGCTTTTAAGAATTCTTTGGTACTATCTAAGAGTGCAGTGTTTTAATTAAAGATTAACTAATTGTTGGGAATTGGCGTGCAACTTAAGCAAGCAAAATTCGTTGTCAAATGGGTACAGGTAATATTAATAAACATATAAAACATTCTGATATTTAAGCTAGTTTACATGCAAATAATGTTGGATTAGTATTTAGCATAAGTAACATTGTGTTTTGAATAGGTGACCGATTACTGGATATTCCATGCAAGGTTTGTGGCGACAGGAGTAGTGGAAAACATTATGGAATCTACTCTTGCGATGGTTAGTTTCTCAAATTATTAATTACACGATATCCATATTTCATTGGAAAGCATCATTACTAAAAACGACGCATTCTTGGAACGTGTTTCACTCAGGTTGCTCTGGATTCTTTAAACGGAGCATCCACCGAAACAGGCAGTACACTTGCAAGGCTCAAGGAGACCTCAAGGGACGATGTCCGATTGATAAAACACACAGAAATCAGTGTAGAGCCTGCCGATTAAGGAAGTGCTTCGAGTCATCCATGAACAAAGATGGTAAGGAAGCAATTATTTGTTATACGTGCATATGTACATTGTACACATCATGTTACTAGATACTGCAGGGGGGAAGTTGAGACTAAATAAAAAATCCTGTGAGGCATTACATTGTCAAGTAACAAATCAAATTAGATAAAATACCGTAGCATGATTACAAGCAGTTTGTCAGCAGAATTACAAAGGCTGTGACATTTTTGGGGAAAGTTGTAAAGCCCAAAAGTTAGTTTTCTTCCCGAGGTAAGATGAGACGCCATAAGTAGCCTGACTTGCAACAATGGGGAAAGTTAATTCACTTGGTTGGTTTCCTTTGTTATGACGAGGAAGAAATTTACGAGGGGATAAAACTATTGTCGTTGTTTACCTGGTTTTTTGAGATTCTCTTCTGAGAAATTGAGACGAACTTGAGAATTTAGTTCTTCTCCAATAGCCGTGCAACATGAACGCGGACCACGGAAGCCGAAACCTCCGAAAGACCTCTTGTCCTCCCTGCACGGTCATGGGCACCACCATCAACACCACCACACCCACCAGCACCACAACCATCATCACGGTCAAGGAAATAATCACGGAGGATCTGGCGGCGGAAATGCTGGAGGCTTGACGCTCACCCAAATTCCATCCAGCAATGGAAGAACACCTTCTTTGACCTTGTTAAGCCCATTGGAAAGAGGATGCGGCGGGGGTCTCTCTACGGTGACTTCGAATGCTCCATTTTCACTTCGGACTGGGAATTTAAACGGGGGTGTAGTTTCCACAGGTATTAAAGAGCATTTACATAGATTTCTTATTTTCATAATGATCAGAGGTCGGATATGTATTTCTTTACAAATTTTATCTGATGACGACTGACGGTCAAACTTTGTGGGTGTATCCTCTTATAGATCACGAAAATTTCAAAATATTTTAGTATATTGTTACATATTTCTAGGTTTTCGGACATGTATTTATACATGTTTCCGCTAGTATTTGAAAAACACGTAAATATTTTAGACATTTTACGAGACAAATTTTTTTCTTAAAGAAATTCAACCGCAAAAAATGCAAAAAAATATTCAGAAGTATACATTTTTCGAAAATGTATATTTTGATCAATTTGATCCTTTTTTGTGTACATATTTCATAACTATTTTGGCGTTTTTTTCATGAATACATATCCGCCCTCTGATAACCACAAGACATCTGCCATTTTCTGTATGCACATTCTTATGTACAGGTTCATCCTCTGGGTCTAACTCCAACTCCACCTCGAGTAACTCGACCACCCCGGGAAGTGGTCGTGGGGGGAATAACACGACGACCTCATCGCCCATGGTGGGTGGCGGTGTGAGTAATGTGATAAGTCTGCTTCCTTCTTCTTCCTCTTCTTCAGCTGCTGCAGCTCATCATCTCAGTAATTTGCATGCCACGGCGCAACACATTTTCGCCCAACATGCCGCCGCCGCTGCGGCTGCTGCGGCCGCGAGTGGGGGTGGTCTTGAGGGTCACAATGCTTTCAATCCTGCCGCTGCGACCCCTTTCTTTGTTCACCACTCGGCTGGACTCTTGCAAATTCTCATGGCTGCTGAAAGATGCCAAGTAATACGATGACGACCTCTTATGCCTTCTTTTTCACCTGTATTATGCATTAAATTTGTATGCAAAAGAATCAAGTACACTGGTATTTATGGCTGCTTGTATCGACAGGAATTCGTGTGGGGACCCAGGACCCCAGAGGCGTTAACGGCCAATGAGCGTCTTGTTAATCCCTCCTCATTAATAAGTTGGAGTCCGACGTGGGAAACGGTGCAGGTGCGTGTACGTCTCGAGATTAATTTAATTATAAATCTACAATGTGGATGTCAACAATAATGATTCGTTTTTTATATTAGGAGACATCGGCGAGACTATTATTCATGGCGGTGCGATGGGTGAAATGTCTCGGCCCGTTCCAAACACTGTCGAAACGAGATCAAGTAAAATCAAGGAAATATTCAAATATTTAGATGGCGTATGAAATTCTATGAAATTTGTGCATTTGCAGCTGCTCTTATTAAGTGAATCATGGAAAGAATTGTTCCTCCTTCATTTGGCTCAGTGGTCAATCCCTCTGGATCTCCCGGCACTACTTGGCTCGCCCAAAGCACAAGATCGTTTCCCCAAAGATCCCATGATTCTGCAAGACATCAAAAACATACAGGTTCGCCATCAGTACAATGTCATGAGGTTCAATACGTCTTATTTATGTGGATGCCAAATAATATGTATATCTACATAATTGCCTACAGGAGATCATGGGAAGATTTAGACAACTTTCACCGGACGTGAGTGAATGTGGGTGCATGAAAGCAATCATTTTATTGAAGCCAGGTATGTAATATCACTTACGAGTAGAGATATGTGACTTATCTGATTTCCTCCTTTGCTAATAATTAGTCCTCTAATCTTTTTTATAGAAACACCAGGACTTCTTGACCTCCAACCAGTCGAAATGCTCCAAGACCAAGCACAATGCATTCTCAATGATTATATTCGAGGGCGCTATGCCCGTCAACCTACTCGATTTGGAAGGATGCTTCTGCTGGTACCCAGTTTACGGGCAGTTCGACAACACACGGTGGAAAGCTTATTTTTTAAAGATACCATTGGAGAAATCCCAATGCAACGGTTACTCATAGATATGTACAGTATGGATAAGTTTACCTAGTAGTTCAGTACAGGCGTACTTAGGTAACCCTAATTATATAATAATAGCTTGATACCCGCATGTGTGTATTTAATAATTACGACATTCATTTAATATGCATTTCACTGATCGCCATCAAAAAATCTTAAATAGCGCAAGATTACAAATTTAGTTAGCGAATAAAAATCTGAATGACATTTACATTTAAATTTATCCATTTTATTGCATAATTAATGACATCTTGAGCACAGGTTTATTTCACTTTAGGTTATGGTGAACAAGAAACCTTCTCTGCTATATTTATAATAGCATTTTGACTTTAGTACGTGAAAAATCGCGTCCTTACCTCGAACGGTAAGGACGCCAAGGGCGTCATGGGGACTCAACGTGCCTTGATTTCATCCTATCTGATCCTTTGCGAAACGGAAACTACCCAAGGTTGCTTGACAACTTTAGTAATAATTACAAGGTTGCGACAATTGCTTCGACGCCTAAAAAACTTCAATTTTCGAAAACCCTGGTACCTTTTGGAACCAGTGTGCGTCGCACAAACTGTCGCCCAGAAACAAACCGCACAAAAATTGTCAACACTCACATTTCGTGCTCTCGATTCTCAAATTAATTTTTTAATCATGGATGTATTATAATAAATTGTCAAGCAATCTTGCACTCAAAGTTAGTGAGGAGAAAAGACCAAAATGTCTTTTCTCCTCACTGAAAGACTGCTGGAAGAAAATAAGAAAACTGCCTTTTCTAATTAAAAAAGATGATTATCCAAGGGTTTTTACGAGCCTGTCGACAAAAAATTGAAGGAACATAAAACTTGATTTGTTAGGGAAGAAAGAAAATAATACGCGGTAGGTGGGTCAAAAGGTCTAGTTGTCTTTGATAGTTTAACTTTAACACTTTATCATAATGCTAAAAAATAATTCTTCAGTTTGTAACTGGAGTTAAACATCACCATTTCTTTTCTTTCTTGTTTTAGGAACGACGACTGATTACTGAAATGTTGCTTGATAAGGATTTGGTGCTATCCGGATCGTCCATTGAAGATCAATAGGAAGTACTCGTACAAATTGTTCAATATGCACAGCCCGGACAATTTTTGGATTTATTTTATACCATCCAACGAAAATATTGATTATTCCAACCAAAATTAATAACTTCACCAATCATGACTTGTGCAACCAATTGATTTATTTTACAACGCTTTTCATTAAAATTTCCAACGAAATAATTTGATGTTTAGCCCGAACCAGGGCTTATATGTAATTGTCATGTCCGTCCGTCTAACTGTCCTTCCATAACTTGCGAACAAGATGACCGATTCACTTGAAATTTTTACCATATATGTAGAGGGTGTCTTAAAAGTTTCTCCCGATGACTTTTTCCCTCGATTGTTGTTTATAACTTTTGTATTTGTAAGTTTTGTTATATTTGAAATACAACATATATAACATATATGTATATGAAGTATAACATATATTTGAAATATTTTTTGCAATACGATACCAAACGGAAAGTCTTCTCGCCAGCACACGGAAATAAGCACCATATTATTATCCAGTACAGGGTATGGGGTTTATTGAAAATGTAAACACCCGAAAGAAGCCAGGATTTCGAAGCATCAAAAAATATTTTAAACCTAAACGCAGTTAAGATAGTTCGAGGATACTCTCCCCATCAAAAAATGCTAACTTGCATACAAACTTGCAAGGAACTTGGCTAGTTCTGCTATAAAAACTGGAATCTTGCACAATAGCACTTTTTGAAGAATTGACATAATTTGATAATTATTTTAGGGACTAACCCGGCATGACAAAGGAGGGTGCAAGAGATACAGGGGTCATTATCAAACGCTTTTGAACCCAAGTGATATCGGTTAAACTTCGCAAAACGGATGGAAAAAATAGATTTTCGACTATTTTTCTATTTTTTCCACCATAAGCTCAAATGTCGGGGCAACCTGAGACATTTGGCGCTATATGTGGAACATATAGTATGTTGTCAGGCACTCTTATGGGAAATGTCGGGGGCTCGTACAAAAAAACGGTTGGGCGTAAAGAGATGCCGTAAAGTGCATTAGATGCCTCTCGAAAAGTTTTAAAATGACTTTTTTCTAATTCATGGTATCTTGAACCATTTTCAAGAAATTCAATAAAAACCGATTTTTCGGTTTCGAAATCATAAATGTTTCGCTGAATGAATTGGGTGCATAACACAAAGTTGTATGTAATAGCAAATATGTTCATAACCGCATTATCTATAATATTTACTCGAAAATTTTTTCGAAATAATGCTAGGTACAGGCGGTAAGTTCAAATTTCCGAAAAATTTTGCAATTTCGGCTACCAATTTCTCCACTGAGCTACAGCCTAGACGATACATTTTGGTAACCTAAACTAAACGGGATCGTATTGGGGAAGGTCCCGGCTAGTGCCCTCGACTGATTGACTTTTTCGAAATAAGCCTTGGTTTTTAAGATATGGCGCGATTTCTAAAATTAAAATCCATAACTCATATTTGGTATGAAAAAATAGAAATTTTCAGCGGTTTTGCCGCATAGCTTGTGACACCTGCGGAAGGCGATGACGAGCCGATATATAAGTATGACAAAAATTGGGCAGAGGGGTGACCCCTACCGATTTCTTAGAGTTTATATAATCAGTTGAAATTTAGAATGGAGTCGAAAAATAACTTATGATTAGCATATGGGAGAGTTGAATTTCGAAATTTTTATATGGGCGACCTCCTCTGGTCATTGGAAGTAGTCAAGGGGAGGGGATAGTAAATCTTTTTAGAATTTGGAACCAAGTATTTATGTAATAGGAATAATTGATGATAGTGCAGGAATTAATGCAAAGTAGAAGCACACAATATGTGTGGATATGTGTGTACAACATCAATAATTTGGGTGGATGCTTTTACATTTTCGCTGGAAAGAAAAATTAAACCCGTCGCACATTGCATTATTGGCGATATCATTAATTTTGGTTGGATAAAACTGTATTTTCGTTGGACCGTTTAATTGGCACCCACAATTTTTCAATCATCGTGGTGGATCAGACTTCCGTGGTGATTCAAATGCAGATTAAGGAGGAAATGGACCTTTATCTGCACAACATTGCCGGCTGTGCACCGGTTGACGTTGCTTGTCTGAAGGATAGACTTCCTGTACCTGTCAAATTTGAGGATGGGTATGATCATGAATGGGACCTTGCGACATGTCACAACACCAATAAGAAGCATTGTGCCAAATGTCATGCAAATCGTACAAGAAATTATGGCATGGCGACGAAGTTTGTCGAAAACAAGGTGGTGGTGGCGGGTGTGTCCTTGCGACATGTCGATAACACCAAAAAGAAGTATCTGTCGAAGTTTGATGGAAATCGGACGAGAAATGGCGAAGTTATGGCATGGCGACGAAATTTGGCGAAAACACGGTGGTGGCGGTGGGAGTGACCTGGCGACATGTCGATAACACCAATAAGAAGCATTGTGCTCAATTTCATGCAAATCGGCCGAGAAATGGCGAAATTATGGCATGGCGACGAAATTTGGCGAAAACAAGGAGGTGGCGACGGGTGGGACCTTGCGACACGTCGACAACACTAATAAGAAGCATTGTGCTCAATTTCATGCAAATCGGCCGCGAAATGGGGAAATTATGGCATGGCGACGAAATCTGGCGAAAACAAAGGGGTGGCGACGGGTGGGACCTTGCGACACGTCGACAACACTAATAAGAAGCATTGTGCTCAATTTCATGCAAATCGGTCGAGAAATGGCGAAATTATGGCATGGCGACGAAATTTTGCGAAAACAAGGTGGTGGCGGTGGGTGTGACCTGGCGACATGTTGATAACACCAAAAAGAAGTATCTGTCGAAGTTTGATGGAAATCGGACGAGAAATGGCGAAGTTATGGCATGGCGACGAAATTTGGCGAAAACAAGGTGGTGGCGGTGGGTGTGACCTGGCGACATGTCGATAACACCAAAAAGAAGTATCTGTTGAAGTTTGATGGAAATCGGACGAGAAATGGCGAAGTTATGGCATGGCGACGAAATCTGGCGAAAACAAGGGGGTGGCGACGGGTGGGACCTTGCGACATGTCACAACACCAATAAGAAGCATTGTGCCAAATGTCATGCAAATCGTACAAGAGATTATGGCATGGCGACGAAGTTTGTCGAAAACAAGGTGGTGGTGGCGGGTGTGTCCTTGCGACATGTCGATAACACCAAAAAGAAGTATCTGTCGAAGTTTGATGGAAATCGGACGAGAAATGGCGAAGTTATGGCATGGCGACGAAATCTGGCGAAAACAAGGGGGTGGCGACGGGTGGGACCTTGCGACATGTCACAACACCAATAAGAAGCATTGTGCCAAATGTCATGCAAATCGTACAAGAGATTATGGCATGGCGACGAAGTTTGTCGAAAACAAGGTGGTGGTGGCGGGTGTGTCCTTGCGACATGTCGATAACACCAAAAAGAAGTATCTGTCGAAGTTTGATGGAAATCGGACGAGAAATGGCGAAGTTATGGCATGGCGACGAAATCTGGCGAAAACAAGGGGGTGGCGACGGGTGGGACCTTGCGACATGTCACAACACCAATAAGAAGCATTGTGCTCAATTTCATGCAAATCGGCCGAGAAATGGCGAAATTATGGCATGGCGACGAAATTTGGCGAAAACAAGGAGGTGGCGACGGGTGGGACCTTGCGACACGTCGACAACACTAATAAGAAGAATTGTGCTCAATTTCATGCAAATCGGCCGAGAAATGGCGAAATTATGGCATGGCGACGAAATTTGGCGAAAACAAGGAGGTGGCGACGGGTGGGACCTTGCGACACGTCGACAACACTAATAAGAAGAATTGTGCTCAATTTCATGCAAATCGGCCGAGAAATGGCGAAATTATGGCATGGCGACGAAATTTGGCGAAAACAAGGAGGTGGCGACGGGTGGGACCTTGCGACACGTCGACAACACTAATAAGAAGAATTGTGCTCAATTTCATGCAAATCGGCCGAGAAATGGCGAAATTATGGCATGGCGACGAAATTTGGCGAAAACAAGGTGGTGGCGGTGGGTGTGACCTGGCGACATGTCGATAACACCAAAAAGAAGTATCTGTCGAAGTTTGATGGAAATCGGACGAGAAATGGCGAAGTTATGGCATGGCGACGAAATCTGGCGAAAACAAGGGGGTGGCGACGGGTGGGACCTTGCGACATGTCGACAACACCAATAAAAAGTGTCTGTCAAAATTTCATGCAAATCGGCCGAGAAATTGCGAAATTATGGCATGGCGACAAAGGTTGTCGCCATGCAATGCATTTATAAGGGGGGAGCTGTTAGCCGCCCTAAGAAGGGCGTTTCCAGAGCACACGACGAGGACGTCGCTCCCTCGTGCTCCACGCGGGTCGGCCCCCACTTGCGCCCGGGGGGTCTACCTCCACCGACCGGGAAAGCCCTGCCCACGTCGCCGCCTCTGCAACCGCGTTCCCCTAGGGGGCCCGTCTGACCCTCGCCTTACGAGGTGGGAGCGCACCCGTAAATCGGCCCCCATTAAGGCTTCGAACTCGGGAACCCGACCGGCCCCAAGGGGAGTGCAAGCTAAAGAGCCCGGTCACCCAAGGGTTGGAGGTAGAGAGCCCCTCTCACTTGCCAAGCGCCACCCGCACTTTTGGCAAGCCCCGCCGGCTCCCCACCCGGTGAGCCTGCTTGGTGGGAGGAGCATTGGAGGGGGGACCTTCCCGTAAGGCTCTCCCCTTGCAGCGTTGCTCCCCCGGACCACCCCTCCAACGGGAGGAGAGTCGGGGCTGTGGGACAAACCACGGGTGGACCCGACTCCCCAGAGAGGCAGGGCGGTCCAGGGGCGCAGCTGCAATGGGGAGCTCACCCAGGGACACGTCCCCCACGAGCGCCTCCCGCAGACTGACAAAAATTTGTGGTGCAGCTCCTTTTATACCCTCCGGAGGGCGGTGAAAGTTCTGCTATAAATAGAGACTATGTAGATTAATAGCACCTGAGATAAGCGGCCTCACATGTTCCGTGTTAATAATTATATTATAATTACATAAGTTATATAGTATATAGAACACACTTGCTATAGGTATACAGCTGTATACCTGTGTATAGCTATATATAACATATATAAATATGTACATAGTATATATATATATTTAGTATATACATACACATATATATACATACACATATGTTATATATAGCTATTTTGAATTTTATTGTACCAAATACATTTTACTAATGCACTTTACGCCTGTTTTTTGTCAAATAAACAATGCGTATTATGCATTGGTGAAAATTTTAACTAAATATAGGTTTTTAGCCTGAATCAGGGCTTATGTACCCGTTATGTCCGTCTGTCCGTCTTGCGATAACTGTCGTAAAACTAATCGTAGCAATATAAATTAAAATAGGAAAAATTTTCCGAGTTTATTAAGTTCGTGTTTTGTAATGGTTTATATACCAAAAATAAATCACAAAATTATATGCACATCGTTCATTACGAGTCCTGCTCTCAGAATAATGCCATCTTACAAGGCTCTGCAAAATTGTTGCCTTTTTAGCCTAAGTCAGTTCTTATGGAACCATCATGTCCTTCCGGAACACGATAGCCAAAATGGCTGAACCGATTTAGCTGAAATTTTCAGAACGGGTGAGACCGTAGGGCTTGATCCATACAGATTTTTCAAAAATATGTCACTCCACAAGTTTAAATGCATTTGGTACATTACAATTTCATGGAAAATGGTTGGTTTGACCGACAACCACAGAGTCTGACTCGGGCTCACTGGAGATTTCAAGTTTAATTTTCGAAATAGTACTCTCGAGATTTTTAGCTTAAAAAATCAATCAAAAAATTACGATGATTTCATCCTCAAGAATTAAGTCTCTATGTCTGCCGATTCAAAAGTTATTAAGGGTCAAAGTAGTTGGAGACTCAAACGCCCTTTTTGAACCAACGATTTTAAAATGAATTTTTAATTTGTAACTCGACCATTTGTCGCAACCGTTAAGGGAGACTAACGTTACCTAGATACTTAAAGTCAAGCAATCGTGCCCTGGTACCTTTTGGAACCAGGGTGCACTCACATTTCGTTCCCACGAATTAATTTTTGACCATGGATACAAGAACTAGTGCAGTTGTAAATGTGAAATCGGCTATTTCGGTGCAGGATTCTTCAATCACTAACGGCTACGCCGGTGTTTCTGGGTTCGGCCGTAACTCAGAAAAAATGGAAATTTTCATTTTTTGAAAAGCTGGATATTATAATATCCAGCCTTGTGGATATTATAATATCCAGCCTTGTGTATCCATGCGTCTGTCTGTCTGTCTGTACATAAATTCCACAAATTCATGCTTTTACGTAAACTGCTTGTTCGTTACAATTTAACTAACGTAAAAATTAAATAAGAAATTAAAATACTCAATAAAAACCAATAGTGCAGGCAGACTCCATATAGCCGAGTCAGGGATAGAGTCCCTTACTCGGTGAGTTCTAAATTTTTCTCCGAATTGACCGACATAAGCCAGAAGCCATTAAGTATCACCGTGCCGGATTTAATGTTTTTAAAGCAATTTCTAAAAATCTGGATGGTTCACCCGTCACCCCATAGAGTCGCTCCAGATAAAAATTTCACCAATTTCATTCCATATTTTTCCTTTAAGATACATAAGCAACATTTCAGCTCGATATGACGATTTTGAAAAATCAGCATTCCAATGCTAAATATCCAATCTACATTCGGCATGATGGGTCAAGTGGTTGGTCGGTGGGGGTCATTTACATAACTAACAATGCGATGACGCCAGCAGTCTCGCTCCGATTTTGACGAAACCACGAAAATTATGTAGCATTAGATAAATCATTAAGCACGTGTTTCAGGATTTTTCATAATGCTCAGTTTAAACGAAATTATGACGGGATCCGTGAGCGAGAATTTTCAATTTTACTGTGAAAATTTTCTCGCGAGGGAGGAAAGTACAGATTCTCAGATTCCATCATACATATCTTGTTTAAACTTAAAATTCGTGGGCGTGACGTGGTTTTTTCCGAGAATTTCGGAATTTAAATTTCTCGCACAAATGTCTAATTATGATAAATTTTGAAGATTTTGAAAAATGTAACAAACGAGAACTTTTTGAAAAGCAGATTTTTCAATGGAATTGTGTGGGAAAGGTTCTTGCATTTTTGAAGTCGGGTCAAAATTGGAAAAATTTACAGCGCTATTTTAAAAAATCTTGACTTTGGCTGATTTTTGTCCAACTGAAGACTTCCACTAATTTCCTTGTGTGAACAGTTTAAAATTGGTCCGGTCAAAATCGAAAAAAACACTTCATGCCCACGCATTTTAAGTTTAATTCTGATGGAATCCGTAAGCGACAATCTGTATTTATCTCCCTCGCGAGAAAAATGTCACACAAAAATAGAAATTCTCGCTCACGGCCTTAAAAGGCCTAAAACTGAAGCACGTACAGATTTTGGTAAAAATGTTAACACGTTGTATGGCATGCCTCGAATCTCGAAAGAATAATAAATAAACATGTGCACGTAAAAATATTTTTATGCAAAATAGAGTAATTATTTAGTCATCAATTAAAAATAGAAAAATAATTTAAAAAAATTTTCGTCGAGAGTAAATGGTCCAATTCATCCTCAGAATAATCAGAATACAATAAAATATGTAGTGCACTTGATATCGAATTTATCGTTAACTACTACTCCCCTGACTCGGGCTTCATGGCCAGTGATTGGCAAAATCCACCAAATTATCAAATAATTAAAAATTAATTCGTTGACTGAGTTACGGCCGCACCCTAAGAGGAAACGAATTGATTCATCCTGATTTCGGTGTTCTGTTAGAAATTTTTATGCTTTAATTACCTTTAGCGACGGCCCAAATAATGTAACAACAAATAATGGAGGTTTTTGATTCTATCGAAGCAACTGTCGTAACCTTGTATTATGATAAATTGTCAAGCATTCTTGGAAATTACCGCATCCACATCTTTATACATCTTGTACCCTGCTTATTTTCCAACTAATTTATTAACAATACGTGACAGTTATAATTAAGTGAAAGTATACGTACGCATGGGCAATGGCAGTAATAAAAATCGCTGACGAACCTTTATCATCCTCCTTGAAGAAGAAGAGTGCGCGTCCCAGCTCTGATTTGAAAAAGACCAAATCCTGCGACTGTAACGCCTGCCTTAAAAGAACAATCCGAGTAATTATGATGTGTTTGCTTGTTACTCATACTGTAAGTCTCTCACCATTTAAGATTAACTACTTTCACCAATTAATCAATTAATTAGATTAATTTTAATGCAATTTCATATCCAAGATTTGGGACTTTATAGAAACTCTCACCGCAATGACGATAGACTTTACCGTGAACCACGAACAAGGCAGAGATGGATTCACACTCCTCGAGAATCTCAGAATAATTGAAATCACGGAATGGGAACATCGAAGTTGGGAACTTCCTGGGGAAATAGAGTTTCACGATAAGGTAAGTAAGTTCTTTAAATAATAAGTAACGAAAAACATTCTCGTAAGGACCAACATATTTCTTGAATTGAAATTGTTAGGGGAATAAAGAAGATGCCAAAATGCTCGCTACTAGGGTCAAACTCATAGCGAAATGCAGTAAGCTTAAAATAACTGCGGAAAATAATCACACACAATGTAACAACGCGTCCAAGGAGTTCCAAGAAGATAACTATTTTTGTGCAGGTTAGGAATAAATCTTATGTTCCTCGCCTCCACGCAATTTCATTTCATTTCCATTCCCATTGCAGTGATTGAACATCCAATACGATTTCACGATGCTTTTAGTAAGTATTTATTACGCAGTCCAATGTGTTAACTAATAAATTGTCAAAGTATTTAGTGTCTCTTTCACTTTAGAACCCTTCGTCTATTTATGGGAAACCATAAATCTTATGTTTCTCGCCTCCACACCTTTAATCATGTTTGCCTTTATTTGGGCAAGTGGCAATATTTTAATTCGTCCAAGGGTCCATGTTTATCTTGTCGTGTGGTCATTACGTAGAAAAGTCAGTGCATCCGCCTCATCCTGGTACGGATCCTTTTCCAACTGATTCCCATGGGGTTGTTGTGCAACCTTTTGTACGAACTGTGGGAAAAATATGGCTACGAACTATGCGGACTGGACTATATATATTGGGGATATCCTGTCAGGGTCATTTTCACGGTAAAAAGGTTCACGAGATTATGAGGTCATTATGGTATGAAGTAATTAAGTAATAACAAGTAATTTTTGCTGTATTAGATTAATGTCGTCATCAAACTGATATCCAGAGTGGTCGAGTCCTTCATGTCCGCCTGGTTCATTTACACAGTTTTGGTGGAACGGGAACAAAGAGGTTTCGGTGTTCGCCTCCAGAAGAACCGGGTTGCGCCAGACATTCCAGTAAGCTTAAACCCATTAGTAAAATTTCAAAGTTAAATTTCAAGCCTTATCGAATATATTCGCAGGTCACATTTCACGACGAAGTTTTACAACCCGCTCGGCCGGTTCCAGAAGAAGAAAAACCCTTCCAGCGTGTCGACCGTTGTCGAATTTCCATTAATCCTGACAAAAAAGGTGCTGGTGGATTGATGGGTTATGATCCAGATAAGCCAAAACAAAGAAAAAGTATTATGAAAGTTATGGAGAGTGATACGGCGATTAATATGGATGAAACCCTTCCTGATGACGAGTAGTCAATAAAATAATGTGCACGTTTGACTTTTATTGCATAAGTTAAATATTATGACTTTGTGGTTAACATTATAACTTTAATTAAGACCGCACCGATTCATTTTACAACTTATCTTCTCATAAATAATATTATTATGATATGTCGCCTCCGCCTCATATTTTGCATGGGATTGAACAAAGCACAAGAAAAGGCAAAAAATGCGAAACGAGGGAGTTCGCTGCCGTATCAACAAAACTATAAACTCTGCTGAGCTTGGACTTTTGAAGAAAAGCAAAACAAAATCAATAATATTGCCAATTTTCAAACGCTATCAGGTACGATTACTGGTCTAGGCAACGCTTGGGTGTGAAGTGATAGTTTCTAATAATTTTGTATTTGGAAAAAATTGTAAAATATCGTCGAATGAGATAATTACAAAATTTTTTGTTGTGTCTGGAATCTAGCTTCACGAGACTTTAACCGGATTTTTGGCGACAAAATTTTTAATCTCTTTGGATATCGAAAATGGCCATGCTACTGCGTTCGTTGAGTGGACAACTGTCTAGGAATTTTCCCTCAAATGGCGTCGTGGTGAGCGAATCATTGTTTTCAATATTTTCAACCAAAAACCATATAAAATCATGAAGATATGATTTAAATTGTAGAAATCACAAGGATTCCGAAGTCTGACTCCTGCATTGGCTGCCGAAGTGAAGGGTCAAATTGCCAAGAAAACCCCAACCAAGGTCCTTTGTGAAGAAGGCAAATCGTATGCCTGGTGTGCCTGTGGCCTGAGTGGAAAACAGGTTCGTATTTATTTAAATGTTGATAACGGAAAAGGGAACTATTTACTTAAGTAATAATGGTTTGAATAATATAGCCATTCTGTGACGGATCTCATAAAAATTCGACCTTGGGACTTACTCCTGTACGATGGTTCGTAATAAAGATCATAAATGGACCATATTTAAATGCATATAAAAGTGTACTTGATATATAATTCCTTTCTCTATTTTATTTTGATGACAGGACTGCAACCTCTTCAAAAGAAATTTTTTTCTGCAACTGTAAACAAACGAACAAACGTCCATTTTGCGACGGATCCCATAAGAAGTTAGCATAAATCCACATCAAACAAGCCAAATCGCCTATCGTAGAAAATTTAAAGTACCTGAATTTATTTACTTAATCAACCCAGCTGTTACGCAGTCAAAATTACAAATTTAGTCAGTCAGCTATTTAGTTGGTACAATTTTCATATAATGTAATGTAACAAAACGAAATACTTGCAATAAAGTTTCACTGTTAATTTCTGAAACTTGTGCAAATCAAATCTTGAGCAGAACATCTGCCTAAAAATGACTACCTTATTGTTAGTTGTTAGTTATCAATATCTTTTGATTTAATTGGTCGTGGGCCCGCCCGTTAGGACAGAACCCTTGTTAAATGTACACCAGATACTTTTAACGGTACCCAGCTTTACCCTCCCCGAGAGGAGTAGTGGTTTGCCCATGCATCCATATCTCACCTCCTCTATTAAACTAGCAACCACTAACTATGATCAAGTTTTCGTTAAAAATCTCAAGTCAAGTAACTTCTCCCTTATGGTAAACTTTTTAAATCATGTAGATTTACTTCAACCCAAACGTTTAGTGCATTGATATTTTCATTTAATGGTATAATATTTCGGCATTTTTAGAAATGTGAAAATTAACCATTAACGAATTATTACAATGAGGATAATTGACAGCGACACTAATTTCCACACCATGGATATCGCCATCGCAGCAGCGCAGACGTAGGTTAATTGATCTTCAGCGAGAACGACGCAGCGACCTTCTCCTCTGCATCTGGATTATTAAGGTCAACTTGCACATGCTCTCCGATTTTAATTAACTAGTGTTAATCGATCACAAAGTTAATTAACAAAAGACACAATCAACGCATCCTAAACTTTTGGACAAATTTTACATTTTCAAAATCTAACATGCTTTTTCTCCTCTTCGGTTGCAAATAACTCGACCAAACGTGACCATTGGCAGATTGTGTTTTTTGCAAATTTCATATTAATTAAATTTGTGATCGTTTGACACTCGTTTGGTAAAAATCTGTGAGCATACGAGACCTCCATTGTTAATGGGAATGCAAAGCAAAAGTACACTAATATTTACATATTATTTGTACCTGTAGGGCGTAAGTTCACTCCGAGTTCCACATTTTTTCCCCTTGTCTACCAAGCATTCGTTTGCGTGGTCATCATACACGAACCACTCCGTGGACAGCGTAGGATCCGAAAAATCTGCAGGCTACATATTTGGGGCACAATTATTAAAGTTGTAGTTAAAGTAATTACGATATTTAATTGACGCTCACATTATCATAAGGTACTTTTGCACCATTCCAATTACGATAACATTGACATTTACTAGTCTCCGTGTTACAATGCATGAACATTCGGATTCTGGGGATGTCGCATGGGTCCTTGTGAATCCTGATAGTCTCATTTATAAAAGGAAGAGTACCATTTGCAAAAGTACCGTTTGGAAGAGTCTCATTTGAAAGAGTGCCGATTGGAAGAGTTCCATTTTGAAGGATATCTGGATTAGCGACCAGTCTGATCTCATCAACAGCGACAACCACGCAACTCTCGTTGATTACCTTCTTCAAGTGGTCAAGATGTTTGAGTGCGTCGGGTTCATCAAGGTTGACTCGATTCTTCGCCGTGGTTTGGGGTAGACATGACGTGACGTGAAAAATAATTATGACACCCGGTAACAAAAATAAAGGACTACGGTGGCGAGGTGACATGATTTGTTATTTATAAATGTTGAGCGACTGTAGTTGGATTTCATGGTTTAGTACAGACTGTTCCCCTTACTTTAGAGAATGCTAAAGTGTCGAATAACCTTGGGCAAGTATTATTCGTCGTCAAAGGGATTCAACATTAACAATAGTGACCGCAATTTAAGCATCTTTCTGAGAAAATAAATTTTCCAAACGTGTCTGTCTGCCAAGAATACCCGATTTATCGCGAAACCAATCGCATGATAAATAGTAACAGTAATAAATAATAAGAAAATTATAATAATGTCACGAAATTCTCCACCCTTAAAAAACTCGAGTTTATTAAGCATTGGGAGTGGCTCTTCTGATGATGAAGACAGTGACTCGTCTGACGACAACCGTGCCACTGCCAAGGAAGACCCGAAACTTGAAGAATTCATTAACCGACGGAAAGGAGAATCCAATGTCGCCGTTCCAGTGAGGAAGAGAAAATCAAGGAAAACGCTTCTGGCCGGATCGACAATGTCCATTCACAGCGGGACCAAGAAGGCCGATGTCACCGCAGACGACTATGACATTCACGAGAGCAGGATGTCCATGTCCAAGAGTAAATTGAGCATTGCACCCCAAGTCAACTCTTCGACTGGGAGGAGGTCAAGCATCGCTTTAAACGTCAGCCTTTTAGAACTGAATCGTGACCAGTCGTGGGAGCTCTGGTGGGTTCAGAGTCCACTCTGGAGGCGAAAATTGGTCTTCCTCTTGGTCATTTGTGCTATCCTGGCAATTATACAGCTAGCGATGGGAATCGTGATGGTACTCAGCAATCAGAAACAAAAGGACCCTTATCTTTGCTCTTCGCAAAAATGTCGAGCTTTAGCAGACTGGATGTCTCACAGCAATGCAAATAGTTCCTCGCCACATACTCCCTGCTCCCACTTTTACCAGTTTAGTTGCCAAAACCACAAGGAAAACGACGCTGGGGGTCTTTTTAAGGTATTCATTTTTCCAATTGTTGACTAGTGCTGTATTTAAATCTTTAAATTTTCTTTGTGCAGTATTGGTACAAAAACTTTGCCAGACTTGAATCCGATGGGGAAAATGGGGAGTCGATTTTAGCCAAAATTTTAGCAAGACCTTCAGATTCGGACGTAATAGGTCAACGCATCATAAAATTTTACCAAGTTTGTATGCGGATATGGCAGTTAGACTCGCTGATGCTGGAGGATTCTTTGAAGCATCTAGTGAGACATGTGTTCAAGGATTTTGACCTGTGGGGACAAGGTGAAGAGTATGAATTGGAGAAAGGTGCCGTTCAAATGATAAAGATTTTTGGCGATTTTGGATTTTTTAAGGTGCTTGTTATTTACAAGTGAGAGGAGAATTCTTCCAGTCTCAAGCTTCTCACTCGGCTTAAATTCAACATTGGTTTCGCCGATTTCTAAACTTTGACCTTTTGGGGGGAGCGAAATTGGAAAAAATTACAGCGCTGTTTCGTTTCAAGTTTTTATGGGTTTTATTATGTAGTAGTTTTAAATTTTTAGTCAAAATTTGAAACCAATACAAAAAAATTAAAACTACAAAAATTACAAACTACAAAAATTACAGATTAGCTTTACAATTCTATCGTTTTCGCTTTTCTGATTTCGCCAGCCACCACCCCTGCTCCCCACAAAGTTTAAGCAAAGGTTAGAAATATGTGGGTGCAACCAGTGTTAAATTCAAGGGAAGGTTGAGACTGGAACAACCTGATATTGTAACGTAACCAACATCACCTTTAGACATTGGCACCTGTTGATTGGCCTCGAGTCTTGTAAGAAGTTACATATTTATACATATACATTTAATTTCAATACACCTATCTAACTAATTATGTTCCCCGCAGGATAAGAAACTGGGTTTTCACTAGTCACATCAAGAAAGAAAATGTCTTTCAATTCCTCCCCATAATTTACGACGCGCTTGGCATCATCAACCAAAAACATCGGCATCGCATCAGTTACCACCTCTTTAAAATGGGAGCCACAGTAGAAAGTCTTTTGAATCATGGGTTTCAAGACAGAAGCGACATCTTGAACTGTACCACCAGCAATGAAAATAAGATTCCCTTCGATTTCCGCATCTCGTACTACCTCGCCTACTACGAGGACGATGTCAGTGGAAATTTCGACAGAGAGCTCGAGATCAAAATGGACCCCTTGGAAGGAGAAAAGAAAATTCGGAACTTTAAACTATTTCAAGACCGATTCAATTGTTGGATGCAAAAGACATTTGTGGACTCGAGTGCGCGGTATGGCAGAGCCACGTTAGCGACTTTTTGGTCACTTCGCCTTCTTGTCGAGCTTGTCCATGACGCGGACGATATGACAGCAATAAAATATGGACTGATAGACACAGGCAACAATTTCTTCGAGGTTTTCCAGCAGTCGTATTACGGGAGACAGAAAGAGTCGCGATGTTACCAGTCCCTAACTGACTCGATGGGCTACTACCCCATATTCCGCTTCTTTGGGGCCAATAATAATGCCAGGTTTCGGCATCACGAAGCTATGGGGGTAATTAAACATGCAGCATCCGCACTCTTGGAACAGGTATGATTTGTTAATTCATGTCTATTTAATTTATGTATAATTTCATCAAACTATTTCAGTTTCGTCCCGCGGAAGAAGGGGGACTGGCCTACGTCAGTTCTCGATTTCGAGAGAGGGTCTATCGCGTCCTCCATAAGACAAATGACATCAACATCCTCATCCCAATCTTAGAGGACGATCCGACTTTCACAGAATCATATATGCACTTGGACGTTGGAGACAGTCATGTTCACAATATCATCGCGTGGAGGGAATTTACGTTCAGAAGGACGCGACATTTCTGGACGAGCAAAAGTCCACAAGGAAAATTAGTCTGGTATAAAGATTTTTATAGCTTAGGTATTTACCAAATATTAGACATCAATTATTTATTTATAGTTTAGTTACTAAATCTATTTATTCCTTAATTCAGATCGCACAGATCCGTACGAAAGTCCATCTGTTACTAAAATCACGCTTATTAAAATTCCACCGGCTATATTCGTGTATCCATTTTGGAACAATGATATAGAGTAATGTAACAACACATGTATAATATACCCGCATATTGCATGTAACAGAGTATTAGATGTGCAACCACATTTACTGAAACTTCTCTGACTAATTATTTAGAGTCGCCAATTATGCCGGATGTCGCGTCATGGCTGCCAAAACATTGCTGCAGCTCCTTCAATACGACTATGCCGAGAGTAATACAAACGTGGAAATTAAAGTCAAGAAGAGCAATGGGATCCGATACCGGGAAGGCGTCACTACCGATGCGGACCACGAACCTTGTGAAGTTCTCACCTACAACTGGGCCCAGCGTATCGGAGAACCATACAAAAAACATCAAGTTACCATTTTCAACCCACACTTTCTCGCCTTCCGCTACGGTCGTCGTTTCTACGAACCGGAAAAAGAGTTTGGCGTTTTCCCCACCTCACTCGCACTGAAAACAATGCTGCACAAGTTCCTGGATGAAATCGGAACCTTGAGGAACGCTCCGTTCTGGGATTTTCCACAGTTTATAAGACAACGACTCATGCACCAGAAGCTCATTCGTTACGAAAAATTCTCTGAAGCTCAACTCTTCTTCCTCATCAGTTTCAGGGAGTTGTGTCGGTCCAGAGTGTCGGACGAACTTTTGGACATTTACCACTACCACGCCACCGAAAACATTGCCGGACTCATGCAGATGGAGGAATTTGCGTCAACGTGGCGTTGCTCGCCGAATTCGATGATGAACCCGGCGTTGAAATGCTTTTCCCGATGAAAATAATCCGTATTGTGTGTTTAATAATAATAATAACATATTTGTTTTGGTTTCGACATGCAATTTGCAGACCCGATTGCTTTCATGCTTTGCTTCATATTTTTATGAAATCTATCTGAAATTAGAACAAAACAAAACGGAACTTTGCACATGGCACGTCCTTTCATTCCTGTTAAACTTATTACTTTCCGTTGAGTGCTGATGGGATGACGTACATCCAATAATAATTTTCGGAGAAAGTTCTTTTTGTAGAAAAGTTCAATCGCTGCATGTTTGTGGCCCAAAATGTCAGCCAGATTTGCCTTCATCTGCAGAAAATACCTCGAATTTAGTTAGTTTCCTTCTTCAACACGTCTCCCTCCCTCTTATTACCTCACATCCATATTTCCATCCATTTCCTTCCACGTATTTATATAATTGAACATCAAAGAAAGGCTTGAACTTCAATGAAACTCATAAATAGAGAGAAAGTCAACAAATGTATTGACAAACATTGAAAATTGCATGTAAAATCGCACCAACCTGTAAACTTATTGGGTGTTTCTGCCATGTCAATATTTAGACGTGCGTGGGAATCCCTCCTGCAAACGGCAGGAGGTCAAGTTAAACCGACGTCATGCAAAACATTCGTCGTCTTCGTCGTCACTTTGGTTGCTTTCACTTCTTGAAAGGGAAACTTTGATTTCAATTTCATCATCCTCGCTATTTCTTGTTTCAAGTTTTAATTAGGTTGCATTGGTATTTGCGTACGGGATGAAAGGCATAAATAAATTACCAATATTATATATTTCTTGCTGCCCGTTCAATCAATCCCGTCTTGGAGAAACACCTCAATTTAGTTGGCAGCGTGAGACCCGAGGAGTGACGCTGATCTTCTGCCTTTGACATTTGCCTCAGTGTGTGCATGTCTATCTTCCCCCCGGTTTGGACATGCATATCCTTGGGTCTAGACTTCCTTGGTTTGGCTGCAACATTTCAGGCCAGAAGGGACGCTATCTGGGGAAAAACAAGCAGGTGAAAGTTGGTGATGAGCTCGGGTTAGTTTTATGAGGACAAGTTGGTCGGAAGCTCATGAATGAATGGAGGAAGGAATTTTATCTCGGATGATTATCTTGCAGAATGAATATCTGCTCAGTTTCATGTATAAGACGACGATGTGGAGGAGGAGGAAAATGATATCTGTGCGTATAGAGTTACTCATTTCAAGACATGCACAAGATTGTGAATGATATTGAGTTACTTGATGATTTATGCAAAGATAAAGGCTAGAGTTGAATTATAATGTGATATTATCGTCGTCCCCAGTAGGTAAATACGAGGTAGGGAATTACTTCACCTACTACCTGAGCAAATGTAAAATCCAATTTCCAAATCAATCAACTTTGTCTTCCTTTCGTTCGGCGACATGGTCGTCACAAAACTAAATATAGTTTCGCATGAATCCGTTGCATCCCTCGTCGAGTTTTGGTATGACGTCAACCACCTCGCAAACCAAGAAGGGGATAACATTTCAATCAATTATCATATCCCACCTTTGCATATATTTGCACGCATTCGCAACATGGAATAATGCAAATCCTCACAAATTATTGAATGGGACGACCATTCACGTTTTCTCGGCAACATTGTGCATAAATCCCAGAAGAAAAAGTAAGTATGCTCAGAATGAATGAAGACGTAATCTTGCATACATAAGTTAATCGTGTAAAAGGCTTCTCAAACGTTGGTGGAGGAGGAGCAGGAGATTGTGAAACGAGACATTATTCGAGTCGGACATATTGTATGACACGAATTCTACTGTTAGGAAGACAAAATGCTTAAAGTGATTGATTACAACAATACAAATTAGTGAATTGTATCCTGTATTTTTGCAGTATGCCCAACTTCTCTTTCAATTAATCATTGTCTTCCACAATAAAGTTGCAATAACATTTCCACTTTCTGAGAATTAATTAATTGCTAATCCATCAAAAAGAGAGAAAGTAAATATACATAAAGTGCACAATTACTTACTTCCAAACAACTTCTCACCACCACCACCACACCGTCGAATTTTTCTGCACTTAGTATTTTTTGCAGTGGAAAATCTCATGCAACAAGCGCGTCGTCGTGTCTCTAGAGGCATCACCACCGACGTGGTTGCACGCAACCGAATGAATCGTTTCAACTCCTCTGCTGACGTTACCTTTCCTTGTATTGGAAATTATGTTTAAGTGTTCAAAAGTGGAAATAGAGGAGGAGATGGAGCGAGATATGACGACAGCCAACCAACCTTTCGACAGTTCGCTCGGGTGAAAACTCGCTCTGTTGCTTTCACTCTAATGCAACCTAAAGACTTTGTCCTTTCTCGGGCCAAAAATACACTCTCGACGAATCTCTTTTTCCCCATTCTCTCTCCATTGACATGAACACAGGCCTTTCCAAAGTTTAATGTCAACTCTAATGGATGGATGGATGGCTGTGTATGTATGTCTGTGGGTAAATAGGGAGACGTGTTCCTTTGTGGTGTGGTGGAGAAAGGGGACTTCAAGGAAATGTCACGAGAATGAGGAGGAGGAACTCTGCTGTTTGTTGTTGATGGGAAAAATCGCTTTCTTGTTGTCCTTGCGTCACATTGTAAAGAGTTCTTCTTCGTGTTTGTTTACATACCTGGCAAGATATTTTGATATTTTGATAGTGATGCTGCTAAATGTGAAAGGTAGATTTCTTCATTTTAGGTGACTCTACTGCTACTCCTGTTGACATTTCAAATTTGAACTTGCTCTGTTATGCAAGTGTATGTAGCTTAGAATGCGGGATCATTTTGGGGAGAATTTCTCATTTTGTACGTACGTAGATATTAGGCTACTCAAATATATGAAGAGGACGAGCCTCTGACCCTGGGAGTACTTTCAACTTTCTCCTCTCTATACGTGCATGTAGATATACTTACTGGCTGAGATTGAGCAGTAGGAAGTTCCAGTAAGCCAGTAGTCCTAGCCGCGATGCTCGACTACATTTCACTTCACTCAGAATGGAGGTCTCCCAGCGTAGGCTGGCAGATTTTCACCAAACTAGTGTCAATTGGTCACAAATTTAATTAGTAAGAAATTTGCAAATGACGCTATCTCCCAATGGTCACGTTTGGCAGAGATATTTGCATTTGCATCCAAAGAGTGCAAAATTTGGCAACTTTACAGTGCGTTTGGATGTAAATATCTTCGCCAAACCTGAGCTTTGGCGAATAGTGTCTCATGCAAATTTCGTATTGCAAACTTTGTAACCGATTGACACTGGTTTGCCCAAAATCTGAAAGCAAACGCTGGGAGACCTCCATTTTTCGTCTGACTACAAGGACCGCTGCTACTTTGCGTATAATGCTACTACACTGATGCTAGCTAAGAGTAAATCGATTACAAAATTTATTACAAAATATATGGAGAAGGATGGATGAACATGAGGTGGATGCATATACATAGCTTTGTTAGATGTGGCTCGCAAACCGCAAACCAGAGCCCCAGTTTTCATCATCCGTCCGTCGATAATATGCAGATCTATCATCATGAAAGTGGCTGGAATCTAAGAGCACGATGACGACGACGACGACGACGCATATTTATTTTTTATTATGTGTGCAAAATGAGCAATAAACTTAATAAGGATGAAATTCTGTATGGAGAGAGAGAGAGGGTTCATAAAAGCTCCCAGCCATCCCTTTCGTGCCGTAATCAGCAATTACACGACCAATTATAATTGATGAATATGGTTATAAATCCCAGATTGAAAAGTCTAATAGATTTTGAAGCCATTGAAAGCTTTTCTCTCTGTCTGTCTGTCTACTCACTCTAAATGTAAAAAATAATATGATTTTCTCCTCTTATTATCACAAAATCTTATTATTGGTGAAATTGCAGATAATATTCGTTCGCAAATGCCATAATAAAGAGCTCCACTTTGAATTCTCAAACGAACTTTCATGTGAAAGAGAGTAGCATTTAGAGTGCAGCCTTTTTAAAGGGAGAGATCACAAAGTAATAATAGATACAGTGGAGACTTGATTTAGCCCGAGTCAGGGTCAGATTCCGCTTCTATTTTTGTCCGAATTGACTGAACTTCTATTACCACTCCCCGTGATTGGGATGGTCGAATGTAGCCTCAATACTTCGGCTAAAAATACATAATTCTTAAAAAATGGTCCGGGATACCTAACTCTGGTTTTACTTTCACTTTCACTCTGGCTCACTTTCATTTGACATTCTTTCATGAGAAGCCGTTTTGTATCACCGTGCAGAATTTCAGCTTTTTAAGACAATTTATGAAAATTGGTATGGGTCACCACCCTCTGGTCATATTTTTTAAAATTTAACATCAGAAACTTTCATCACAAGCCATTAAATAGCAGTATCTGTGGCAAATTGCAGCTGTCTAACACTATTTTGAAAAAAAAACTTTATAATACTCCACCCACCAAGATGATCCACACTGGTCAACCACTTCCCGATTTTGTTCCGTCGAACTTAACTCCCGACTTTCTCTAAGATATGTGCAAAATTTGAACTCAATCGGTTCAACAGTTTTGGCTCTATCATATCTCAAACAGACAGACAGACATTCAAGCAGTTTACATTCGCCCTGTCTCAGGCTAAAAAGCTGCTTTTTGCCGTTGCCGGACACTAATGAAATGTCGCACTGCAAAACTGTCTCTTTGTAGCTGTCACTTTATTCTTTCGCACTTGGTACATATGTACATCCCACTACTCATCCAGTTTCGAGCTCCTCTGACCTAACAAGTGCAAGTCTGAGCCTTTCCCAGCCTCAACTCAATGGGGGAATCACTAATGGCAAGTGGTGCGGAGGATATACAGATGGAAAAACCATCCACAAGATTTCATAGCAATGCATACATCGTACATGAAGTCTCTTGTCTCTAAAACATGAGTTTCAAAGCAATCGTATTGCATGCGCTGTCGCTTCTCTCTCCTTATTTAAACGTGCCTTTGCCTTGCCTCAGAGTTTTTTGGCCTTACGAGATGACACTTCCTACCGGCATGTTCCACTTTCCCTGCTGCTTCTAAAGTCCATGAACTGAACCACCAGGAACTTTCTCTCCTCGAGTCTCCGTCGTCGTCTAGTTTTGAGCCTTGACACCAAGCAGGTTTCCTGGCAGACGGAAACATGACTTCCTAGTCGGTGGTGGTGCTCTCTCCAGCTTTCTCTCGTACACACTTTTTGTCTCATCAGCCCACTTCACCCCGTTCCTCGGAACTCTCTCCCTCGCCTCCGAGGCACGAAACTTCATGTCAACAAGTAAAACAGTCGTCGTCGTCGTCGTGGATTGAACACTTGACTTTCAAGGATTCTTCTCATCATCAACAACAAATAAACAAGCAAACAAACGGCCAGAAATTCGGCACCTGCGAGCGTGTAAGTATGATCTTGAACAATTTCGCACTTAAAACCCACACGGCATTTGTATAAGTATTCACTCGAGTAAGCACTTACTTACATATTCTTCACGTAAACAGTTCGTAGTATTGCAGGAGAGAAAGCATTAAAGTTCGTACTTGGGCTTAGGTATGTGTTACGCGTGTCGGTTAAGTACATGTCTCACTTTCCCTCTGACTGAAATGCCACTCTACTCCGTCTCATCTTCATAGAATATTGACCAAATCCAAGGCTACATGGCATTTCGCCTGATTACGACTACTCCTCTTCTTATTCGTCTTTGGAAGGGAAAAGTTCAAAGGAAATTATAAGAATGGGAGTTAAGTAAGGAGTAATAGATCCGATAAATGTGATTATCTGGAGGAGGAGAATAGAGAATGTCTCATCTTTACCGACATTTCTTCAATTCCCCCCGATTCGAGAAAGTACAGAAGAAAAGAGTATTTAGGCATTTAAAAAGTAAAAAAAATAAGTAGGTACTTATTCAATCTTGTCCACGGGTCGTGTACATCATCATCGCCATCACAGCTATTTTTCGCCTCTCAAGGCCAAGGGCGTGGTTTGGCAGGCAGGTACAAATTTAGGCAGGTAGGCAGTAGCTGCTTAAAGGTGACAAGGTGAGTGTCACACTAGCCAAACACATGCCAAGTACGTACATATCTTCATACATATGCAAATGCATACGTGGCCACATTACTATTGCCAATCTCTCCGATTCCTTTCATTACAAAATAGAATAGAAATCTCAATACAAAGAAATCAAATCATGGAAAATTTCTAAGAACGAACATCACAAAACGAGCTACTGGGAATAGCAATAAAGTGAAATTGCCATTGCTTTCTCTACCTTTCCTTACTTACTTTTGTGCTTCTTATACGAAGATGATGTGGTTAGCTAAGTAAGTAAGTAAGCATAATGTTCCCGTTGTGGTGATGGAGGTGAAAATGAGAATCCGGTCCTCGTAGCATGTCACTCACTGCTCGGAGGCAACATAAGAAAAGACACAGCAACAGGACCCACGACACACGGGTAGCAGCTTTCACCTTGCTTTCTCTCTCTCTCTCTCACCAGCATTCCACAACACGACACACCGCGTCACAAAGAAAGTTAAGCCCTCGACATTCACACCTGCACGGCTTCAGGAGCATAAAGAAAGAAGTGGGGAAACCGTCGTCGCTAAAATACTGCTCTCATCTCATCTCGCATAAAACGAACGGGTGCACTGATTACAACGCTCATTCCTTCCACTGCTGGTCCCGTGGATGGTATTGACGCTGGCTCCGAGCTAAATTCAAAGTTTTTTCTGCTTCTTCTTCTAATCATCACCTCATACACTCGGGCAAATATTGGAGAAAGCATTTAAGACTAAATAGATTGCAAAAGTTTGAGTTTGACTGCAGAAAAGTATTAAAAGTTGCGTAACCAACGATCATTTATTTAATTCAGGAGGGAGTCTATCGTGCACATTTTTAAATCATGGATTCGGAGAGATCTTCCCTTCGAAGTCGTCCAGATAGCAAAAAAAGGTCGGCTCTCTGGAATCGTCTCCTCACAAAGCCAGAACAGCTCAGAGAAATTCTCAGAATGGGATATCACTGCTCAAGTGTCACTCTCAGACATTACGATGAAATCGAGGCTGGACTTTATCTCGGAGATATGTAAGTCGCATTCTTCTTTTGTCTCATGTTTTTGACACATGGTCACAACAAACATTGAATCATGATTGTCATCATCATCACCTCTGTTCTGCTTGAAATTGTGACAGGAAAACTGCCAAAAGCCTCATGCATTTGGAGAAACTGGGTGTCACTCATATAATCAATGCAGCCTACACGCCGTCTCCTTACACGGATCGAGAGCTGTCTCAAGAGTACTATGAGTACAGGTAGAAGACTTATCTCATTAATTTTTTTGGAGTTTATTGCTCTTAAAGCCAATGATCGCTTAAAAAATTGCAGGAACTTTGACTGCTACTTCTTCGGCATTGCGGCCCTAGACTTTCCAAGCTTCAAGATTGGACTCTACTTTGAAGAAACTACAAATTTCATTCATGACGCTTTAAAAAACGGGGGCAAGATTTTAATTCATTGTCAAGTCGGTGTGTCACGCTCTGCAACGATCGTCCTTGCTTATTTGATGATGAAAAGGAAAATGTCAGCCATTGAAGCGGTCGCATATGTTGGGTAATTTTTTTGAAAAATATTTCAAAGTTTTTTTTAATGCAATTAAAAAACATATTTTTATGTGCAGAGCAATCAGGCCAATTTATCCGAACATGGGATTTCTGGAACAAATCTGCGAATTGGAATACAGGCTGAAAAATCCGAGAAGTAAGATATCAGATGCATATTTAATTTAGAAAAGCATTGAATCGATTTTAAATAATTTCCTAACTACTTTAGATGTTCTTGTCCGGAGCTTGTCGACTATGTCACGACGAACTTTCAGCAAGGTCTTCAGGAGGAATAAGAAATGATTACTGGTTGTAAAACTCAGTAACAAATTCCGATCCGATTATTATGAAACTGTAAAAGTTGTTGTACTATAACTATGAACCAATATCCCATCAATCAATCAAACAATCATGATAAATAATTGTGGAATTTTAGATTTGAGATCTATTACAACAGTTGAATATATGTAGAGATAAATACATACATAGTTTATTTATTATCAATGCAGGCATTTGTAATAAATGGCCGTAATATTTGTATAGTATAACAAAATACTCAAAAAGATATATAACGTGAGTTTTGTAAAACTGTAACCAATTTATGAACACAAAAGAGGTTTGTTGCTAGCATAGTTTCTATTTTACTAAGAGTAAACTAACATTTAACAAGCGGAATGTAGTACCTGTATTTTTTCTTTTAACAATTCGTTCATTGTTATAAATACACATTTAAGTTTTCTTGGTTGTGACTTGTGCGTACACATTTATACGAAAAGAAGATTGGCAGAGGTTCATATTTTATCAGGGTGTATGCATCCTTGAATCTCATAATATTGTAGACAAAAATAATTAATCAAACAACATTTGATATTGGACAAAGTCAAATAAACATAAATCAACATGTACACTGACCATAATGTTACAATCAAATAAGTTGTATCTAGTTTCTCTCTTCCTTTGAAATAAATAACGCGTTTGTAAGAGATACCCTTCATCTCGTCTTAATAATGAACATTCAAAGGCAATGTTCAATAACAAAATATGGATGGAAGAAGTTAGTTTGATTTACTCCAACAAAGCCCTCGGAAACATGTTGAGTTGAACATAGTCGTCTAGGATTTCGACCAAAGAGTTTTTTGTAACTTCGTCATATTTGAATTCGGTAAACCCAGCGGCTGCTAGTTTTGATCCGTCCAGTGAAACATGTCTCTTGGACAGAGCGTCGCTGTGAATGTAGGGACTGAGTGGCGTGTTTCCTACCCCGTTGGATGCACAAATTGACGCCCATGGCGACATGTGCTTGTCGTTGATGTCTTCCAACACATCGACCACATCCATCTAAAGTAAATGGTTTATGATGAGATGTTAAATAAAGAGTGTGTAAATCATTAGACAATAAAATCGTGAGTAGGCAAACCTTTGCAATTGTGGTGAAAGCTGTACCCCAGTAATCGTGATTAATGTTGAAAAGGTCACTAATGATACTGCTCACTTTCCCCTGGGTTGTTTGGCCGTTATCCACAATATTGTAAATCTACAGGAAAAGGCAAATTAATTGATCACTGCTGACATTAGTTAAGAATTTTTTTAAGCCTTACTTCTCCATATTTTCCATTTTTGCACAAAAAGTACGTAGCTCGGACCAAGTCATGCACATGAATGGTGTTAATTCGAAGTTCGGCAGTCCATGGCAGTTTCATCATTTCTTTGAGATGCTTGTAAATTCCTCCAACGACCAATCTTGGAGCTACGTAGACAAATTTTCAATAGAAAATATTAAATTATATTTAGTAAGTAATAAATTAGTAGGCTTAAAGGAGTTTACTTATGCCCGTGCGATCCCCAGGTCCATACACAATTGCTGGACGGATGACTATATAATTCTTCATGGTTTTGGCAAGCTCCTGCTCTACTTGATATTTGTACTTGACTTCGTACGACCAGGTCTGGTCCACTTTGTCAGTTTCTTTGTGAAGGGTCTGTAAGGACAACAATACGAATCATTCTTAGGATTCAATGATGCTCAAAAAAGGTGTAAACTGGGTATTACTTTATCACTCGGGTATAAAGCTCCAGTAGAGAATTCTATGTAACACTTCAATCTGTCCCCAAATTTCTTCTGTACATTGTTTATCACATTTGAGGTCAGCTTGAGAATCCCTTCCTGCATTTATAATTATTAGATCAAAAATATGTGCACATTGCCAAGTGTGCATATTACACAAGTATTATTATATTTAATAACCTTGTAGACCGGCTCTGACTGTCCTTTCCTCGTCTCCGAAGCCAAATTGATTACGTAGTCAATATCATCGTCCAATCCTTCAAAAGCTTTGTCGCAACTGCCTACAAGTAATGTAATAATCCAAGATTAATGAGACCTTATTGCTGCCCACGCTTCAATTTACCTCCGTCGGAATAAATATGGGATAGAAAAAAAAACTTACTAGTTGCAATTAGGTTTGCACTTTGAAAGACGACTTTCGGATTCTTAAAAACGTTTGCATGCTTCTCATTTAACCATGCAATTTCCGGTGGGGTCTTATCAATCACAAAAATCTTTGATGATTTATCATTATCAACTAAAAATTCGATCAAATGTCGTCCAATGAATCCACAGGCTGCAATTAAATACATTTTTCTTAAATAATGCTTTTACAACTTTCACTTCACAAGAATGATAATGTGCATACCTCCTAAAATAAGCCATTTCCGGGGTTTCCCGTCATCTGATATTTCCAGCGTCATCTTGTCAATTCAATTAAATTATTTATAGTACAAAGTTGAACCCTAAAAAAATGAGAATTACTTATTTATTATAGAATTTAACTCTTTGCAATAAAATAATTTTTGTCCAACTAATTATGACTGAAACTGAAATAAACCACGAGTTTAAACAGTATGCAATTTATGAATGAAACCAGAGCTTGTGCATAACCACAAGCCACAATAAGTCCATGTAAACCAACTTGAAACTCTATTTTCTGAAAATTTGGTGTGATTTTTTTTCCGGAGCAATATTCCAACCTGGTCAAGAAGGTAGCATGTTAGTGCATGGATACTGAATTGGAAATGAAGAAACACACACGAAACGAAACCTCACACGCTGAAAAATATCTTTGAGAAGGAGGATTGAGAATGATTGGGAAAGACCAAAAACGTTGAAATGTATCAGTCTCCTCAGAGCCTAACGATTAAATTGAATTGGTACATCCGGTTGAGCAATTATCAAAGAAAATGGGATATTTTACTCAGCCAGGAAATATATATGCGTATCTACCTAAATTTAACTTATTACTATAAAATAAGGCTTCTTATGTGTCTCTACTAAACGAAGCAGAAATGTGTATCGGCTTACTTAAAACACGTTTTTCTCTCTCCGATTCCCTCAATAAAGGTTATTTTTACAATGTAATCTTACTTCGTTGCTGGAAATACTACGCTCACTCCTCCAGAACTAATCTTACTGCACTGGTTCCGATTTCAAATTATTTGGCAATAATTAATCAAAATTTTGCAAATTCATTCTGCACACACACATTCACTACCTCCATCCAATAGCCTTGAATTTAACAGAATCTGCCAAATTGTAATGCTTCTGATCTGATGTATGCATTCGTATGTACTGTATCTGCACATTACATACGTTCATACATTTGTGCATCAAATTGTGTAGTAGCAATATTTGTATGCAACAACGTGCCTATGCGTTTGGCACATAAATCCATGCATGCACTGACTCATGATGTGACACAATGAAGGTTAAACTGTTGTAAAATAAATAGATGCCCAATACCCTTCCATCCATAACAGTACATATTATATGCTTTACTACATGATAGAATGTACACATTTCACGTATTCTTCTCAATTTTGGTTGATGTATGAAATGAAATCGGCTGGATATGCACCTGGGTGGGTTATAATATTTCGTCTGCTGGAATCGTTGAACACCACGGATAAAGAGTTGAGACTTGGCTGAGTCATGCCCAATACTTTGCTATGTATGGATGGACAAATGTATGATCCTGCTTAATGATGATGAGTAATAATAATATACAAAAATCCAGTTTACCTGTGGTCGGATAATAATTGTACAAGCAAGCAAAGCAGCAAGCAAATGAATGGTGGACGTATTACAAAGCTGGCTGATGATGGTTTGAAATGAACCGTTTCTTGTATGATTTCCTGCCTGGCACATAAATTCTTTCTCATTCCATGCAAAATGCATTCCCCATCGACGTGATTATAAATTCAACCTTTTCACGACATCCTTATTGCTTTTATGGCTGGCAGAGTCGTCGTATTTCTTAAAAGTCGAATCAACCATATCAATCAATACGAAAGGAATAAATGAAATACACAGGAAATTGAAAATAAATCATCAAAATGAATGAAAAGAATATTATTATACAACATGGCTTCTTCTCCTTTACAAAGGAAGGTGGTGGTGGTGGTGGTGCTGATGAGATGATGAATTTTATGATGAATTTGTGATTTGCTTATTGCTTCTAAACTCATGCATACGTATGTTCGCATGTAACATCGCGTACAAAGAAAAATAAGTTGATGGATATTTAATAACTGTGTAGGACGGGAAAAAGGAGTAAACTTTGATGCAAATATATTAAATCTTATACTTAATTGTACTTAATAAGGGATAAAGTGGAAAATGTTGTAATAAAAGAGGCAGCAAAAGAAGGAAAATAAGTTTTTACCTGAAATTGGAAAACGTCTTACGTTTCCCTTCTCTTCGTTCGTCTCGTTCTTCGGCTGCTTGCTGGCTGACTGAGATGAGAATGTTGTTTGATTTCCAATTGAAAAGCTCAAACGCCAGATCACAACTAAATGTGTGTGGAAAGTTTTGAGAAATTTTTCACTGCTTTCTTCACAGGTAGGAAATCGCAGAAAGCGGAGCTTGCTCCTTTCACTTCGACACGATTGCTCTACTTTTGACGTATGAACGGAAACATTATTGAGTTGGTGCCTAAACAGGGAAGCAAAAGTAAGTGGTGAGCAGCAGCGTGGCACATCAGTCAGGCAGTAAAGTAATAGGGATATTGGGATGAGAATAAGAAGAACCAAGGGGGAAAGGAGAAATTGAGTTTCTCCGTGCTGTTATTGCGTCACATTCCTTCCTACGACCCATTAATAATATATGGAAACGAAAATTAAGAAACTCGAGATGCACATAGGGATTCTATTAACAAAATGGTTTATTCACTTACTTGTAGTTATTAACTTTAAAAAACAAAGATTCAAGTAGTCAATTATCGTTCTTATAAGTGAGTAAATAATCAAGTTAATGAACATGCTTCACAGTTTGCTATACACTTATTAACCTAAGTATTTAATTGCCTCTAGAGCAACTATGCAAGTGTAAAAATTAGAGCTTAATAAAATTAACTCCCCCAATTTACTTCTTACGCCCACCTCTCTCCTTCAAGGACAACTGCACTATGACGCTGTCGCCCACGTTGTAAAATGCCAAACTGTTTTGATCCTTAAAGAATAGACCGTCTTTACTTAGCTTCTGTTTTCCAGGGGCAAGGCCAGTGGCTTCGTTGATTTTGGCCTTCAAAATGGAAATGGACTCGGTCAACGCCATCGTAAATGGGATCAGTTGTCCATTCAGGTTCAATTCTGGTTTGTCAGGAACAGCAACGTTGAAAGTTGTGGGGGACGCGTTAGAAGCGAGGAATTGTCCTTCAGGAATAAGGGCATCTTCCGCACTTTTAGCTTTCTTTGATAAAGGTTCGTCTTCAGGTTCCATGGGTGGCATCGGCATTGACATCATTCCACCCGGTGGTGGGCCAGGATTCATGAGGGGCATTGGTGGTGGTGGTCCGTGACCACCCATGGGGTTTAGTAGTGGAGGGCGTGGCATGCCGCCAGGACCAACGCCAAATGGTGGAAATCCAGGTTGTGGCATTCCTAAGAGAGGACGCATTTGTCCGGGCAGTCCATGCATAAACATCATTCCTTGAGGAGGAACTTGAACAGGGCGTACGATTCCGGCCATTGAGGGCGGCATACTGGGTGGAGCGGGGGACTGAAGGATCCCTTGATTCATCATGGATGGTGGCTGAGGTCCAGACGACACGACTGGTGTTAGTTGCTGCTGAGGTGGTTGAGGGCCAGCAGAAATAACGCTGGATTGGTTTGATTCAATGCTGAAACGTAGATTGAATCGACATTAATAAGATTATTCAAGAAATAACTATGCTAAAAATGTTATCAGATTTCCAAGAATGTCAATAACATGTTTACTACCTTGGCCCAATATGATCTTTCTTTTCATCCATTCTCATATCGTTTTGCATCTGTAAGTTTGACGGAAGTCCAGCGGTTGGATCCCACGGCATACCTGTAGTTGAAAATTATTTTTATTTCTATACTATAACTTACTCGTTAGAATCAAGTGGAATAATAAGGATTACTATTTCATATAATTTATTAAGTGTATTTATGTAACGGAAAACCATACCAGGAATTCTTTCTTCTTCGCCATGTTTCTTTCCAATTGGAGTCTCTTCCACTCCAGTACCGAAAATGTCAGAACGGCGTTCAGCAAGTTGCTTCAAACTGTCATCTATGGCTGAACCTATTTACATATGCCACAAAAATATTTGCGTTAGTTTTGCATGATACGGGTTTCATATGGGCTAGTAACTACAGATAATCGGCTTACCTGGCGCATAAACGGATTCCTGATTAACCTTTTCCAACAACTGTCTATCTCTTTGATCTTTCCATCTCGGATCCAGCAGCCCAATTCTGACATGCTCATGTAGTTTAGATACAGGAATTCTCTCTCCAGTAATCGGCGAGATTGTGTAATCCTCTGGTCCAAGCGGTCGTAATATTTCTTTAACTGGACCTTTAGCTTGCTTTGGATCGTAATCTTTCTTAATAATAACTTGGTCTTGACGAGGTGGTTCCAATGAGGGTGGCGCACGAGTTGGTGGGTTGGATTCCATTGCTCGTCTATCATCTCCGTCCTCATCTTCTGAGGAAGAACTTGAGGAATCTTCTTCCATGTCTTGCACCTAATTACACGAATAGAATTTTATTAGTAATGCATGTAATTATTTATGCTACTAGATGTAAGATTCCGTCATTATCCTATTCAAGCATGTACCTCAGTATCATCCTGTGCAGCAAATGAGTCGTCGCCACCTGCATCTTTATCCATTTGACCTGACAATATTCTGTCCTGAAGCAGAACTCTGGCTCCAACTTCTTGCGGTGTCGTTGGCGCAGGGAAATTACCGGCTTCAAAAGCTTGATAATCAACCGTTTCGACCACTACGAAATCATGCCAATCAATACTGGCGTATGCGACTGAAAATATTTATAATTTCATTAAAATATAATTTCTCTTAATAAAATTATATAATTTTAAATGCCAGTGAATTATGCTTACGCCGTTCTCTTTCTGCTTCTTCCTCTTCTTTTCTCCTCTGAGCTTCAATATGCTTAATCCAATTAGCCCGATATTTGACATCTTCTAAAATTTTCTTTCTGTCTTCCGATGACAACTTTTTGGTTATGTCCTTTGGTGGAATTAGAACTTTTGTGTATTGTTCCAACAGCTTCGTGAAGTATTGAAATAGAGAATGCTGCGGCCGCAAAAAGTCAAATTGATAATTTCGTTGTTCCCTCGTCATTAGACTAGATAAGAACTGACGTCCATTTCTTGCTACGAACTGAGCCGTCAACTTAACAATGTCCCTGCAAGGAGATTTAAATATACTAGTTACATAGTTCAACATTAGTAATATGACTGATGATTTATATGATTCTGATAATTTTCTTACAAGTCAATAGCAGATATCGATGGAGGATCGGCAACAAATTCAAACTCGCCTGGGGGATCTTTCGGTACAAATGGAATTGCAACTTGTTTCAGTAATTCTGATTGCTTCTTCTTCTTTGCCTCGTCTATAAGAACTGCTGCTGTCTTTGTGGTCAGGGCACCAATTCCTGAATCAGGGGCGCTAGAAGATGACGTCAAAGTTGCCTTTCCTTCCTGAAACTCTTTCACTTTAAATTCATAGTATGCATGGTATGGATCTCCCTGTCCGAGAAAGTTGAACTTTGGATTATTTTGTTCATTCTGTTTGATACGTGATTCAAATTCCGGACCATTTCTGGCTACAAAACTTGCTGTTTTATCAACAATATCTGCAAATGATTGAAATAAATATATACCCCAGTGAATGTTAACTTTAGTTAAATCGTAATGGCAATAGATAGTAATCTATAATGGAATAGTAAAATTAACTTACTTCTAACTTCCGGCGGTGGATAGATAATTCCCACAATTGGCTTGCTCGGTTTTGGAAGTGGGGCCGGTGTCGTGGCAGATTGTACATCCGCAGTTTCAAGAGCAAATTGAGCAAAATCTGCATGTTCCTCTTCCGCGAAAGGGTTTCCTTCATCCAAATCGGCAAAGTCTGCTACCGGCATTCTATTTAAATTAATTTGCAAAATAGGAAACTAGTTAAATAAATAGTTATCAATTTAATTAAGTAAATTTTAAATTCAATTTAAAAGTTTCAAGTTTCAAGCCACGTTTACAACTTACTTAGTATAAATATCGGTCAGAAAATTTACCTACTTATCTCAAGACACTGAAACTTTAGGATTTTGAATACAATTATTTCACACAATTTTTATAAAGTTTTGAAAAATCAAATCCAAAATATTTTCAAAACAAAACTACAAGAAAACGAGTCACTCTTCTCCGGCTTTGTTTGAATCCTCCACTCGCGTCTCATTCTCTCTCTGCCCCGACAACTCTTCTTCGGTCGTTGAGAATTGAGCTCGTGCTTCTCTACATTCGCCATGATGCTAATGAGCAATAGCACGCTTTCGCTCGTCGCCGTCAACCGTTAGCTAGCACGCGTTTTTATTCATTTTATTTTATTTTATTTTGTACAACAATTAGAAATTTTGGTTTTAATATAAAGAGTGGAAACAATTTATTTTGAGAGATTTTTATGCTAAGAAATAGCACTTTTGCTAGCAAACAATTTTTTTTTGCAAATCACGACTCAGGCTCAACGGGTGACGGGAGTCTCGTTACGGACGAGAAGTACGAGAGTCTTGAAGTTCTGGTACACAGAGACTTTCATTTTCTGAAAGTAGAACCAACAGTGAACGAATTAGAGCAATTTACTTTTGGTTCTTTTTATTCGATTTTTCCCGTTGTAATTTCAACAGAGGTCGTTGAACTTTACAGCTAGCGGAGGGCATTTTATTTTCCCAACTTCTTTCCAATTTGACTTGTCTACGTCTAAAAAGAACAAGGACTCGCACTACTTTTAATTGAAAATGGTACTCGTTTCATATATTTTTAAAAATTTTGTAAAATAGGGTTGAAAAAGTTTCTGACTCATTCTCTGTTCTCTTCTTTGTTTCAGAATCGATTTTTTGCATCAGGTGCTCGTCAAACTGGAGGAACGTCCTTTCAACAACAACGTCGCCATTCTGCTTCGGAGGTGGAGAAGACATCAACATCGTTTAAGCAATCGCAGCAACCAGAAGAACACAGCTCCCCGAAAATGATCTATCCTTCGAGTTGCCTTTCCAATCTCCTTACCAAAATTTCACCTCTGGGAAAGCTTAAACTGAAAAATTTTGATTTCTATCCTAATTGGTTGTGTTTACCGAGTGGTAAGATTTTCTAGATATTTAAGGAGTCTTTAACATTTAAGTTATCATTGATTTCATCTTGTTCTATTGTACGGTAGAAATTATTTTGCACGAGTGTGAAGTTGAAGGGATAATCTCGCATTTGAAGAATCATGCGAATGAAATGCTTCCTCGTGATGATTCTGAGCGTCAACTGCTCACCTATGGGTTTGCTCCAATACTGTGCAACAACACTTTGGCCTTTATGATGATTCTGCAAAAAAATTTCCATTTGGCGGATGATTGTCTTACTGAGAGTAATCGACTGATTGACATTTGTTTTAATGGATCACCCTCAACTATCATGGCGAAGGACTACTTGTCGGGGATATTTTACCTTGTGAAAGGGCTCAAGATATTGCTCGAATCTTTTACTGGATCTTTAGGCGCAACGTTTAACTATGACGCATTTATGATTGATGCAATTGAAAATTTTGAAGACCTCCCTGTAAAAGCACGGGTTGCAGTTTGGGTTTCGAAAAACTTTTTTATGCGGTTGATTAATCGGAGGAAAGTCCAGTACACTACCATTAATGAGGTGAGGTTATTGCATTGCTTCCACTCAGTTATTAATTTTGTTATTTACACGTTGCTTAATTATTTCCATTAGATTGTGTACAATGATCCTGATTTTTTCGAGTGGAGGCTTTATCAGTATTTATTTACACGCCAACAACGATGCCAAATGCTAGGATTTGAAAGTCCGCCCAGCGGAGCGGAGATTCAGGCTATTCAACATGCCTGGAATTTGTTTCCATCCAATCCTTATTGCATCGTCTATTTGGCCCGATGTTTGACCGAACACTTCAGAACCATTTGCTGGCAGGATGAAGCAATAATTAAATCAGGATTTTCTTGCGGTCAGTGGAATTTTGCCACGCAAGAGTTAGCGGCGACATATATCAAGGAGCTGTGTTTGTAAGAACTTAGCCAATAATAAATATGACTACATTAGGGTCACGTTAATGTACCACGTATTGACTTTTTCAACTCGTTGTTTTGTTATTAGGGATGTTGTCAAGTTAAACCAACTATCCGTGAAGATCAACCTTCTCGTATCCGACATATTTGGAACTCTGCTGCCCTTCAAGCACCGGGACCCTGGTCAAGCTCGACACTATGTTTTTCAAGCATTTCGTTTTGGACAGAATGCTTCAAGCAAAGCGAATCATCGTATGGCGTTGACGTTATTGTGCAACATAAAATCACCTGTGAGTACCACAGCACATCACTTATTTTCACACAGCCATTTAATTGAAATCATTACGGTAACCTTTTTCTCATCCAGGCATCCAACCCAAAGCATTGTGAAGATCTTCTTGAAAAAGCATGGAAACTAGACAATCGTAACACTGATGCATTGTACCAGCTTCTTTTGGTATATTTACACCATCCGAAAGAATGTTATCACAAGATTCGTCTATTGTTTGCTACATATTTGAGTTCGTTTGACTTGCCGGAAGCGTTTATTCAGAAACTCATTTTCCTGAAAGGCTGTTTCTATATGATGACGGGAGAATATGAATACGCAATCGTAACATGGATGTCAATTTACTCCACCTATGCAACTCGTATTGACTTCTCGGTAAGAATACGAATTTATGCCCAACATACTTAAGTTTCAAGTGTGACTCAAGTCTTTTTTCGTCTTGCAGATGCTGCAGTATTATTCCTTTGTGTTTCGAGTATTTCAATGGAGTTCGGAATTTTTGAATTTGCCATTCGTAATTGCTGAAACAAACAAATTCCTTACCAAAATTCTTCCCGCAACGGATTCTCCATCTTCACCATCAATTAGACAAACAAAGAACAACTTGATGGAAATGATGCAAGATCAATACCAAGCGCTCAATGCAGATCAGTTCTACACATCGACAATGTCGCCACTTCCTGGAACTAGCCCGAAGCCAACAACATTGCCGATTCATTATCAGCTACCTTCGACTCCACCCACACGGATCGACGAGGAGCCAGATGATGAGGAAAATGATGGACTCTTTTTCGACTTTTCATCCACGGCCCTCTCGAGCTTTGTCTAAAAATCATGGAGTTTATATAGTTAAGTACAACTAATACAAGTTAACGACTACTATTGTCCACCTTTCGCCTTCTCTTTTGCTTTTACATAAATATTCATTTTTTAATTAGCTTGTATGCAACATATTTTAAAGAAAACACAACAGTCTTGTTTCAAGTTCTGCTTTTAATAACACATGGTTAACTAATCAAGTTTATGTTAATTTACTTTGTCATTTTAAACTGGACAAATGTAATATTGTAACACTCATAGTGTAATTTGTAGTTCTTTGTTATTTCTGAATAAAAATTGTTTTTCAGTTTTGAAAAGTTCTTCTACTTCTCTTACATGATGCAAGATTTTTACCACGACCACGATACTTTAAGATTTAGTTTGATAAGATTTAACCTCATGATAATACTTCCTAAAGCATACCCAAAACGTTGGGTACCATTATAAATAATTTATTGATTTATTCAATATAAATCAATAAATTTACACCCATACACCTACATACGTAATAATACATGTACATTACTACTACTACTAATTAGTAGTAGTAATAATTTATCTTATGTATCTATGTATATATATGCACGATTGCTTGACTTTTAGTGCCTAGTTACCCTTAAGGGAGACGCGTTACCTAGATACTTAAGGTCAAGCAATCGTGATATATATGTTGGAGGTAGCGTCGTGAGATCACTATTCGACCAGTATCTACTTCACAATTCCCTGACAACCTAAAAATGAGCAATGTCGACCAAAAAAAATCTAGATGCCTACTTCGTCGAAGGAGGTGAAAAAGAAAACTTACAAATATCCCTCGTCAACAGCGTTAGCTAAAACTAAAAGTGCCAGTTAATTGTGATTTTGGTCCATATATTTTTCATTGTAGGTGGGTTAATCAAAACCTCGTGAGTACCACTGCACTGCAGAGGAATTCACCCTTGGGTTCTCTTGTCGACAGCGAAGCAATCAGAGGATGGCTTCATCAACGACAAATCCACCTCCGCCTGGACTAAAGCCGAAAGCGAGAAGAAATTGGAATAAGAAGGGTCTCGAAGCACATCAGAAGGAAAGCGAGGACGCACCCCCAGAACAACCCCCAGACGCTGCCGCTGAGAGAAAAAACTGGTATGCAATCAAACGGATTGCGATTCCCTTCTTCATCCGTTTCCTAGCTCGAGCAAGTCTCGCCTGGGAAATTGGACTCTACGTCATCATCGTCCTCAACTATGGCTTGACCACGTACGGCTGCTTCTTCACCTACTACAACGAAAGTGTGTGGAACACTGTTCTTTACACGGACATTTTGTACGCAGTGGACGTCGTGATGAGACTTTCTGTTGAATTGTGGCGTTTCAACAACCAGGCGGAAGTCTTAGTTTTTACGTGTAAGTTGAATATTCCAATGTTATTCAAAGGTCTCTTTGCGACACATGTTAATTTTCCCTTCGTATTTAATTGAACAGTACCGTATACATTTTTTAATTGCTTCCTGGACCTCGTCAGCCTATTCCCGAGTTATGCAATTGCTGCACAGTTCTATGACACGGACAGCTTCAGTCATTTATTTTGGCTCGATTATTATCGGTAAGTACACATTGGACATGTTTGTAAGTATACCAAGATGTCAATTATGTAATTTAATTAATTATTATTCTATTCCAGGCTGAATAAGTTCTTGCGTTTGGTTCGTGCTTTTAAATTTTTCGAGGTTCTCAAAGTACGACGACTCATCTCCGAAGAAGGATACTTTCTCCTCACTTTCACCAACATTTATCTAATCTTCATCAACTTTGTGTCCTGCATTTTTTTCCTCTTTACAGGGCTCGTAAGAATTCGTGTTATAATTTTACAACTTAAGTGTGCCGACGAAGTGAAAATGTCTCAATATTTCAGCAACCAGTCGACTTTTTACTTTGGAGAAATTTTACCCAAATTGACGATTCGTGGGCTAAAGAGTTTAGAAAGAAGAAACCTGGTTATGGAAAGGATCCTTTGTAAATACGTGCACACCAGCTATATTTCATTTTCGAATTAACTGATGTACGAATTTTTGCATCTGTTGTTTTACAGGGACTTTTACATTTTAAGTACCCACTTTAGTACAGCAACGGTAACAACTGTGGGGTATGCTAAATATTGCTTAATTTTTGGTAAGTTAGCTATGTTGAGTGCAATTCTGTATTATTCTCTATCAATCACTTCAGGTATGGAGATGTGCATGGAGAAAATGCAGCAGAAATGACTGCCTGTGTCGTGATCATGTTGATTGGTTTGTCCAACTTTTTACAATTTGTGCTACTTTTTACAATTTGAGGAGCTGAGTGGAATATTAAAAAATTATTGTCTATTTTTGCTAATATCTTTCCCAGGCGCTATTTTGATGAACGGATACTTCACCAGTCAAATTACCAATTTTCAACTTGAGCTTGACAGTGCTCGATACGACTTATTTTTTCGATTAGAAGGAATTCTTCGATATATGGTAAAAATAATAATAATTTGACTTACATGTGCCTAGCAGTACTTGACTTTAATTGTGAATTGGTTTTTTAAATTGTTTATATGTTTATAGAAGGGCATTGGAATGTCAGACTTTTTTCAAGAAAAAGTTCAGTTGTACTACAAATGCTTGTGGACTTATCGTGAGGTAAGTTTATTAATTAATCGTCAATTAGTGATTTATTTTTTTAAAGTTTCCGATTGGCTTCTAATTAGGGCGTTGATCGAGTTACATTCATTGAACACATTCCAAAAGCAGTACAGGATGACATGTACTATGACATTTGTTTGGAAATGTTTCACAAATCATACCTGTTCCGTGACTTGGATGAAGCATTTTTGCGAGCGGTATCAAAAATCGTCAAAATTTCAATGTATAATCCTGATATGATTTTATGGTATGACAATTATTTTGAAATATGTTGACGTTCTGTCGATTTCAAAATACTAAAAAGTTTGACAATTTTAAGCCGATATGGGGGTTATGCAAACCAAATGTACTACATTTTACAAGGAGAATGCCAAGCAATGTCTAAGCACGATTCATCAAGACGAGCAGCAATTTTACGAGCTGGAACTATCATCGGAGAAACTAATTTGTTTTTCTCGTGTCCTTACACTATTGCAGTGGAGACCAATACATGTATATATTTTCAAGTTTATTAACCGTCATATCAACACTTGCTTATACTTTTCTATGTACATTTATAGGTTGTCAATTCATCTCTATTGAAAAGGAAGAGTTGATGGCGTGCCTTAATAATTTCCCTTCAGAACTTTCCATCTTGCGTTCAAGAACTCAAGTACTTATACTTATTTTATGTTTTATTTCCGATTGTGTAATGTTTTTTTTTACACGACTTTAATTTTATAGAAGAAAATCAACCAAATGTACCTAAAATTTAAGTTATTTGGAGAAGATCCTGTATGCTGGGTATATACATATTTACTACATATGCGCTCGACATGATTAATTAAATGCTTGTGATTGTTTAAATTTTAACATCGTGTAATAATTCATAATTCAGGTTCAGCGAGTCACGGACAAGAAATATAATAAGAATGACATGAATACTGCAGCCTCTCTCTCAACGGATATGACGGCTAGATGGTAGTTTTTCATCTTATTAATTCAATCAATCTAATTATAAGTAAGTGACATAAGCGGATGTCCATACATTTACAGGGGCGATGAGATGAATCTTGTAGTAACCGAAGATGTTCTCGCTGATGCTGATGTTTGTAACTATTATTTGCTCTGGATAATACATAATCTAATTTGTAATTACTTGTTGTAGCAATTTGTGATCTTTGAAACCTTGTGTCGTAACAAAAAGTATAAGAAAAACCATGTAACGCCCTACATGACCTGCGTTGTTCCTGAAATCCTAAATCCTCAACAGCCTTGGATAGTGTATTGGAATGCTCTGATAATGATTTTTGCACTTATCTATTCCTTTCTTGGTCCATACTGCTTTTCTTTTGGGGTAAGGGATTCATAAAACATAAGAGAAACCAATTATAAAATCTAACCTATTTATATTGTCCACTAGGCAGCGTCCCAATTTCAACAGTATTTATGCACGGCTACGGGACTTTTCCAGTATTTGAATGAATTCATGTACATTATTGATGTGCTGGTTGAAATTGTGGGTGCTTGCCCAGTCGAAGGTAAGTTGTGATATACTATAATTAAACTGAAAAATTTAATTAATTTTTGAAATATTTTGTAGGACAAAAATTTTACGAAAATTTGCATATTTATATTTCAGGGATTTATTTCAAATTGAAGGATGGATTTCAGGTTAAAACCCGGCAGCCCCTATTTTACCTTGATATATTGGCAGGCAAGCTTTCTTACAGCATAACATATGTATTTATGTAAACGTTCTAATCAAACTTCTCAAGCATCAGTTTGTACGGTTCATGTTTATAGCAATTCCAATAGAATTATTTGGCCAGCTTGAAGCTCATGATTTGCTACACGCTATGAACGTTATTCTGAAGTCAATGAAGTTGTGGAAGGTAATAATATTATTTCAATGTACGGATTCGAGTGATATATTATGATGTTTGTACACTTGTATGTTGCAGGTGATACGATATCTCAGATTTTTGGACAACGTGTACCCCAAGAAACTCTTCTGGTTCAGACTTGGCCAAACCTTTGTTGTTTTAATGTGCGGAATCCATAATTGCAACTCGTGTAACTTTGACACACGTTGACTTTCATTGTTTTCACGCAGGTACGGGACGCACTTTATTGCTTGCATCATGTTCTTCATCGCCTGCCCCACGAGTGATATGACTATGGGCGAAACAGCCGACGACTCTTTCAAGTGTAGTGACCAAGGTTGGATTGCCTCTTATCAATCTGCCAACGATTTTGCTCGAATTCCTGTACCAAAAGAACTCGAACCGAATGCCTTGGCCGCCAGCAGTCCTTATTTATTGTCCTTCCACTTCTCGGCTGCGACGTTGACTAGCGCAGGATTTGGGGACTTTAGTCCTCAAAATATCTTTGAAATCATGTTCACCACGTTATTTCAACTGATTGGATTTTTCCTGATTGGATACTACACAGCCTTATTAACATCAGCTTTGACTTGCGTGGTAAAACCGAAGTGTGTTGAATTAAGAATTTATAATACACACATAAATTATGCGTAATAGTAGGCAGAACTGCATTTATTCCATGTACTATATAGATTGGAATTTCAACAAAAACTTCTTGCCGTCCGAAGATTTATGAATCATTATGTCTTACCGGAATCTCTGCAGAGACGAATAATTGAGCACTATGAGTTGCAGGTAAATTGGTAAAATAACAATTTGCAGATCTGTCAAAAAGGTTAGTCATAACATTACCTGTGTCTCTTTCAATTAGTTCCAATTTCATTACGGAATTAATTTGCCTCATGGAGTTCGTCATTATCTGTTCGATTCCCCTGATTATATCAAACACGACGTTTTATACACCGATGTAGTCCTGCTTCTTGATGGAATCCCTTTATTCTCGGTATACAATAAATATTTTAGTACTTTACTGTTTGTTCATTAGCTAATCGCATGTTTTTTTATAGCAAACCGACTCAAAGTGTATTATTAAAATGGCAGAACGAATGAAACGCTATTTAATACCCCCTAATGTCACCTTTCTAAATCTTGGAGATGTTCGTCGGGCAGCGTATGCTGTGCGATTTGGATGCATCGGAGTGAGTCCAAGTTTGTTCAACTAATAGCACATGGCACATTTTAATATTTAACGTTTAGATATTCGATGGGAGATCTGAAGCTCCTCAAGCCATTTTGGAGGCCACTTCGTACTTTGGGTTGAGAGACCTGTAAGACTTTGTCTTTGACTTCTTTTTAAGATTTCAAGGCACAAACATTTAACGTATCTTAAGAAGCATTTTTGTTACAGATTATTCGGCGAACCATCACATTTCAATCATGTGACCTTGAGTTATTGTGTTATTTACGAAATAACTCAAAATAGTTTCCTAGAGGTTTTCGAAGATGACGAGGAGTTGAACGAATATTTAGACGTGGTCCGAGGAGAGACAAAATTGGAAGTAGAAGAAATGTGTCGTACATACTCACGTCTACGTCGGGCAGCAAGAAAAGACCGTGCGATGGAAGTCTCCAGTTGGATTTATTTTAAGGAGAAGCAAAATGATAAGAAGAGTGAACTAACATATCGAGAATATTACAATTACTTTGATGAGTTTATGCTAGGCAAATTTTTAAGGTTGTTGCTTGAATACTAAATGATTAGAACTACAAAAATGCTAAATAACTGAGGGATTTTCTAGGGTATTTCTCATGAATGGTGTTATCCATCCGGCTGGACTGTTTGCTCGTTGGTGGACATGCTGGATGTCTCTGGTCTCTTGTCTAGTCTTATGTCAGCTGGTTATCGAAACGTTCATGTATTATAGAACCCCAGGCTTCAGAATGGTTCAGTATGGTTTGGACCTTTTCCTCTTTATGGATATGTATGTCATTTGTATAATTTGATGTCATTTCATTCTGTAAAGTTTTCCTCTCCTTGGTTCCAGATATGTGAAGCTACACTGGGCATACTTTTTGCCGGACGGACTTTTGGTCACCCATCCCCTGAAGACGGCAGGAATGTACGTTTTTGAGGGGAATTTCGTATTTGACGTTCTCGTTCTGGCGCACCCGGAAATGATGCTCTACGTACTTGGATATACTTCATTTCTTGGCTATGGTCTTGGAGCCACGTGGTACACGAAGCTTCGGTGGATTAGATTTATTCAGATCAAACGAATATCTCCAATATTCAAAATAATTCACTCAGTTTTCGAATATCGGAATGCGATATTGTGAGTTTCCTTAACTTTCGGCTTCAATACGAAATGTTAAAAAGTATTCGGTCATACATGTTATGCTTTTTAAATTACAGGTTCTTTTTATATGTAATGATGACCTTGCTAGTTTGCACGATCGTTGCAGCTATTGCTTTGGCTATCGGCTGTAAGTAAATATTCAATTTTAATAACAACATTTATTAAAAGCTTTATTTGTACATTTTAAAATTTAATCACTTTGGCTCAGGCCCTTGGGAAGCAAACGACTGGAACGATGGAGATCAGTACAAGCTACCGTTTTGTCATCCAGATACCTGGGCCGTCAAAAAAGGTAGGTTGTCATATTTAACTTTGAATTTTCAAGTTCCTTATTACTATGTCCAGATGCATGCAAATACATAAATATTCTAATTTGCAGGTGATGGTCTAATGCACAATTTTTCGGATCGGTGGATTGTCGGAGTTTACTACGTGTGTCAAGTAATTTTAGTCGTGGGATTCGGAGACATGATCACACTGAAAACTGGGGAAGTTTATCTCTTGATTTTCATGTCAATTTTTGGTAATTAGATTAATTGTATTAATTATATAACTAACAAGGGGACTCAAACCATGTTCAGCCCAGATTATTTTTTAACCATCTCAGTTTGAAAGACAAACTCTTTAGAAACAACATTTAGTGGGTGACTTGCGCAGATGCTCGAAATTCAGGGCGAAATGGGCGGCACAAGTTCGTGAAAACTCTCGGGTTTCGAGCGGAATTTACGCCCTGCGGCAGCAGGGCGCAAATTCCTTAGCAAATTCCGAAAAGCTTAGACTTTTCTTGCATTGATTCCTCGTGAAAACCTAGTAACGTTTTTGTAAGCTTGCGGGGTCCATAACGCCCTGAATTTTGAGCATCTGCGCAAGTCCCGCACTAAATGTTGTTTCTCAAGAGTTTGTCTTTCAAACTGAGATGGTAAAAAAATAATCTGGTCTGAACTGCTGAACATGGCTTGCACCCACCCCCATGGTTAGTTGCAATAACAAACTACTCATAATACAATTGCAGGGTTCATTTTTATGCGCTGCATTGTCGCGGATATCACGGCAGCAGAAGTGGACAGTGATGAAGTCAGATCGAATTATATTGATCAGATGCATCGTTTGAAAAAGATTTTGAATCGAGAAAATGTCAGCCAAACCATAATTAGGTGTTTGAAGACAATTTTTTCAGAGATATTTAATACTGCAAAGCAACGCTCATTACTAATACTTAAGGTGATTTTCAACAGAAATGTTCTGGAGCATTTGAAGCATAGCTGGAAACAATCGAAAGGTCTCCAATCGCGAGAATTATTTTCCGATCTTCATCCTGCCCTTGAGACTGACTTGTACGAGGCGTTTGTGGGGGACAGACTAGGAAAAGTTGGTTATTTAAAAATTTCGATAAAATTAGACATTTATCCCAACTGAATGTACGATGTAAGAGCATAAAAAAATCTTAATAGGTTCCTCTATTCGAAGGACTTCCTCCAAGTATACTTCGCAATATATGCAAATATGTTAAAAAAATATATTTTCTCACTGGCGAGAGATTGTCCCGATTTGGAAATTTGGAGTACCACATGTACATAATCGTATCTGGCAAGTAGTACAAAGTATAATTCCATTTTGAGACACGTTCTAATATGTGCATTTATTCTAAAGGCAAAGTGTGGGTCACGGACCGTTTTCTGAATTACGGATGCACACTTCATAAAAATGAGTGAGTTAATTAATCTTAATTGCCTCATGCAAGAAAAAAAGTGTTTGTTTTCTTATACAGCAATATTAATGCTACTGTGTGTTATTCAATTTTTTTCATAGAACTTTCGGAGAGTCTGGCGTTATTGGGCAGGTAAATATTCGTACAACTTAATCAACTAAATAATTGTGTAGTTTTAAAAAACTGTCCAACTTTAAATTTGGTAGATTCCTGGGAGGTAATTTAATTCAATAAAGGATGATGTCCGGCGCCCCATAGATGGATTTTGTAAAAACTTGTTCTGGTAGGTTCACCATAATTGCTTGCGAGAATGTAGAAATCTTTGCCATCAGCCACGCGGATTTCGAGACAATCCTGAATCGCTACCCCGTTGTAAAAACAATTTTAAGTCTGCGAACTGGAAACGGACACTACGACTTTTTTGAAAATAAAATTCATGACATGATCGATTGGCTGAATGGTATGGAAGGTGAAGAAAAAGATCACAGAGTCGACGCCCTTGTTGCAAGAACTCAAGTAATTAAACATCTCGTGTACGGGAGGGAAGACCCACGACAAGAGGATTTAGAAGATGAAGACGTTTCACTATTCAAGCGAAAAAAGCGAAGTGTATTCATTTCATTCGGCACTGATGATGATAACCTTCCTCTCCTCTATTTTGTAGCCCAGCGTTCCAGGTAACATTCATTAATTTGTCCGTGATTGTGGGAAAATAAACTTCTTAATTATGGTATTGTAACAATTTTTAGGAAAACTGGAAAGCTTACATTGTTTCCGCCACTATTACATCCCAATTGGTATTGTCATCATACTTCTTACTTAATACGAACAAATCAGCTAATTATGTAATTATATTATTTCTGTTTTGTAGCGGCTTTCTCAAGCTTTTCCTCAGTCTGATTTCATACATTTGTCTCCTATCTCCTGCAGTTTCAACGTTTGAATTGTGCTTCCCTCCGGTAGATAAAAAATACCTAGCCGATCCACATTCAGACTTTATCAACACTTTCTCCGACGTAATGGCCTATTGCATGGTTGGTTTCATTATTCTCCGGATATTTATGTCTTACAAAGACTCGGAAGGTACCTACGTAAAGAGTTCGTGGTGCGTGGCTGTAAATTACTTTTGTTCACCATCTGGAATATGGTTGGATCTTGCTGCTGCGATACCATCGTTCGTATGTCCTGATCCAAGCAGGTGAGAGAGAACCTCCGCTCAACCATAATTTGTGATGGCCAAAATTAGCAATCATGAGCAGCCTTCACTCTCTGCTCAGCAGGCTTGGGCAAGATACTTTGTTTTCAGATACAAGATACAAGATAAAGATACTTTTGCAAAAAAATCCAAGATACTAGATAAAGATACTTTATTCTCTGTTCTTTCCAAGATACTTAGATACTAAGTAAAAGATACTTTTAAGTATTTTTAAAGATACAAGATACAAGATAAGATAAAGTATCTTAAATATTCCACAAGATACAAGATACTTTTGATTTTTTTTAAGATTTAAAAAAGATAAAATTTCATATTTTTTGCCATTTAGGCATCGCCAGTAAAATGAAAGTCTTACTATTGAGTAGTTAGGCATTTAAAAACACCTTCCACTAGCAAAAATACCACGCATATTTTCTTACAAATTACAATTACTACCTCATAAATCATAAGAAAATCGAACTTTAGATGTCGCGGGTAGCATATTTTGCAAAAAGTATCTTGTATCTTAAAAAGTATCTTAGATACTTTCCTCTTGATGGAAAATATCAGATACAAGATACGAATACAAGATACTCATTGAGGATTTTCCAGATACAAGATACAAGATACTTTGAGCTGAGGCGGCTGGAAGATACAAGATACGAGTAGTATCTTGTATCTTGTATCTAGTATCTTGTATCTTAAAGTATCTATCTTGCCCAAGCCTGCTGCTCAGACTTCTGAACCTGCTGGTCCGATCACAGGTACAGCAGTCCGGGCAGAGAGTGAAGACTGATCATGAGTAATCATGTAGTGATTTTTCGAGCTGCATGCTTATAAATGCGCTTATAAGTACGATCAAAAATAGTAGGTGGACTAATTGTGCAGTGTATTTTACCATGGTCTTTCCAGCACGGATACAAGATTGAGATACTTTCGCATTAGTCGAGCTTTATGGCTGGTAATTATTATTTTCATTAATAAATATTATCGATACATTGTTGACACATAATTTACTTGCAGTTTCGGTATTTCGCTCATCATTTCGATACTAAGGACGACCTCTCAGTCAGCACATTTCAGTTCAAAATTAAGATTTCCGTCGTTTCATTCGTATTCATGGCTCACATATTGGCCTGCATATTCTACACAATTTCGGCTTGTTTAATTGTTGAGATAAAGGGTGAGCTAAGCTACCAATGTTCTGGGAACTATAGCGTGGTGGATACTCCTATTGAAACATGGACTCACAAATGTTAGTTCAAATATGTCTGCATTTTACCGTGATTCTATGAAGTGTAGTGATCTATTCTGTAATTTAGTTATCGAAGATTCTGGAAGATCACAACATATTGACTGTAAATTTCAAGAATTTGTTAAACCATGGCGTTGGTATGTAAGATCTCTCTACTGGGTCGTGACGGTTGTGAGGTAATAATTATATCATTATTATTTAACGTTACTTTAACCTGTTACAGTTATGTAAATCTGTCGCCAAATTATTTGTTCTATTTATTCAGTACGACAGGGTTCGGAGACATCACGCCACGAAATGTTAACGAGATGATCATGGGAATCGTTGCCGTATTTTCCGGAGCATTCATTCTGTCCATCATTCTGAGTCACTTCACTGCTGGGATGGCTTCGTTGAGCAAAGCACACAGAGAATACATATATCAAGTGAAGCTTCTGGTGGTAAGTATCGCTAACTATTTTAGTCCTCACTAACTCATAATAAGTCATATAATATATTATGCATATCATCTAGAAATATCTTCGAAACATTGGACTCTCTTCACTGCGTCAGGAACTCGTCCAACTATATTTTGAAACAGTGTGGGCCAACGTAGAGGGGAATTTTTATCACAAAGCTGCCCGAATATTACCCCCATCCCTGCAAATAGAAGTTTCACATGCCCTTTTTGAATCAGTGCTGAGCCAAGTAAAGTTTTTCAAATGCAAGGACACCAACTTTATTCGTCAAGTGGCGAGTCGAGTGGAACATTCAGTTTATCTCCCAGGCGTCTGCATTGTGAAGGAAGGTGATCAAGGAAATGCCATGTACGTCGTATACAAGGGAAGAGTATCCGGAATTGTTGATGGAGTCGATATTGATAACGAACTCAAGAATATTTACTTGGTGGGTGACACCTTTGGCCGCTTTCCTGCCCTTTTTTTCGATGAGGCGTACAAAAAGTCATACCGGGCAGAAGAATATACGGAAGTTTTGGCAATTTCTCAACACGATATGCTGAGTCTTACTAAACTGTATGAAGATTTCTGGAAAATTCTACTCACCTACATTGACAAGAAATACGATGCGAGCGGTTCTGCGGAATGCATTTTTTCCAATCAAAGGGAAAAGATTTCCGACATTCTTGACTTAAAAGAATACAACAGGAAAAAGCAAGAAGAGAAAGAAAAGGAGCTCCGGGACAAGCACGATGTGAACAGGAAACTTGATAAGAAAAAAATCACTCTCAAGGATCCACACGGGGACGAGGGACATTTCGATCTTTTGGACGATAATTCAACATTTCATGCTGCACCAACAAAATCGACAGGTACCCAACATGGCAAGGACCAACAATCACGCACCAATAAGAAAAGTCAGCATCACGACGCTAAACTCAAAACGGGAAGAAAATCCTACGCCAAAATTGATTCCAAACGAAAAACAGAAAAGAAAGCTGCAAACGTTCGATTCAGTGCTACTGAAGTTTCTGGAATCAACGATGCCGATTTGATAAATCAACTAGCAATGATTGATCAAAACCCTGCAACGGAAGAGTGGGACAACAATCCAATACAAGAATTATATGAAGTCGTAAAGGAAACTAGGAGTAAAAGAACAGTAAAGAAGAAAACTCCGGAAAAACTTTCTGGTAAAAGTGGTAAAAAACAAACCAAAAGGAACTCCCCTGCTAAAGGACAAACTAAACGGCACTCCCCTGCTACGACACAAACCAAACGGCACTCCCCCGCTACGACACAAACTAAACGCAACTCTCCTGCTACTACACAAACTAAACGTAACTCACCTGCTACCCACGGTCATCCAGCAGGCCCCACCACAAAAACAACAACCCCAGTTCATCCTCAGGGACAAAATGATTCACTCGGAGACTCTCAACAGAAACAAATACCTATTGGACACCCTCCAACCGCAGCAGCTCGAACATCATTGGATCCACCACAAGGACAGCAAAAAGAAGATCCACCAGATCATTCTCATGTACAGTTCCACGAGACTTCACAACATCCGCAGCCTGTTCATGGTCATACTGTGACTCATGGGAAACATCAAACTAAAATTCCTCACGATCATCATCATTACAGTCATCAAAAACGAGCTTCACACTCACTTGGTCATCCTCCGTCCCATCCACCCCATCAATCCGCTCCAGCTAGTAAATCAGGTGGTGGACGTTTGTCAATGTCACACCAGCTGGACAATGCTGACCATTCTCATCCCAGTCATCCAAAACCCGCTTCACACCCACTTGGTCATCCACCTCTCCATCCATCCGCTCGTGGACGGATGTCAATGTCACACCAAGATACTGATCATCATCCGGTGACCGGGCACCCACCACCTCGACGCCGCTCACATGCTGCTGCTTCTGCTCGACGCCATTCACATGGTCACGAACAACCCCACCCACCACAATGAATCCTAAATAATTATAATAATCTCAGTTATCACATGTATACTCCTCAAATTTAAGTGCAAATATGTTAATAATTGTTAAGCAGTGTCTATTAATGTAAGGTAATGCAACCTAATGTAAAACCTTATACACCAGCCCTTTCATAAATATGTTTTAATTACATCTTCTATTTTTACTTCTTTAACAACGTTATTTTACAACTCATGTGTACCTAAACAGCAACGTAATTGTGCAATTATTTATTTATTTATATCCAATTATTTCCATTTTACTTGAGATTTTAGGCACGCCATGCAAAGTTTATGAACAAAGTATCTTATACTGAGCGGGAACCGCTGTTCAACAACGTGCTCAAATCTTGTTCTCTTTTCATTCTTACGTCTTGTGCGCTCTTGAATTTACTTTGTGTTAAGTTGTAATTAACTTACCAATTAAACTTAATTGATTAGATAGCTTTCAAGAATGGCTGAATTTGCGGAACTCCATACCCAAGAATGGGAACCAATTGTGAGTGAAATTAATCGTCTGGGGCTATTTTCACGGGCAGAAATAAAGTGAGCGTTTTTTTTACATATTTATTTCTATTTTACGAAATTTGCTAATACTCTAATTAATTTTAAATAAATTAATGTGTGATAGGAAATTAGTGAGCAATGTACATGAGAAGGAATATACTATGCAAAAGAGGACGAGAACGCTGGACAATGTTTTAGATTATGTCAAATTCCAAACAGACCTTTTGGAAGAAATTAAAAAATGTCGAGAGGTATTTAACATTTACTTTATAACGCCTATTATGATATGACTATCGACGTGTTATGTCATATGATTGATAATTAATAATGTGTCCATTTTAGGAATTAGAAGTATTTGAAAAGTTTGAAGAAATTGAGCAGGCGATCGCGAGGAGGATAAACTCCTTGTTTGGTTCCTACACGCGAATTTTTTCCAACGAGATCCGATTTTGGGAGGAGAAACTAAAATTTGTGATTGAACAAGTAAAATGATGTCCTTACTTAATTATTTAAAAAAATAATACTTCTGAATACGTTCAATCGTAGTCAATTTTGAAAGAATTAATAGTTTGTTTCGTATTTTATAGAAATGGTTTTCAGCCGCGTTTACAACTTATCAGGACGCAATCATTCATCATGGGTCACGTTATCCATACCTCTATGAAAAGGCCAGTGCATTCGAATGGAGTAGAAATCCAATAAAGCATATTGACTCGGCTAGACGATTGCTGACTGATGGGATTAGATTGAACCAGCAAAACTTGGATATGTATGCATGGGTAATTTAGTTAACTTAACAATTTATCATTTATGATACTAATTGAGTCTGATTACAGCGTTTTGAGTTGGAGATGAAGCACGCAAGCCTGCTAAATAACAAAATTGACAACCAGGAAGAGTTGGTAAGAACTGAAATAACTTTTATGCAATAAAATTTGTGAATTTGATGAAAGAACATTTAAACAATGTAACACGTTCTTATAGAACTCGGAGACGTTGAATAAATACAACACAGAAATCCAAAATTGTTTGCAAGCTAGCAGACTTGCTTTCACTGGGGCGATCGAGTTTTGTCTTCCACAAGACGGCAAAGTCAAGTTGTACGACCAATTTTTGCAAATAGCGTCAAAATATCGGTTTGATGCTCAAAGTGAATTTATTTTAGGGTACGTTAAAAAACTATTACCCTCGTGCAGATAATTTACTACGTATTTTTTTATTTTCATTTTTCAGGGAAATGATGAAAACTTGTCAAGATGAAGTTGAATATTATGGGAAACTTGCAGAATACAATCTGGAAAAGGGAGATTTCAAGTAGGTTTTCAATTTGTACTATGAGATTAATTGGAAACACTTTATCACATTGTTGGGTAATGCTTGATTGTTCAGTGGCGGACTGTCAGAATTGAGAAAAGGCATCAAGATGATCGACACCTCAGAAATGTATGGCACTGTACTTGCTGTGCTTCATAAGCATTTGCAAAATCATCCGAGCACACAAGGGTATGAAACTCTTCATTCTATTCTTCAAAGCGGTATACGAAATGACAAGTTGTCTCCAGAAAGCTATTTAATTTGGGTAAGTATGCTACGTATTTATAACGGTGTGTATATTTCAGCCTAACCAATTGTTATGCTACTTATACATGTGTTGCATGTTATCGTTTCAGCTTGATCAATGTATTTCTTGGCCATTTCGTAAAAACGGTGTTGAAAAAACTCACATGTTCTCCGAAGACGAAAGGATGAAAGTCTTAAAGACTGCGATAGAAAAGTACCCAGATAATTTGCAGTTTGCGATAGAAATGTTCAAAATAAATGCCGAGAAAGGTTTACCTCTTGAAGCCGACATTGAGCGAATAAACAAAACTGCGCTGCCACAGGACAACGTTGATGACTGGATGTTTCCTATTCTTATGATTCACGTTGAAACAAACCCTTCAAAACAAATGAGATCGTGCTGTCAAAAGTTTGTCAACCGGTCTCCCAAATTGTTTGCAAAATATCTACGCTACATACATTTGAAAGGTATGGAATATTTGAATCACTTTATAAATCATAAATTACAAATATAATATATAGTGATTGTCATATTTGATAATTATTTAGATGGAATCGCGGAGGTGCGAGATGCATACAAAAGTTCGAATAAAGTAAATGACTATGAAGTGATGAGCACAATGGCCGACATGGAATTTAGAAGCTTGGATCATTCCCTCCCCCTGGGTGAAAAGTACAAACGGTTTCGTGACATCATGGAGAAAGCGTGCCAGTTACATGGCAAGGCGAATCTTGGTAAAACAAAAAGGAGAAGTCATTTGTATAATAATTGTTGTCTAATTGTATAACTCTTTGTTATTACAGAAGTCTGGATCGACTACATAAAATACGAAAAATGTTTGAATAACCCAGACAAGGTTTCAGAAATCTTCGCCCGAGCCTTAAATTCCGTACCTTCAAACCTTAAACAAGAACTTTTGCTACGACGAGATCGACTAATTACAATGAATTAATCGATAACATGTGTTTCCCTACGAATCTAATCTATCCTAGGTTTATAATTGTGATTTTTAGCTATTTAAAATTAGAATTTTTATTTTGAGTGAAATGCATGTTTTGTTTATATATGTAAGGATAATATACTTATATACTTTATTAAATGCAAACACAAATTAAATCAAAGAAAATTTGTGGCAACCTCTTATTGACGGAAAACTAGCACATAGTCGACGACCTGGACCATGTATTGCATATTATTTTTTTAGACTTATCAGATTATTTTTCCATAAACTCATGGTTTGCATAAAATAAGTCGAGCCAAACTGCATGGAAACACAGAGTGCAAATAGAAAGAAATGCGAGAAGAAGGCGAGACGTCTGCCAGGCGCGTTTTTGGATTCCGGCGTTGTTGAAGATTCCAGAAGTTTTTCGCCTATTTCCTCGCTCTGTGTGATCAAAATCTGTGTGTCAATATTGTCGTAATTCCACCATATCATCAGGAGGGTCAGAATTACTTGTTGAGTGAGTATACCTGAAGTTAAGAGTAAAATGGGATCTGGAGAAATTCGGTGAGTAACGTTTTCTATCAAAACAAGAAAACTTAATAATGTGCATATTTTTATGATCGAGTTTTGACATATTGACATTTTCTACTTCAGTTGGGTACCACTGGAGTCCAATCCAGAGGTCATGACCAAGTACTCTCGGTCGTTGGGGGCATCGGTGGGTCAGTGGGTCGATGTACGTAAAGTGTAATGCGGAATGCGGTACTGAATGTCTATGCAATACTTTAATTAATACATTGTTTTAGGTTTTCGCATTGGACGAGGACTCACTCGCAGCCGTTCCGCAGCCAGTTAAAGCTGTCATTCTCCTCTTCCCTATTTCCGAAGGGGTAAGGAAATGTAGCTGCAATTAAATGAATCTGATAAATGAGTGATACTTCTGTGATGCATGTAAAAATGTATAATTTGCTCGTTTATAGTATGACCAGTACTGCAAGGAACAGGATGAAGCACTCAAACTCAAGGGACAAGAGGTTCCACAGGATTTGTTTTACATGAAACAGTTTATTCACAATGCTTGTGGTACGGTCGGTAAGTAAAAACAACCTACGTTTTTGTTAGATTTGTTGGCTGAGATCGAGGTGTACCATATGACCTTTTTCTAATTGTAGGAATGATTCATTCATTGGGGAACAATTTTGAAGAGTAAGTTATTTACTTAAATTCTCAAATGTTCATGACTTAAGTCTATAGTCCAGTACCACCCTGATGACTAAATTGTGAGTCGTACTTCCGTGCGACGCACTCTACTTTTAGGACATCTTCTTTGTATCTGGGATATCAATTATGTCTAGTTTCCATTTGTGGTTGATACATCCCTGGAGGTAGAACTGTTGTGTCAATCGTAGGGAACTGGCAAACAGAAAACACTTTTTCTGCTTAATAGTCGTAGTTTTTCATTCTTCGTTGACAAGAATCTGTCGCTCAAGAACTAATTATATATTATTATTTTTGTTGTATTTTCCAGTCTGAAGCTGGACAGTGAGAGCATTCTGAAAAAGTTTTTGGAAAATACAAAAGATATGGATGTAAGTGTAATATTAAAGTGTAATGTGGTGCTGAATGTTGATACGATAATTTGATAAATATATTGTTTTAGGCGCATGCTAGAGGTTTGGAGCTGGAAAAGTTTAATCAAATCGCGACTGTCCACGAGGAAATTGCTAGCGAAGGTCAAACCGCTGCACCTAGTCGAGACGACACTTTGGTTACCCATTTTGTTGCATTTGTCCACAAGGTAATTACTGAGAAATAAAATTGTAAATGGTTAATTTAATCGAATTTAATTCAATCGAAAATTATGAATTAGGATGGACACTTGTACGAGTTGGATGGACGACGAGAATTTCCAATTAATCATGGTGCAACTACTGCTGAGGACCTTTTGAAGGTAATTTTAATAATTCGTACATACTACAAATTATAGTATGTGTAATTAGTTCACGTATAATGGGGTATTTAATTTTTGAAAGGACGCTGCTGCCGTGTGCAAGTCGAGGATAGAGCGAGATCCGACAGAATATCGTTTTACCATCGTTGCCCTCACCACCGGCGATGTCGAATAATGTAACAAGACCACTCAACTTGAGAACTTTAAGCCTGCATTCAAACAAAAAAAAAACATTCGTCTGAATAATTATAAATTTATAATATAATCTAAATTGGTATATCTGTGTAATTTACTTAATAATCTTATTAGTCTTATCTCTATCAATCCCGGTGCGTTGTTCAATGTCTTATAAAAAAGCAATCATTAGTACCCTAAATTAAATTATTTACATTATGAAATCAAAACAGAATTTTGCACATGCATAAATAAGTACGTATGGAAAGAAATATATGTATATCTTTTACATTGGTTTTCCAATTCTGATTTTTAATATACTTCTAAATCTAAATTAGTTTCATTTTGTACGGTGTTCCGAATAAATATAAGAAGGTTAATTTTTTTGTAAGATCAATGGTCATAATTCATCCCCTCACTCTGTATCGTCATCTTCATCGGAACCTGAATCTTCGCTGTCACCAATTTCCGAATCATTTTCAGAATCATCACCCGAGTCTTGGCTATCAGTACCAGTGCCACCTTGTCTTTCCAAATCGTCTTCATCACTGGACGAATCTTCCGAGTCTTGGTCGGTATCATCGAAATTGTCGTTTTCTGCATCGTCCTCAGTCTGATCAGACGCCTCATCTTCATCCTCTTCTTCTTCTTCGGTTTCTGCTTTGTCTTCTTCAACGTCGCGCATTTCTACGTCTTCGGGATCCGGATCAGGAAATCCACCTCCTGCCAAATCTTGTGCTTGATTTTCACTTGTTGAGTCATCTGCACTCCGTTTGCGTGGGTTTGCATTTATTCTCCCACTAAACAAGATTGACCGAAGTGAGTACATAAATTGTTAAATATTGGAAATTTAATAAATTATACTTCCAATCAATACCTTGAATTTTGTTTCAGCTTTGTATTCAGCTCGAGCTCTGCTTCCAGTTCCTTGTCCAGGTCTTCGATTTTCTTGGACAAAGCGTTGCAGTCATCACTATATTTCACAACGTGCGTATGTAAATCCATAAGCCAGAAATATTTAGTTTAAAATTGTCTTACACAAGTGTGTTGTGAAGTGCGACGTTCTGAAGGCACTCTGGGTGCTGACATGTCACAACTTGCTGCTGGCATGTCTCATCGCCTTCCTTGGTGTCCGTGGTCAAATTGGCGTGGAGTGCTGGGAGCCCAAGCAAATTTGGCGTGGTGGCTGCTGGAGTTGGCATTACTGGAACACTTTCTTCAGCTTCAAACTCTGGATAACATGGATAAGAGCTGTAGCGATGAATCCCCTTTTGGCAAGATTGACAGTGAATTTTACCCTTGACTGTTTTTAGGCAGTGTTGGTGGACAACATGTCCGCATGAGGTGACCGACATGACTGTATTCGTCGGCTCGTTCAAAGGTAGATTGCAGATGGAACAGCACAGCACCATTTTGGATGATATGAAGATGAAGGTGACGATACTGAGGTTGAAGCCGTTCAGAAGAAAAAATTATTATGGTTGCAAATCTTTGCGAATCTTTGCGAACCTATAGAAAATATTTTCACAGTCTACAATTTTGTCGCCAAGGAATTTTTTTAGCAGGGCGTTCTAAAAATGCGTCCCACATTGAGTGACGCTATCTATGGGTACGGTACAACAATCCAGTCATCACTTTGACATATCTATCTGTTAAAAAAATTGCTGCAGTTAATTTGATGCCAAAATGACCCTCAAATCATTTACATGCTTTCTTATCGTCTCCTTTACTATTCCGCATGTTTTGACGCAACTAGTCAACTTTCCCGTTAAGTTAACAAACGATTTTTGTTAAAATCTGATGTTATCTATGCATAATAATTATTAATTGTCGCAGGTCCCAATGTGTGCTGCTAGATTGCCAGACAATTATTCTGTGGATCACCTGCAAGGTGCATCTTCATGCTTGTATAACATTTCAATTAATTTGGCTGCTGTATTTCTTCCTGGAATTGACATGAAAGCTGTAGCACAGTAAAATATTTCATAATTGTGCGCAAACTTGTACATTTAAAGGCTTTGGTTACACAAATTTAATTGTGCAGAATGGCTGGTGGCTCAGCAGCAGAAATTCTTGACAGAGCTTTTAAAGAAGGCGAAAAAAATCTTAATCAGCAATTCTTTGGACCAAAATCGGAACGATTAGCGACCGAATTTGATGACGATGACACAATTGAACGCAACCATTTTATCGACGTCCATTTTCCGGATGACGGGTTTGACCCAAACGATTTGATTAGTGCGTTCTCAAATACGAGTGATATCGTTAAAGATGTAAGGAATGAATTGCAACTCATTTAAATAAATTTAATGTGCTATTACTATTTATTTTCTATATATATTTTGCCAGTACGCCAAAATTTCTGGTCAGTCTTACCGTGCATTGGAAAACATTTTGGACGCCGTGGGAGAAGCTGATGACGAATTTTTTGCCAGAACTGAATTGCATTTTAATGGAACGACGCTCATATCAGAGTCGTTGAATTCTTCGGACGCCACGCTAAAAACAAACTTTTCGATAAGGGCCCAACAAATCTTGAATTCCACTTTATATCCAAACGGCAGTAAGAACATGGATGTTGAACTGTTAATTTCAAGCGATCTAGAAGACGTTTTGAGCTCTATTGGAGTTTCTAAATTACAAATGCAAATGAGCGAAACTCTAGACAATCCATTTTTTGATGATACATCCGCCATTATCAGAACCCCCATTCTTTCCGTCATAATGAAAGACTACACTCCGGGAAGGGAACATTTGCCCATTAATTTGGAAGGGGTGGAAAAACCGTTCGAGTTTTGGATGCCGTTGGAACACGTTACCGGTCAGGATGACCCAGGGACGCTACGAGTACAGCGGAACTTGCTCTTAGCCAACTTGACGGATCAGGACATTCAACCATTTCATTTAATCCTTCCGCACAATGCGTTAGTTTTTGTGGAAATTGTGGATCCTAAAGTCGGAGCTGAATATACAGTGAGCACATTACTTGAAATTAAGCAATTGCATGATGATACAAATATTTGTCGTGTGGAATGTAGGTCCTATATCTCAAGGACTACTGGCCGACAAGGAGTGATTTTTGTGGAAATTATTCAACCACCGTTTTAAATAGTTCATCAGTCCCGGCTAGCATGAAGTTTATTACGGAGAAATCAAAGTATTTACATATTTACAAATGTACAAATGTACCAAAAATATATTTTAATGACTCAAATTCTGCCTCTTTGCAGTTTTAGCCAGTCTTCGCTAATCGGTGAGCAAAATCTAGACTATTATGTTGCAATTTACATGAATTATCCAGCAGCGCCGCAGTCATCGCCGGTAGATTTCAGGGTGCGATTTACAAGATTAAGTTGTTTATTTCGAGACGAGGATTCCGAATTCTGGTCGGAAAAGGGATGCGTTGTTGGGGAAGACTCGACCCTAGAAAGGCTTCATTGTTACTGCAATCACGCCAGCATTTTTGCCGGAACGCAGTTCACCATTCCAAATGATCTCGAAACAATCAGCGTGTTTGACTTCAGATCGCAAGATTTTCATGATAATCCAATAATAATGAGTACGGTGTGTGTCCTACTCGGAATATATATCATTGCTATGATCATCTGCTACCTTTTGGACCGACGGGATGGAAAGAAAGTGGTCGGAATTACGATAATGACTGATTTGGGGGGTGATCCTCATCACCATTATTATTTAATCACGGTTATCACAGGTAACCATATTATTATATTAAACATTTAGCAAACATTAGCTAATTGTGCACTTAATTTTGTATGGCAGGAAACCGATTGGGTGCTGGAACCACGGCCAGCGTATGTCTTCAATTGTACGGGACCCAGGGTCGCAGTCAAGTGTACGTCCTGAGAGAGCCTTCGACCCCTGTTCTAAATCGAGGAGGAATTGACAGTTTTTTAGTCTCCTCTGAAACACATCTTGGTGACATTGAAAGAATTAGAATCTGGCATGATAATTCTGGCAATTCCCCAAATTGGTAGGTCTACTTATTACAAAAATAAAGTTTTATACACAAATAAACGTACTACAAATAAGTTCATTTTGTGGGTTAATTTACATACGCAGGTATTGCAGAAAAGTGATTGTAAAATATGTGAAATCTGACGTCGAATGGTTATTTTTTGTTGAAAATTGGCTTCGCATAACTGGAAAGCAATCAACCATAATTTACGAACAAAATTTAGCAACGCCAAAAGAGTTTGCGAGTTTTAGACGAAGATTTTTCAAAAACTTTGTCGACCACTTGGACAAGTCACACCTTTGGCTGAGTGTTATTCGACATCCAACTGCAAGTAGATTTACAAGGTGTCAACGGCTGAGCTGCGCATTTGCAATTTTGACCCTGTACTTGCTTTCTAATATTATCATGTACGGAATTGAAGTTCAAGACCCTGGTAAACTTGATTAACTTAACAAAATTGCGGGCATTGTCTAAACTGATAAGGTCTCGACTACATTTCAGATGACCCATATGGACTCCAATCCTATGTGATCGCAGCGCAAATGTCCTTACTCGAAGTGCCTTTTGGATGCTGTATCATTTACATGTTTTGGTATGTTGTATTTTTACCCATCACTAATCATTACACCTGAAAGATAATGTTTCTATCAGGCTAATTCGACAACGTCACATCCCAACCCTAATAATTTGGCGGAAACACCCCCAACTCATCCAGTCACGACCGAGGGGATCAGTTTTTATTCCAAAGTCGACGCAAAGATCCACAAGAGCAAGTCTAAAGCCTAGAAATACCATTATCGTGGACGAGTCCTCTGGAGACGCGTATAATAATGACAACGACAACAACGACGCTGGTACAGAGGCCTCTGAAACCTTTTCAATTCCGTCGACAAATGTTGAAGATTTTGAAGGCTGGGTTGCCGCATATCATGGAGATGATCGTGGACAGTACATTCGATCCATGAGGGACCACGACGACGCAATGATTCAATCAGATGACCAGGTCGGTTGGGGTCGGATGGGTCTTGTTCACGCCATCCGGTCCAAACATCCCCACAGCTTCGTATATTCTGGAGACAACGACGTTCCCGACGTAGAAAATCTGATGAATGAAGAAATAAAACGTCACTTGCTACGACCTTCTACCGGGGACGGAAGTGGTGGTGATGGTCAAAATAATACTAAGCGCTTCAAAATCATGGAGCAACAAGTTTTTGACCGTGGGGACGGCTTCCTGGATCCTGATTTTGACAGTGACGATGTCGAAATTGCGTTTGAAACGTGTGAAATGAAACCACAAAGGACAGCATTTTTCAAACTGCCGTGGTGGTTCATCTTCATAGCTTGGACGATATGTTTGGCATCAATTTGTATCTTTTTATACTTTACTCTCCTCTACGGTCTGCATTACGGATATCTTCGAAGTTTGGACTGGCTGTTGAGAGTGGCGTTATCTTTCTTGATAAGCGTGTTCATCGTTCAACCGATAAATATTTTAATTTGTGCCTTCATTTTCACCGTTGCCTGTACGCCAAAAAATTGGTCGATCGTGGATGAGGAAAGGTTTCAAATCCTGTCAACGGACAGGGACACCTTCGGAAAGAGGAAACCGATCATGATGAAAGTTTTCGAGGCAGAGCGGAAACATCCACCACTTTCGGATGCTACGATTTTTGTGAGGGGAAATTATTTTCTTTGTGCAAATTAGTTGCAGATATGTAAATACTTGCATAAATTCTAGGAAATCAAAATCGCTGCTCGCAGGTGGAATCGTGTAAAAAATGCGATGGGGGAACTACTATTTTACGTCTTTCTGTTGATACCACTCTTAATTTTCGTTTACGCTGGCCGAAGCCCTGATGACCTTATGCTTGTTCGGAATATGAGATGTCTTTTGGAAACAAATCGAGCAACTGCAGATATCAACTCACCAGAAGAGTATGCATTTCTTCCTACTTATTCAAACCAGTTTTCATGTCACGATGTGTTTTCTCACTGTTTAATTATTGCTTTTATGTATGTAGACTTTACAAATACTTGAAAACCGTTGTTGCTCCAGCATTATATCCGGCAAAACTGTACAACGGTAAGAATAATGTCGTGACGCGATACGGAGTCGTAGAAATAGACGATCATATAAATTATTTAATCGGTGTGCCAAGAATTAGACAAGTCCGAGCACCGAAAGGTACACACACTTAATGTATACATAATAAATGATACGCTAAAATAAGAATTGATAAGTCTGGTTTATTTTCCTCTAGAAAAATGCCACGTTCCAACCTCCGTGAAAGACAATTTCAAAAACTGTTATTTCTACTATGACATTTCAACCCAAGAGAAGGGAACATACTATGAATTTTGGTTACCAGTGAAAAACTTGACCCATCGAAAACTCCACATTTCTAACGACATTTGGAAATTTCGTGGCAATGAGACTGACCACGCCTTCATTAGGTCTCGGGACATTAGAGGCCACAAAGGAATTTATGACGGCGGCGGTTATGTAGCCGAGCTGGGAAGAACTTATCGACAAACTAAATCAGTCCTGAAATACATGAAACGCACGAATTGGATTGACCAACAAACTCGCAGCGTCTTTGTGGAATTTACAATTTACAATCCAAACATGAATCGATTTTTAAATGTTGTGATTTTCATCGAGCGTGGCCCATCTCATTCATTCGAGACAAGTTTCCAGGTACATAAATAAAACTACCAGCTTTTGAAAATTGTTGTGATTTCACTCAACTTTGGCTTCCAGATAACCCCAGTATTCTTAACGATAGATGACGACCTCGAAGGTCTGTCCTGGGTGAAGGTTTCATTCTTCAGCCTGATCATTGCTGCCGTCCTGCTCGTCCTCAATCTCATTTGGATCATTTGCTTCTCGAGTGAACTCCGTTTATGCCAGCAGTACTGGTTTTGGCTGAATATCGTCATGATTGTGGGCATTGTGACGTCCTTGTCCGTCTCCGTCAAAAAGTACTACGTGATGGAAAACATTACGGAAACCATCCAACTGATGAAAGTCAACGAGTATGTGAACCTGCAAGAAATCGCGTACTGGGACGGAGTTCAAAGTGCAGCCTTCAGCATTACTCAGTGCATTTGCTTCCTCAAGATATGGCGATTGTTGGTATTTTTGGAGGGGGGATTTCTCGTGACCTCGCTCACAGTCAGATTAGCGTCTCATATGATTTTCGCCTTCTCCTTTGTCGTACTCATTGTGCTCGTGGGGTTTACGTGTGCTGGGTACATATTCTTCGGAGGCTCAATGGCGCAGTTTAGCACGCTTGGAAATACTTTCTTGACCTTGATAGGACAGGTAATTTATTTATGAAGTGTTAAAATTAGTGTGACATTAATTTCTCATCACCAAAACTTCTCATGATCGTCATAGTCAACAAATTTTTAATCATTTCTCGCATCTGGGAATTTATTTTAAAATCCTGAACGGCAAATTTTAGGTCTTTAAGCCAGTTTCGTTGAGTTCTAATTTTATTAAAATTACTTATTTTATTACTTAAAAAACTTGAGATCTATTTTAAAAATGTTAAAATCTTGGGTGTGGATTTTTTAATTGGCAACGACCCATTCTACAAATTCGTCGTAAATAAATTTCCAGAGCCGAGAAATGGTTAAAAATATGTTTATTTTGGCGATAAATCATCGACACAAATAGTTTTTTTTTAATTTCTAGTCCTTGCACGTAACAATATTCGACGAGCTGTACCTCACCAATCGAATCATTGGACCAATCTATGGATCTGTATATGGTTTCGTTTCCAACATTCTCTTCCTAAACTTGCTAATTGCCATTCTAAATCAGTCCATGATTGAGGCAAAAATGTTGGCCAACGAAAAATTTAGAAACTGGGGAATCGCGGAAAGCATTGTTCACCACATTTTTCGCCGTCACGGACATCAACCTGCTACTTCTGCCCTCGTAGAACTTCAACCCGACCGACTCGAAGGGTTAAAGAAATCCACCGCAGAACTCTTCAGAGCTGCTCTACGATCTGAAGATGCTCAAAAAATGAAGAAGATAAAGCTCTACGCTAAATATCTTCTGGAAGGAACGGATTATTATTTACTGCGACGCCAGCCTGCAAACTACTATCAGGAATTTTTAAAAGAACGAAAAATGGACGAAATGCGCCTGCAGACAGCAGAATTTCTCAAGGCAAGGATGGGCACGGAGATGAGCGTTGAGGAAATGAGAAAATACAACGATATTAACAAGACCATTGTCTCGTTGAGAATCTTCAAGCTGGAAAAAGCTGTTAATGAATTGCAGCGTAAATTGAAGAGGTATCGAAATGACGAAGTCGTGTTTCAGTGTAGGTCTGAAAATGGTGTAATTACTTTTGTGTGAATATATTCGTAGTCTCAATTTGTAAGGAATTTTAATGAGGAACTATTAGCACCTTTTACTACTTAAAACGAATGAGAATCGCATTATGGAAAGAAGTAAATATTTTCTACATGAAATCTCCAGCATACACCCACAAGTTTTTTTAGACAGTGTGTCAGTTGACCATTTTATAGCAAACATATTGCAAGTTGGCTTTCCATAATTATTTTCAAAATGAAGTGCACCAGGACCTGCGGTTTATCGTTTAACGCGTTTACTGGAGTTGTGGGACTTTTGGAAATCATTCGTAAATAAACATTACCCCAGAAAAATTAGTTTTTCATTCTCAATTAAATATGTTTTATTATTTTATTACGAATAATAAATAATCTTAGTGTCTGGATTAATTGCTGCTTTATCCGTATACACATGGATTAAGGAAGGAAGACCTGTAAGGTTTATTTATGAAGCAGGGAAATCGGACAACTACGTGGTTCGAAATACTGCACTAGAAAGTAAATTGAAAATCTGAAAACATTTCACAAACTTATTTTTTTCAAAATTATAATATTTCTATTCATAGGCTGCGTCTTTGTTTGGTGTCTGGCCATTGTACTTTTGGTGTGCATTTGGAGGATAATTTCGGCAGTACTCTTATTCCTGTGTGTCAAACGGGTTAGTTGTTGCAGTCTCATTTTTAAATGGCAAAAGTACATTTAAAATATTTAACTCTTTGCATAGGATTCTGCTCCACTTGGTCAATATTGGCTACTATATAAACTTTTGGCCTTAATAATGTCGCTTTTTGTTGCAATCTCGTCATTTAATGCGCCGGGGATCAAGATTGTGGCCATTCTTTCATTTGTCGTGGACCTTGTCACCAGTTACTTCATGTTCATTTTGCACCCGGAGATTGGAAGGATGCAACGAGCCCTGATCATCAAAGAGTGATAAATTGAAAGACATATATTAAACAATGCGATAAAATCTTATCATTTAAAATATTATCGTTTAGTGGTTAAATAAAATCGACAATGGACAACATATTTAATTGAACATAATTTGGCTTTATTGGTTGTTAAGACTTTATGAAAATATGTCTGCACTTTACAAAATTTGGAAATTCCAATGCCAGAAAAATAGAATCGATCAATCCCTTCAGTTCACAGTTCTTGCATAATTGTTTAAAATTAAACAAATTAAAGATGGAGATTCCCAGAGGAGAAATTACAAAGACTGTGTACTCACTGGTAATGAAATCATACATATTTGTTATGTAATTCTAACACACGAATTTATTTGTCCACCTTCAACATATGTACTAGATCAAAACAGAAAAGTTTTCCGAAGCGATCGAAATATTAGAGCAACTTTTGGACTTGCAACCTTCCGTAAGTTATTAAATATTAAATTGACTGGGACCATTGTAATTCAAGCGACGAACTTTTTCACTTATTCAAATAGAGTCGAGCTGCCCTGTCGTTGTTGGGATATTGCAATTTTCAGCTTCAAAATTTCGAGAATGCCATCATTGTTTATGAACGCTTAAACAGCTTGTTCCCAGATATTCCACAATACCAATATTATTTGGCTCAAGCTCTGTACAACATTTCGAATTATGAGGAAGCACTTAACATTGTTTCCTGTCTGAGTGGTGACGTTGATGCTGCGTTACAAGAAAAGGTGTGAAACCAAATTGGTGTCGCTAATTCTACAAAGTTATGAAAACATGCTAAAAAACTTGATCACATTTTAGGTTATCAAACTCCAAGCTTCTATCCAATACTGTTGCGATGAAAGGAGTGATGCAAAGGCTTTTGTACAAAAATTTAATAAGATCGACCCCGATAAAGAAGTCTCACTTGGATGTTTAGAGTACAAAGTAATCGTTTTTATGATTAATTAAAATGCTCATGTTTGGTTTGTTTGGCTGCTAAAAATGATTTTTAATTTGATTAGGATGGAAATTATTCTGAAGCAAGTCGACATTTTGAAAATGCTTCAAAAATTATAGGAATGGAACCCTTGCTTTGGTACAATCGAGCTGTGGCCTGTTATCAACGAGGTAATTTCGGTTTTTGAAATTTAATCCAATAGTGAAATACAAAATTTTATTCTCAATATTGACTTACAGGAGACTTACCCACCGCTGCACATTATATTGGTTGACATACATAATATTGACATATATATTACACAAATTGAACCATTTTAAAATTTAATGGTAATGTTTTTCTCAGGTGAAGTCATTGAATATGGAGCCGTAAATTTTCCAGAACTAAAAATGGGCCATAAAACTGAAGACTCGAAATCTGTCCAGAGCGTCGGAAATTCTAGAATGTTGCACAGATCTGCATTGATTGAAACTCTGAATTTAAAAGCCGTTGTGGAGTACGATTTACAAAAGTGTATGCGTAAATTTTTGCTAGAAATGTTGCAGATCTAATGTCATAAATAATTATTGTTTAAACTGCTAACCTTATAGTGAAAGCGGCAAGAGATACGCTGAAAGACCTTCCACCCCGTTTAGACGAAGGTGACCATTACACATAACAAGTAGTTAAACACATTTGGGACCAGGGATTAAAATTGATTGTGCGTTTTCAGAGTTGGATCCGATTACTTTGCATAACCAAGCAATTCTCAACGTTCAACTGGATTACATCGAAAGTTTAAGAAAATTACGATTTTTATTGGAACAGTCTTCGTTCCCACCAGAAACATTTGTCAATTTGTTGATTCTCTACTGGCGTTATGAACAGGTACATAATAGTTAACTAATTTATGGCAATGCTTAATTTAGGGCAAGGGTGCCAAGTACTTAAATATGTATGTACTAATTTCGATTTGACTAAAAATTCACAGATTGACCTAATTGCGGATATAATGGCTGCATATGGAGAGTACAAAATGAAATATATGAACCATGCAAGTTGTTTATAATAATTTCCCGATCAAATGCAAAAATGTGTATGTACATTTAGAGCTTGACGTTTATTTCTTTCGTAGAATATGCGACGATTGTTCGAGTCCCTCATTAAACAAGAAGTTGCTCCAAATGAGGCATCCGAGGAAATGGCAGAACATTGCGTTGAAGTGGGCAAGACTTTGCTGGACATGGTTAAAAGGGTATACAAATTTAGTATTTATTCCAATGTTGAAAATGCCAGGATAGTTTAATTACATATTTATTTATTCATGCAGGTTGCAAGTGTTAAAGTGTACGGAAACGAAGATGAAATACGGACAGTTTGCAATGAATTTGACGACTTGATCGATGGGTAATATGCATAAATAAACAATCAAGGACAATAAACTTTAGGAATATTTGGGATTTTCCAACTAAAAGCAAGATTTTATCATCTTTTTTTCAGAACATACATGCCCATGTTACTAACCCTGGGAAAATTCTACTGGGAAAAGGACGATTTGAAAAAGGTCGAGGAAATTTTGAAACTTGGAGCAGAATTTCTAAACGACCGAGACCCCTGGCTCGTAAACTGTGCTCATGTCGTATACCGCCGTGGAAAAGACTTTAAAGAAGCTGCAGGATTGTATGAGCTCGTCGTAAGAAAATATCAGCTAGAGGTTGATTAATAGTTTTGCAGTTTTTATTTAAAAATTGTCCACCTTTACACATATTTATATACATTTTTGGATATATTTGCAGTTACTTCAAATTAGTGCCGCCCCTCTTGCAAATTTAGCAGTTTGTTACGTGCTCATGGGTCGAAATGAGGAAGCAGAAAAGTTGATTCAAAAAATTCAAGAGCAGGAAATCTTGCTTGTCGAGAGTCACAAAGGGATGAAAGTCTTCCACTCTTCGATCATGAGTCTCGTGATTGGGACTCTTTACTGCACAAAGTACAATTATCAATTCGGAATTGATAGAATGTTTCAAGCTTTGCTGGATTATGACACAAAGTTGGGACCGGATACATGGTAAGCATTTGCATTGATTCTTTGTTCTAATTAGAATTTAGCATTGAATAATGTTCCCTTAATTTTAGGTTCCACGTGAAAACTTGCATCTTATCACTGATCGATAGGCTTGTAAAATTTGATATCTCAGTGTCGAAAGAAACTATTCAGGAAACATTGGTACTCCTGCAGGAATGCGAAGGTATAAGAATACTGCGTGATTTTGTAATTAGATTATAACATTGATATCTATTTGACTTATTACTAGAGCACGGACTTCATGTCACGACCGTGATTGAAGAAACTAGTGCAAATCCACAAATGGCGGAGGATTACAATTTTCCAATTAATTACGGAACTAAAACGGTCGCTTATGAATCCAGATATTTGCAGTATTTACTGCGACAAGTGACAGAAGTTTACATGTGATTGAGTGTTATATCATTGAATATCGTAAGTGCTTATCTTAAACTAGCTTAAGTGCAATGGTTTATAATATCATGATTAATACATATCGTATGCAATGTTTCCCTCGTTTACATATTTTACCCAGGTTGGTAAAGAATTATGTCCCCAGACCCATTTAGTACCCTGAACCTTCGCCCGGCTGTCGGCTCATAGTATCCGTTCCCATCATCATGCCCCGATCTCTCCAGTACTTGACGATCCAGCGTCGCTATATTTACAAGATTTTAAAAACATGCTTAGATCTCAAGTTTTTGACATCAATTAATTATGTACCTTGTAGTGAGCAATGATCACGAAACCTGAATACGTCCAAGCGACGTTGTAGACAATAACGCATGCAATTGGTCCAACTGTAGGAACAATTAATTATAATCGGTCCCACAGGAAGTATATACATAAATTATTCAGGTAATACCATCCCAAGTAACTGTGAGAGGTCTGTACGTCAGCAGGACGAATATTGCAATGATCATGACGAAAGCCATTATCCACATCACTGGGCATATTCATAATAGTAATTTATAAGATAATAGTTCATCGTAATTTTATAAGCATTTTAAAACCTGAGCAAAGAAATGTCGTCCTGTGGGAAATTATTATGAATATAAATTAACTTAATACTTATAATTATTACAATAATAATTGCAATCATACATAACTATCCAAGGCATGTACATGTAGGGGTGCACCTACAGGAAATACATAAGTTTTGGTAATTAAAATTTTAAATAAGTCGAGTGCATATTTTTACGGTTTTCTTGATCAGGGCATAGACCACCATCATCCCAGTTACGAAGTACACCGCTTCGGCAACAATGACGGCTTTTGCAAATGGCTTCCACACTTTAGAAATTGAGCATATTTTATTTTATAACTTCTCTGATGGATATTATCTTATCGTGATTGGTGTTCAGATATATATGTATACGTACGAGGCCATAATCTCTGGATAAGCTCTGGGTTCTCCCGCATGTAATAGTAGTCAAAGTCGTTTTTAAACCGATTCTGCCACCAAATGTCCGTCTCGTCAGGTCTTTCAATCAGGAACATGAACAGGACGCCAATCGTGGACAGAGCTGCGGACTTTTCAAGTAGAAAAATATTTTTATTTCTACATATCTACAAGCTTTCTTCTAAAAGTAAATGCATAGCTCTTACATTCAGAAAGAGGATGATGACCCATGCCCCCTCACGAAGGGTACAAGCTCTCAAAAATTGGTCAGGTAACTCCAACTTTTCTCTGTATTTCTGCTCAAATTTTTTCTCATTACATAATTTATTACGAATCTTATGTAAGAAATGACTAAAAATCATACCGCTTTTAATCTAGGAAATGAGAATCCTTGCAACGGGATGTTACTGTCTTGGCGTTGCAGCTCAGAAATCATTTTATTTTGATCCATGTTTTCAGGGGGTGGTTAAAATTTTTTAAAGGTGCTGAAGTAGTGTCAAGTTTCTAATGAACATGAAATAAAACTGACATACAAAATATATAATTTACATATTTTCGATCAAAGGTACAGCCGATCGATGCCATAAATTACAAAAATTCTAATTATGCATAGTGTGCTGGGGATGTCGTGACACGCAATAAAAGGTTCTTACTTATTCAATACATACACGCCATGAGAGGAAATACTGATAAGCATGCAGTTTGTATTAAATACATCATCAATAAATTTAGTGTTATTTACCAAGGTCGGTTATCGATCCATATTCGAATATTTAGTTATCGAGCCAGTCTTTCTTACAACGAAATATTTTCCAATAACACATTTTATTCGCAAGAGCTCATAAACATTTATAAATTTAAGACATACATTTTCAGATAAAATATACATAAATATTCATCTGTAAATATGTACATATACATTTTCAACGAGATCTTGAAGCCATTATGCAACATGCATTTGACCCAAAAATATTACAAGCGTATTATTTCTTTATAAAAATACTTATGTAATTAGGACTATTCATAATAATGCTCTCGATAACTAAAGCTTGCACGATATTAAGAACGTTAATCTTGCACATTGATAACCTCCAGATTATCGTCGACTTTTCCTTTCGGTGACCTCTCCATAACAATTTGTCCAATTCGCTTCACCTTCTGTTTTTCAGGCTTTATTTTCATGTTTGCAAATTGATCTAGCAAATTGCTTTCACTTTTCGATTCAACATTTTTGACCTTGTTGGACACATCTTGAAGGACGGTGAAAGTTTTCTTGGGCTGTGGCTTGGGAACGTTGTTCTCTTTCTCGTCCGCGGAGGAGGAACTTGACTTGTCCGAATTGTCGGTCGTTTGTGGAGAGAAGTTGACCCTGTTTTGTTTCGGTTTGATTTTATTTGGCTGATTTTCCACTTGTTTCTTCTCCAATTGCTTGTTACTTTCTTCTTCCAGGGCTAAAGTGACCTTTTCTTGGGGTCTCTTTTCCAATCCCACCTTCTCCACTGGACCACCGATTTCGCCCTTGTAGCACCTCAACCCTGCCGCCCGAATTGAACTCCCATCTGAACGCTGCTTCTTTACAAACTCAGTTTTGTAGCGACTCACGCTATCAAACTTGGCATTAGGGTCGAAGATAAGGTCCGATTGTCGTTGGTCCCACGGGTACAAGATTCCCTTTGGCGGTTTTGGTGGGAGTGGTTTAAAGATGAGCGACTCCTTCGCCATTTCTTGCCAGGGCCACGCCTTCCTTCGAGCAAGTGTCGTGGTCGCTACTCGCGTTGCAGGGTCTTCAAAAAAAGGGGTAGTGGTGCGCCTCTGATCCCATTTATACGTGCGACGCGAAGTCACTTTTTCTTCGGGTTGATTGAAAATTAGAGATTTCAGGGCACGTTCAGCCCACGGCCATTTTCGAACGGGAACGTTGAATGTTGTGCTTGTCGTGCTGGGAGTGGTTTGGTCGTTGGCGAAGAGAAATACGCCGGAGGATTGGGCACGACGCTGCCACGGCCAACGATGCTGGGGTTGAAGTCCACCCCGACGCCCTGAATAGATAAGTTTATGAGTCAGTCATCCCTACTTAAAATTTGTATAATCAAAGTTTAAAATTATTTGTATGTATAAACCTGCTCCTCCATTTGGTCGACCAGCAGGGGCCGGATTATTATTGGTGTCAGTAGATCTCAGCGAATTGACAAATATTTCCGATCGTGCGGCTCGTTCTTGCCAGGGCCATTGGCGACCAAGGGGTGGAACAATTCGTCGACCACCACCGGGAGTGGGGTTCGCAGACGATGATGGAAGAATATCCGATCGGTTCCTCGTTCCCCAGGTTGGAATGGGATTTCTCAGCTTTGGTCGCAGTCTCATGGGGGAGAAGGCAAAGCTTTTGGCGTATTCAGATCTACTCGGCTTTCCATCTGTACAATTGAGAGGTGAATAATATTGCAATCTTAATTAATTAATTAATAATTAGTAAATTACCAGAGTTTGAAGAAACTTTCGTGGCAGGTCTTCTATTCGGTGGCTGCTCAGACTTCGCAGATGATCCTGCAGTGCTAGAGGTGGCTGGACGAGGCATGATTTTTAAGTTGTGCTTGCAAATCCAAAATTTGTGTCGAACTTCCCTAAAAAGTTGGAAATTTATTAGTGCTGAGGTTGTCTTTTATTTTTATTTCTAAATGGATTTCTGAATATTTGAGACTCGAAAATCTGTTGTCAAAGACACTATTCAATTAGTATTTTGATGAAAATAACTCACATTTTCAAGGAATTTGCAGAGGAACCTATAGGTCGACATGAGGAACGGATTATAAAATGAGCAGATTTAAGCGTGTGGTTTATTTACTATCAAAGATCACGAGCACATAAAAGATATTGAGCAAAATGTAAAATCACAGTTTTAATCGAAAACCAAGCAAATAATTGCTGGTTGTCTTGCTTGATTCAAGACCATCTTGACTATCATAACACGACAGCACATGGGGAATGTTTTTTAGCAAAAAGTGAATCTCATATCCATCGCATATCATTGCAAACTGCTATATCTTGCTATAGCCCTACATAAGTGGCAAAAAACCTTGCAGATGTTGAAAATGTTGATAGTTCATACAATGCATAAAGGTTTGTTGGTTTGGTTGGGTGGTTTTCTCACGTCGCGTACATATCGTGATTCCAAGAGGACTTCTTGGGTTTCATTGTTGGCTGCATGATTGCGTAAAAGTTTGAGTAGAAAAACTTTGCTATGTTTGCAATCAAAACGTGTCTCATGTCTCAAAACTGGAGGAGGTTGGCCTTTCAGGATCTGTTTGTAATGCCATGAATTCACTTTATGCATGTATATGTACATAGACGAGACTTTAAAGAACCAAATAACTACTTATCATTAGAAGAGGAATACAAGGAGACTATTTTTTGTCGTATTATTTATTTTAAAGTGTACAATTTTTAAGAGCCATTTTTATTGTTAAATAAATCTAGCCGGAATTTGTTTAATGAGGGGTATACATAATTTGTAAAATATGATTCATCATTTTTACTTAATTGCATACTTTGTTAATTTCAAATTATGTAACAAAGTCACGTCCCTGATATATTAATATCCATCGATTCGTTCCCCTTAGCAGAAAATGTAGGACTATATGGATTGGTTTTGGCTGAATCATAAATTCACGCGAAACAAAACAAAACGTCAATTTCCGGTGAGGTGACATGACCCACTTTCATTCATATACTTACTTACCTGTCTAGTTTCCCATCTATTTCCAGCATGCCAAAACAAAAACAGACATCAAACAAAGGAATACCGACCGACGTGGGTATAAGAGAAATTAGGTATTCATTAAATAATTCATTTAACTAAAGCGTCGTGGATTTTACTGTCCGACTTATGCATACCACTCATTTCTACGTACGCTATATGTAGCTCAGATATTCAGGTAATAATGGAGAATGCGTGTTGTTTCCACCTCCATCACGGTTAAAGAAGGCACAGAGCAATTAAGTCTGTACTTCTTCCGGCAGAAAGGGTAAAAACACCATGATGACTATTTTTCGACGTTAAATACAGTGAGTGACTATGGCTTGGATATTGAATACGTACGTATTTGGTCTCAAACAAAGGTGGTAATATTGTTTTTCCTCCATGAATTGGTGTCAATCCTTGTCTTCGTGTCGCATTATTACTAATTCACACCATTAAAGATTAGATTAAAGCAGAAGCACACTTTGACGAAAAGTGAGTCAAATCAGACATTGACTCCTTCCTTCGTGCTCATCATCCATATTCGACGAGTGCATTAGTAATCGCGTTTCTTTGCCATGATGAGGCAATTTCCTTTCTGTTTAAACAAAGTGCATGGCATAATGTAGCACTATATTTATGAATTTGAAATAAAGTGGACTTTTCTGGAGCGAGTTGCATACGTTTTTTTTCTTACTTGTTGTTCTTCCGCGATGATGGAAGGTCTTATCAAATTTCTCTGTGGGTTAATATTCTCCAAGTAAAAAAAATAGCGATGCAAATAACGATACTATTTCGGGTCGTCGCAGTTGCCGTATTTCTGCACACTTTTACGGCGAGTGAAATTTTGGTGACCGGAATTTTAAACCGACAGAGTGGAAGTTGTGCACAGGATGATGATTGCAGCTCACGGGAAACATTTTTGTACTGCATAAATCGACAGTGTCAATGTCTTCAAGGTGGGTCGTCCTACGTTCACGGGGTTTTGCTCCAGTTTAACATGGAATGGGACCCTTATCAAACGAAATGTGTCAGCAAGCCGGGTTCTCCTTGTACATTTAAGGTGAAATAATTTATTGCAAGATTACAGATCGTTGCTGTTCGTGCAAAAGTTGTTGAGAAACTAATCGGAAACAGGAGTTGTCGGATCAATTTTTGGGAAACATGAGACTTCATAACTATAACATGGTGTCAAATTTTCCCCTCATTTTCATCTGACAACTTATCGGTTTTGAAGGCGACAACTTCTGTTTCCGATTCGTTTCTCAACCGACAACTTTTGCACGAACAGTGACGATATGAATAGAAATTCATAATTTAGACATCCTGTTTTTCAGAATCGATGGTACTCTTCGTCAGAAACGGCCAAGTTGGATTGTGTCCCTGATTCAACCTGCATTCCGCATGCTTCTTCCTCCTCTGCAAATGCGAAGCAGTATCCGCAACATGACTACCATCAACAGCAGAGCAGATTCCAACAACCAGAAAATTCTATGACCCCTGCAGATTTCGGTGTTTGTTGGCAAAATCGACAAGGAAGCGTTGATTCAAATGTGGATAAAACCCCATTTTATCCGATTTTGACTCCGAATCAGCAACCTCAATATCATCAACCTGGTCGACACGAGTTTGTGGGGCATGGAAATGGATATCCCATAAGTCCGACAAAAGTGGATAATTCTGCAACGAAATATAGTAGCAGGAATGGATTATTTGTATTTTGCATAATTCTGGCAGGTTTATGGGTTGCTTTTAAAAAATAGATTATGGAGAAAAAAATTTGATATTTATTTAATTGGGATAAAACTGTTACACTTAATACTTATGTACATATATAGTTTTAAATAAAAATATGGTAATGAAATATTCAAGGTTTCAATAATTTGTTTTAAAAATAATAAAACGGTATGAAAGAAAAATTTACATGGAATTTACATATGCATACTTAATCAAAATTGACATCAAGTTCCAATCAATGCCGATGAAGTTTTGCCAGAATGAACATCTCGCACCTCTTGACTCAAGTACTCGGTATCATTTAATTGATAATCATTTTACAAATCATTATATTTAGCATGTCCGATATTCGTGTCCTATAAAATTATATAACTTTTTAAATTAATTTAGTCCAGTCTGATTTCGCCGCACATGAAGAAACTCACATTCATTTAACCTCTTGTACAAAATGACGTCAAAATTGAAAAATGATCCTCAACCTCCACCACACCCAAAAAAGCTCAAATATCTCACAACTATCTCCATCATGTTAGGAAACATAACTTTCGTAAGACTACATTTATTTTCAAAATCTTATCACTTCCAAATACTCCTCTCAATGCAGGGCTGCGCCTTCAACTTTTATTCTCCTGCCCTGGAAGATATCAGAATTAAGTATGAAACCGATGTCGACGATATTTCTACAGTTTTTACAATAATGTTGGTGTGCTATTGTGCTGGAGCGTTATCTTGTGAGTTTAGAGATATACATAATTGCAAAAAATGCCAAACTAATTTTGAAAATGTATGTATTTATTTCAAATTGCAGCCATGATAATTTATAAGTATATAAACCGACAACTGGGCGTCATAATTTGCCTTGGTGGAATGGCTGCCGGGTTATTTCTAACGCCCCATTGTCCTTCAAAAACCTTATTTTTTGTGGTTGGTGGAATGCTCGGATATTTTGTTGGCTCGTACGATGCAACACAAGTAGTTTGGATGATTGAAATTTGGCAGGTACATAAATTCCAGTCTGATTTTCAACCCTTTTCAAAACATAACTTTTGCTTCCGTTAGGAAAAATCTGGTCCATTCATTCAAGGCCAACATTTCTGCTACGCGTTGGGAACCAATATTCCACCCTTACTTTTAGGACCATTCTTAAGGGGCGATGTCGATGAGGACGATGAAGATGTGACCACGACGCCCATGTCTCAATCCGAATCTAAAATGTATATTCCCTTTTCAATCGGTGGAAGCCTGAGTGCTGCTGCATGTTGCATACAAGTGTTTCTCTTTATATTTTATCGCTATTATAAACCCCCACTGTATAATAATAATAATAACAATAACGATACTTATGATGATCAAAATAACAACAATGAATCTACAAATCCAACTGAACCTGAAGAAACTTTCAAAAAATCTAAAACGTCTAAAACAATCCTGGATGTCGTAACTTCGCAAAAGTTTAAGTTGGTTCTGGTCATGGGGGCGTTCGCTGGTAATTTATTCTAAAATCTTTACTAAAAATAATGAATAGTTAACTTTCCAACCTTCAAAACATAATATTTCTGCAGGTGCGTATCAAGGGATGGAGATGTGTACTTTACAATTCATCCCGACTTTTGGTCAGTATTCTGCCATCGACTTATCAGAATCTTCCGCCGCTTCGGTTCTCACCGGTTTGACAGCAGCATTCGCAGTGGGACGATTTTTTGGAATTTTTATCATTTTAAAAGTCCATCCCATCGTAATGTTGATGGTCAGTCTGGTCATCGTCTTTATTGGAAATACGATCCTGTTTTTCTGGGCTGGTGAAAGTGTGACCATGTTTTGGGTGGCTTGTTGCGTTGTGGGGCTAGGCTTTAGCACGATTTACGCCAGTTTCAGCGCGTTTATGGAGAAGCACATCATTTTTACGGATTTTGTGGGAGGTTGGATGATTGTCTGCGGGTCCTCTCTGGCAGCGATATATCCGATAATTGTTGGAGCTAGTATTGAAGATGATACCGTAATTTTGAGCTGGGTTAATTATGTCAGTATTGGAATTTGTGCAAGCTCGTTAGGAATTGGGTGGTGGTTGGTCAGTGGCAATAATAATGTTAAAGAAAGGACGCAAAAGCAGAGAGTTTAGTTTTGTGATAATTTTATTGTTACGTTTGTTGTTACATAAATGTAGGAAAAAATGTTATTTTTATACTTCCTTATGTGATTGATTACTATATCAGTAAAATATTTTGTAAAACCTGTCAGTGTTGATTTAGCCCGAGTCAGGGTCAGGCTTCGAAAATTTTCTAAATTGCCAAATAGTGAATCATAATGGTAAAGAATGTTGGCATAATACAGAGCAAATGTTGCATGCAAAATTTCAGCTTTTTGACACCTTCATACCGAATCACAGATTTTTTCCAAATTTCAAGTCGATAAAATAAGTTATTTAAATAAGAGTTATCGCAAGGCGGACATGATGGTTCCTTAAGTTCGGGCTAAAAATTATGCAAAGTTTCCGAATTTATTACATAATCTTTAATCATTAACAAAAGGTGTCTTCACGCTCACATACTTATTAAATTATTTATCACACTTCCTGTGTTCGTATTGTTGACTCATTTTAAATCCTATAACTCACTTTGTTCACCATTCTTCCATGAGCAATTTATGTATGTATTTATGTGTGACGTAGAAATTGTAGCACTGCCGCATCTCATTTTCATAATGACAACGTCAATAAAAACCTTCCTGTTGAGAAACCGATTAGTGGTTAGTGAAAAATGAATGAAACATGGTGATGCTAAACCTCAACCTGATCTTCATTTCACGTATGCATGTACTTATTAACCAACAAACATTACGACGTATTTGGTAGTGATTAGATTGCCTGTCATTATGACACATTGTTATTACGGGTGGAGTTTCCTAAAAAAAGAAATTAGTGCTTCTCTACAAATCTTTTTTCCACCTAAAACGCTTTACACGTTTAACATTCATTCGTTGGTTGAATGTGACAATAAAAATCATCATGGGTCATGTACTTGCTACTACAAGTTCATGGAAAATATTAATAATCACATTTATAACTTATTTGATCAACCATTTTGTGGTGGTCGCAAGTCAGCAATATTCCGCTCCAATTTTATCACCCTCTTCTTCTGGGGGTGGACCTTATTTTTTTAATTCAAGTTCCTTCCACTCCCCTCGACCTGGTCACCTTCATCCCGGACCAGGTCATCCCTTGTCACTGCTTTCTCAATATGAGGAGGAAGGATCCCACTTCAGTGGTGAGGGTTCCGTAAGAGATGAATCTGGGGCAGCGTCATCGTCATCATTTGCTGGATCAGGATTTCCGCCTTCCAGACTTCCTCCTGGAGAAAGCCATTATCCTTCTGAAGTTGGTCGCCCGGTGGAAAGTCCAGGACTGGATTTTGAGAATCATGGTCATTCACAGCAGATTCCGACGAGTAAATCAAAAACGATCTCTGGGGACTACTGCTGGGATCCATTGTTTGGATGCGATACGCCGAGGTAAATGCATTGGACAAGAAATGTACAAAAGTACTCTTGTTTTTTCGGCAATAACGCCAATAAATTTTCGGCGTCACCATTAGAATATGCATATGAATATGAATATGCATATTCTAATGGTGACGCCGAAGGTTTTATAGCCAAAAAAATAAGAGCATGTACAAAATTATGCTACACAAATACACCTAAATTCTCTCTCAGAACTATTCTGTACTGTATTAATGGGCGCTGTACTTGTCCCACTGAATGGACCCTTACGCCCGGAAATCTGCCCTTGAACACGGTCTGGGTAAGTAATAAATAAGCCCCCTACTAAATTCAAAAAGCTAATATGAACTATGTAACTCTACATATTTTCAGGAGCCTTCGTCTAAACGTTGCGTCTCGCTTCTGGGGTCGGGATGTCACGTTTCTCCGTCCACCATTGGGAACGGATATGTATACTGTCAGCCAGGAGTGCAATGCATTCCTCACCCGCAGTGGAGAGAGGTCGGGACTTGTGGGGCATCATCACTTAGAGTCATCGGCGTCCTTTTAATATTTATCGTTTTGATACTTCAACAATTTGTGGAATGCATATTTAATTTATGAGATTTTAAATAATACACAATTTTATTAGTCAATAGTGAGTTATTTTTTATTTTTTCACATTAAACTCCTCAATTTTTTCGACCATTCGACAAAACTGCAAATTTTAGATACAAGGTGAGCCTCGTGTACTTGAAGATGTTCGTTCTCACGACACAAGTCTTCATTCTGTTTGTTACGACATGACAAGTCACAAACGCATCTTTCATTTTTGCATGATAAGTGAGCCGTTTTATCACAAATGATAAATGACTTATCGGAACTATTGAAAATTTTGGTCAAAACTTCCCAACTGTGATCTATTCCCTTTGGCAAATGGGTAGGATTTCGGAGATCATGGTTGGGGAAAGTCGGGAACAGTGAAGCGAATACGAGTTCAAGTTGTGGATTGCAGCTCTCACCTTCAGGAGCACTTCGGTTTGACTTGATTTTGTTCAGCATGTCCTCAAGGTCGTATAACTTATTTTCTAAATCGACATTTGTGGTGGTGTTGGTGTCATTATTTTGGTTTACTTCACAGTTTACCGTAAAATTTTCTCAATCGCACTCTAAAGGTTTCGGGGTAGCATTTTCTAAGCATGATTCTCCACTATAGCCATTTTTGCATTGGCAAGTATGCCGGAAGTTGATAACGGAAGGACTGCATTTCGAGTTTTTGCGACAAACCGGGACCCAATTTGTTACTGGGCGGGGATCACAGTCTTGATTAGCATTAAGTTTACATGCTCCATCTTCATAAACGTGGCCGGGATAACATTGACATTTTTCTGAGGTGTGATGACAAAATAAACCTTGAAATCCGTTGCAAAGTTCTGGAAAAATTCAATCAATTTTTTTAAGCTTTACATAAGTTTATCTTGGTTGTGAGGATTTTAGCGATTTTGAATTTATAATTAAAATTAGGACTCGATGACTCATCGCCAAATTGGAAAAAATTAGTACATTTTTAATCATTACTCGGCTCAGGGATTTGAAATTCTGGAAGGCAAATTTGTAGAGCAAGTCGTTGCCAATTTTTCAAAAGTATTTACTCCAGATTTGACGATTTTTGAAGGAGATTTCAAGTTAAAGAAGCCTTCAGAAAAATTGAAACTCATCTAAACTGGCTTAAAAACTCATCGCTACTCTAAATATTAATCAAGCTACTGACTACAAATTCGTAGTTCAGAATTTTAAAATAAATTCCCAGAGCCGAGAAATGTTAAAAAAATGTGCTGATTTTGACGATTTTGCTGATAAGTCATCAAGTCCTATGTTTTACTCTTGACGCCTGTTCGAATCAAGTAACTCAGCCATTTAGACGCCTTCTGGTATTGGTACAAGGTTTTGCTCCCAGCAATGTTGACATCACTGTTTGCAATTTCCATGAAAAACTTGAATATTCTCTCGGACATGATTCCACCCTCGACCTTGCATTTTTCATTATAATTCAATCCCATCACTGGCTGAATTTGAAGAGTATTGATTCAACGATTCGAATACTTCGTTAACATCTTTGTCAGCTTCATAGCCAGCGACATTGTTTCGTTTCAGTATTGTAGAAATTTTGGACTGCTCGTCACTACAAAATTTCCCATCCTGCCCATTGTTACACACGCATTTTCGATCGTCAATGTCACAATCGGCATTCTGAATGCATGCGGGTTGAAACTTGAGTTGAAACACTTGTTCGATCTTCCACATTCGTGGTCCACGTGGGAAAAATTCTACTCCATGAGAATAAGTTTCCAGACATGATTCCCTATTAGAAACACGACATTGTCCATCTTCTTCGGTCAGAGAGGAGAAACATTCACATTTTTTCGTGACAGCGGAACAGTTTAGGAATTTTTCCAAGTTGCAAAAATTGACGGGTGGCGTATTTTGTAATCTTTGACTTGTTTTTCTGCAGAATTAAAAATGAATTATCACTAGTTTCTAATATCAAATAAGGTGATGACCAGCAGGCGGATATGCACTTATTTTAAACTTTTTCATTTAATGACGACAGACAGTCTAACTGGGTGTGTTCCCTAAAGTCTTATAAATCGCAAAAATTTCAAAATATTTTTTTCTTACATAAATATTTCCAGGTTTTCAGACATAAACGTATGTATAGGTATTTCCGCTATTATTTGAAAAATATGTCAATATGTTATACATTCTTCAAAAATACGTATATTTTGTAATTTGTATATATTTCAGCGGTGTGAGACGAAATTTTTTGGCTCAAAGAAATTGGATCACTAAAGATCGAAAGAATTTATATTCAAACCTATTCACAGATTTTACAAAAATTCTGATTTTTGTTTTTCGTATATATTTCATAAATATTAAATACAGCGATTTTTCGTAGATACATATCCTCCCTCTGGTTATGACGTGACATGATAAGTACCGAACCGGAAGGATTCACTAGCATGAGGTGAGCCTTTGGATCGCAATCGTCCTCCAAATGGAGGGTGAATCTTGCCCGGATGTCGGCGTAAAGTGATGGTGGTGGGGGTGAAAGTGGCGGTGATGCAATGCTTTCTCCACCACAAGTCATCCCCTCTGGACACCAGCACTGCGACGTGAACAAGAGTGGTTTGGATTCACAAATAGCTCCAGACACACAGCTTGGAGGAGATGGGGCCGAAAATCGCTTCTTATTTTTTAACGGATCAAAGACAAATGTTCCTTGGTGGTCGTCCCCACAATTGCTTCCGACCATGAGATGACACTTGTTTTCTTGGTAGAGCATGCCTGATAATTCAACAAGGAGAAAATTATTTTTTGTTTATTAAGGAGCGGAACGAAATGAGGCGGAGGTATTCGTATCGTTTTGTCCGTCTATTTCCAGAACGCCTCAACATAATAAAATCCCATTTTCCCCGCTGTGCTTCTAATTTTAATTCACAAATATCGAATTTGGATTTAAAAGTAGTTTGGAGCAGGGATTTCAGAAATCATTTCGACGATCATCGACATGTCGACAGAATAAATGAGGTCAGCGGTTATAAATATGTCGAAACGGAAAAAAATGTCAAATTTTCGTACCAAATGCTGCACTCCGTTTCCGCTCGTTTATTATCTGTTGGTGGAGTTTATTTAAATTAATTATGCGTACCTTCTTCACACTGACAAATACGTTTCGTAGCATCGCATCTTAACGCATTGTTGAAGTTGCAGAGTGGCCTCTTATCTCGTAAAATGGAAGTCTGCCATGCCGTGATGGACTCCGGTTTAGGGTCGACCCAATCCGCCCCCTGCATTGCTAAAGGTGGGTGATCAAGCAACTCTTGTTTCGCAGGGTCGCAATGGTCTCCAAATTTGAGGGTGGCCGCCCTCCGTAGGTGAATGTCCCTGATGACCATTTCCTCCTTGTCGTTGTCCGCCTCCATTTTTGCATAGAGCGACGACGCTTCTTTCCTTCGTTCTCCGGTGGCCGCAAATCCACGAAGATTCATGAGTTGCAAGAGATCCGTCTTTATTTCTTCGGGGAACAAGAAATACTCGTTGGTATCGTCGTCCGTATTGTTTTTGCTGCCAATAATGTGGCGTGATGCTGACTTTCCTTTAATTTTCCCCATGCTTCGCCCTCGACCAGTGGATTTTGTCTTTGTATCGATCCAAAAAACACTATTTTCGGCATTATCGCTGTCATCAAAACTGTTGGAAGATGATGACCGGCAATCAACTCCGCCAGGATAGGAGACGTAGCCATTTTTGCACCGGCATATTTTATTTGAAGCCCCGAAACTTGAGACACATTCGGAATCTTCGCCAGAACACGAGATTTCCACGTCTTCACCGGGAACGACTGGAATTCCGGCTTGGTTTAATTGTTGATCGGTGAACGCGCATTGTTTCCCGATTCGAATACTGCAACCACCTTCTTCCGGCATCATTGCGCTGTGAGAACAATTGCAACGTCGCGAGATTTTGTCGCAAGTTAGAAATTTTTTGAAATTACAGGTACTCTGAGAGCGGAGAAAGAACGTTCGAAGTTTAGGGCGTAAGTGGTCTTCGATGGGACGATCCCGGTGATATTTTCCGTCTACGTCTTGATCTAGCAGCAATATTTATTAAGAAATGTATTTATTACATCATCTCATTTGCATAAGTAAACTTTAAATATAGTTCACTCATACCTTTCATTATTTTCTTTCCCACGCTTAAATGATCTTCCAGTTCAACAATTGTTACGGCATCGCAAGGTTCTCCGAAAATAGCGAAGCCGTAATCTTTCGAAAGAATCCTCTCGTACAATGTATGATAATATTTCTCAAGTTTCGGTTTAGACATGTTTCCTTGCAGGGCAGAAACTTTGCTGGATGATGCCATGCAGTGGGATAATATGTGAGAAGTAAGTATGACAAAGATGAACGAATGCAATTTGCTGCTAAAAACGGTCCACCAAGTTAATGTGATGTGCATGATTTTGGAATTTTATGGGTTTAAGTTTTCACTTTATAATGGCATGAGATAAGTAATTGCATGAGTATAATTTACACTAACAAATATTTTTAAGCATTTTATGCTGGACATTTCCTGTTTATATTTTTTTTTGAGGATTGTTATCAAACAAATGGACAACATTCATATGAAAAATTTGTACTATTTAATTTCTACAAAACGTATACATAAATAAAACATTTTATTTACATGAACAATAAAATAAATTCAAAAATCTACAATCTCCTGAGTTGTGTTAATAGAGTTTGCATATGTATATACTAATACTAATATATACTAATGCTAACGGGAACTTGTACGTATTTACAAGATACATTTACGGACTAGATATGCTTATAAATTTAGTGAAATGTTACTAAAGTTGATGAGATCTGATTATGTGCGGACCGTGGGATCTTGTACTTTACCCGTCTTCCTATCTCTAAAGAAGATGCGTCCACAATATCCCTCATGATTTTGAACGATGCTGGGTTCACATTTCTTATTGCATTCGAAAAGACACTTATTTCCATAAGTTACCATATCAGACCCACAAATTGGATGAAAGTCGTCCGAACAGCCGCAAGAATCTGGATGGCACGTCAGTGATGAAGATGATGGTTGAGATCCTTCTGGATTTTTTGGGTTCAAAATAAAATTTGTCACTCCGATTGAGTTGGATAATTGTGCGTCTGTTTGAGATTTGGGCCTTGGTGTAGTTGCAGATTCAAGTAAATGATCCTTCAATGCTGATCCGTGGTCTTGTATAACCGAATTTTCGTCCTCGTCCAACAGTGCTCTGAGATTCGTAGTGGCCAATGGACTGCACGATGTCGTTGATATTATTGAAGAAGTAATAGTGAGTGTGAGACTAATTACAGCCAAATATACGGATCTTGTCATGTTGAACAGGGCACAGTTATATGCAGATGACGATTACTTGATATCTTAGTGCAAGGTAACTTATGAATGATGATAAGTACACCATCTGCCCATGTTTTTATACATATTGCATGGCAAGGAAACCCAAAGGAAGAAATATGTGCGATGCATGCAGCACGAAGCAATTAGCAAATAATTAGAAGAAACATGACAGTCGAGAAAAATGAGTAATTCTCAAATGTGTTCATGAGTAATGTGTATCATTATATGCTGACATTTAGTGTATGTACGCATACCGTAGTCCTAAATAAGTTCAATATACATGAAAAAATTGCACATGCTCTTAATTTTTTTAAGTTGAGTATATCCGTCAACTTTTTCCTTCCAGTTAGTGCTGGTTGTACATACGTCACTCGTACTTACATTTTAATTTATTTGCGTATTGCCCTGTTCTCTTAATCCAGTTTCATAGAACTCTTTTCTTGGATTGTTGTCTGGCCTAAATGTCTCCTGAGTACTTAACGTGGTATTAATTGGCTTTTTCTTTCTTTGCCCAGTCCTTCCATTTCAACTACTTGCATGCACATTTTTAGTTGCCAGAGGTCATTACAAAATTGGAGTTTCAATTTTGACAGTAAAGACATTCCCATAATTATAATTAGTAGGGAATACCGATTTCATTGCTATTTATGTCATGAGATTGGACATATCATAAGTAGGTATTCGACAGTGGAGGTATTTCCAGCAATAAATAGCATGCAGTTAAAAAGCAATAATTGAATCAATCATATTCAAATGACAGTAATGCGACAACTACTGGTTTTCCATGCAGCATCAAAAACAGTATAAATAATAACTACATACAAATTGATGTATATAGCATTTCTTTTCAGGACATTTTTACCATCAAAATAAAATATGAAGTAATTTACATGGCGTAAATCCGTGTATTTTTTATCTCTCGCTAAAAAAGCTTCGCTAAATAGTTCCAGTGCATACATAAAATAAATTCATACTTGACTGCATCCATTCCAACCACCAAAACCTTTGCATATTGTTAGCTTTAGGATGATGAAGAGATGATAAAATAATTGCTTCTCTCTCTGCCTTTCGCTGTTATTATTACTCTGCTTTAATTCAAAATCTAAACAATGAACTGACTGCTGAATCAGCGTTTTTTGTTCCATGATTCGAGTCGTGATTGTAACGGACAGATAGACAGACAACTCGTGCAATAAAATGGCCAAAATTTAACTATAACGCAGAAGGGAAACCAAACCAGTTATAATAGCAATCGTGGTTCGTACATAGGTATTACCACGCTGGTAGTACATATATTATAGCTCAATAAATAATCCTGCTGCTGGCTTCGTTCGTTGGTGCCAAGTCATAATGCAATTCCATTTCATGTCATTCCTCGCATAAATCCACCAACTTCTATCCAGCATAAAACGTCTCTATGTACGAGCATAATTCGTTGTGCTTTTGTACACAGAATGCAGAATGAATGTAACGAATGTCTTTTTCTTTCTCAGTTATATTTCATGCGAGGAGTCAAAAGAGCGTTAGCGTTATTATAACAAAGAAAATACGGCATCAATTTTCGCTTGCAGTGTACAAACATATCATCCATCACAGGTACAGGAATATTGGTTCAGCCTTCGCTGGTGCATAAAGTAACGTGCAAATAATAAATAGTTTGCTTTTGCGAAAAGAATTCGTAAATAAATAAATACTAATTTGTGCTCATTGTTCAACAATTAATAGTAAAAGTAGATGGCTGGTAAACAATAAATAGAAAACTGTGTGTAACGACGTGTCGTAAAGTAAATGACAATAATAAAAGTTGCATTATTATGGATATTTAGTAACTGAATCTACATAAACCATATACGTAGGTAGGTACATATAGTTCTATTGTATGACATATACTCAAACTTGGAGTGAATTATGTCTCTGCTTTTGTACGAGTTATTTAGTAGTTGCGTCACAAAATACAAATCTAACCGCAACGCAACCGTGTATCGAGTGTCTTTCTAACGAGTAAATACGTACTTCAACCAAAAGCGGTACCAGGAGTTGGAGGAAAGAAACATTCTTCTTATTTTTTTACGTGCATATCTAAATTATTTATTAGGAAATTTGGTGTAAATTATAATTCTCCGTAAAAATGAAACGAGTCCAAGATCGATGGAAATCCATTTGTAAAGTGGGATTTATAACATTAATTTATACCTTCGTTGTGATAATCTCTCCGGTACTGGTGGTGACCCTGTTGTCCCTGTGCATCTACAAGTACGGGATATTGAGACTCGTGGTGAAATATTTTAAGCCAAAATTAATACAAGGACTGAATGAAAGAGATGCATTTTATGCGACGGATCGCTTCTGGGAAGATTCCAGAGCGAGTTGTGGTCTCATTTTGGTCTTGGAGGGGAACGTCTCGTTGGACCAGGTAGTTGTTAATTATTATGATTTTTAAATTTCCTGAAATGCATATTAACTGATAGTTTTTGTACTTTTCAGATACGAGAAAACTTTTTCAGTCAAGTAATCGAAGCTAAATCTTCCCCATCCTCAGGAGGAGACGAGGATATCAAGCTATTTCCTCGTCTCACCCAAATTCCTCAAAAATTTGGGGGTTACTATTACTGGCAGAAAGCCAACTATTTTCTGATTAACGAGCACATTCGACCAATTGAAGCCCCAATTGATGAAAATGGGCTGAAGAAATTTGCTGGGACGGTGTTAACTCTGCCATTTCCGAATAAAAGACCACTGTGGGAAATCCTAGTCATTTCGTCGTATTCTTACAAGAAACTTCACCGCAACAGCACCACGGACACTGTGAGTTTGGGAGAAATTGAATGTTTTGATGATGATAAGGCTCCCCCCTCTTCTGCAAAATATTCAGCACTTGTGATACGAATGCATGCATCAATTGCAAACCATGACTTGATGATGAGGATGGTCACGTTATTGTGCAACAGGAATACTTTCTCTTTGTACCCTCTCAAACTTCCAGACTGTGTGAGTACTGCGAAGGACAGTGACAGTCTTCAGGGGTCAAAATGCTCTTCCTCTCTTCCAGCTAACCGTGATAATCCTGTGGTATGCAAATATGTGTAATGATCAGACGTAGAAAAATATTTTGTCAAAATAGAGTATTTTGAGCTTCGTTCTTCCCAGAGTTTGGATTTCCAGGGGTGTTACACCCATAAAAAGACGAGAATTTGCATGGAGAATACAAGAGTCTTAAAAGATACAAGTTTTGTAAAGAAATTAACTTTTTATCCCTGTAAAAATTTTCATGATTTTCTAAAGTTAGAGTATTTTGACAGTGATAAAAAGTTAATTTCTTGTAATTTCTTTAAAACCTGTATTTTTTAAGGCTACATGCAAATTCTCGTTTTTTTGTGGGTGTAACAGCCCTGGAAATCCAAACCCTGGGAACAACGGAGCTCAAAATCCTTTATTTTTCCCACGTCTGATAATATTCATACTGCATTACATCTTCGTTCTCAACAAAAACAATACTTTGTTTAGAGTTTTCTGGACAAAATCCGAGCACTTTTCAAAACCCCCCAAAATATTCACGCCTTCCTCCAATCATTTCTTCGAAAGCCTTCTTCCCATCTTTACTCTTGTGATAGTAACTCCACGACCGTCTCATGGACGACGCTTAACTACCCTGTGATTTCAAAAATTGTACAAAGCCAAGTTGTAGACCGTCCCGCGGTCCTTATTTCAGTCATTGTGGGAGCTTTAACTTCAAATGGTGTCGGATTCCTGCTAGAAACCCACCAAACTCAGTACGAAACTCGAGATTGTGACGAAGAAATGAACAAGAGCAAGAATAACAGTATCGCAATTATGTGCTCCGTAGACAAAAATTGTGTCAAAATGTCGCCACCCCATCAGAAATGCGATGGGGAGATGGTATTTCTCAAAAGCTGTTGTGAATATTCCTCTCCTTCTGCTCGGAATGAAACTGGGTGCATAGAACTACTCCAAGAGGTCAATCGGAAACTGACTTACGCTGTAAAACCGGAAGTCGGAAACCAACTTTCTATTTCTTCCAATTTCTTAAAGTTCCTAGCAATTTTTCCACACTCGATTGTTCGCTATGTCAACTTTCACTGGCTTCGAGGAGCCACCATTATTTTTCAACAGTGCAAATCTGATCTGGGCGAAATGCTGAGGGAAGCTCCAAAGCCGAGCCAGAGTTTGAGACGCATTTCAGAAATTCCAAATGATCTTATTTTCATTGGGGATCATCAATTAGTGGATGTCATTCCGCTGCATGGACTTCAATTCAGACACAGTGGTAAGTTTACGCTCGTTAATTTTAAATTCTGGACGACAAATTTGTAGAGCAGGTCATTGCCAATTAAAAAAAAATATACACTCCAGATTTTGAGTTTTTGAATGAGATCACAAGTTTAAGAAGCCTTCAGAAAAATTGGTATTTATCGAAACTGGCTGACCATAATTTAAAAAAACGCACCACTATTCTATTAATGGACTACAAAATTGTCGTTAAATAATAATTTTCTTACAAGTCTATAGTCTCATGAATTGAATTTTTGGTTCTCAGCCATTGGAGCAGTTGCCATAAAGTTTCAGAATTCCGTAAAAATAAGCATGACCATTAACTCGGATCTTTTGAAGGGAATCTCAACATCAACAATGCAAAGAACTTCATCAATAAGTTCCTCTAATCTCGTGGACAAACAAGTCAAGACTGATCACATCGTCCACAGCATGGGCGGACAAGTGGGCAAGATTTTCGAAGGGGGCAAAGATGAACATGGGTTCGTCAGAATTCCAATAATGTGAAAACAATTAAAGCTTAAATTAAGTGAAGATGATGTCAAATTATAACCATTTATATTCCAATTTCAAAATTAGCTTATAAGGTATACACAGCAACTTCTATTTACGGCACCATTTTGATTTGACAAGTTGACTTGGACTTATGTATAATAATCAGAATTTAAAGACTCATCATGTGATTTTTACAATACGACAATAAATTGTTTGTTAAATATCAATAGTGAACATTTTCTTTTGTCGTGTCCCAAAAAAAACAACTAATAACAAGGAAGCTTGTTAAACGATTAAATATTTTTTTCTTTAAATATATATTACATATGCATAACAAACAAGTGTTACTTGTCGTAAAATTAACTCGCACAAAAAAACAATTAACTCTAGACTAAATATTTTTTTAAATCATACATAGTTGTCGCCCATGCATTCATGCACGCGTATTGTATTTCTATTTCATAAGAGGAACGGGACACGATATTACAAATAGTAAATGATATATTGTTATGTTATTAACAGGTAAGCTATCACATAGCGTCACACTAAATTCATATCATACACATATTTATCATATTTACGAACTAACTACAGTCTTAAACGTTCTATATAGTTTTATATTTATACCAACAACAATTTCAGGCAGCATGTTACAGTCAGTGAGAAATCGGTCAAATCAAGGTTTGGAGGAAATGCATGCGTATAATGTGTATGTGTATATTTACAAAAAATTGTTTTTATGCTAGCTTAATAATTAACGCATGTGTGCCCTCGGAATGGTGGAAGAACAACAATACATACACATTTAATAAGAACAATTAATGGACCTCATTCGTTGATCGTTCAGAATTACGTGGAATAATAATAATAATTATAAATACGCTAAGTTGAAAGTACACAATGTCAAATTTTCCTTAATCAGTTCTAACCTGATTCTACGATTTTCTTTGTTTTCTGTGTTTAAGAGGACGAGAATTTTCATGCTATTTACGATTTTTCATACATAGATCAAAAAAGTAGCGTGCACGTTCAATAATTTTAAATATATACAAGTTACCAGCACTTTAAATACAGAGTAGCCACTATTTACTAAACTCATAAATTCCTTAAGCTCTGTCAGCTTATTTATCTCATATTATACAATACAACTTTGCCTGTCATTACCTTGCCATAAATATCGCAGTTTAGTAACTGACAATAACTGATTGACAATACGGTGCGCATTTGCCCAAGTATTTTTTTCTAAATACCATTTTTAAATTAATTCACTTGTAACTTTTGAAATTTCATATAAACCCGAAATAGTTAGCTTTTCACAATAATATTTAAAATGTGTAGGTAATATTTAAACAAGCAAACAGCGTGTATTTCAGTGCATACAGTTAATAGATTCGCCTTAAAATTACACCGACTTGTTTGCAATAAAGGAAAGGGACTGATGATGAGTAATGAAATTAAGTTGTATAGTGTAAATTGTAATAATGAATTGTAAGTGAAAATATGTAAAAAGGTACTTCGGATATTAATTGTCAGTCTTATCAAAAACTTTTTTTTACTGAACTAGAAGGTTAGAGAACTACGAGATTAGAAATACGGATGCAGTTTTTTTTAACGCGAATATGAATTAATAATTTATAGATTTATCAACCTCAACAATCCAACCCTATTCTACTAAACATTTTGAGCAATCAAATTAAAATCTGCAGTTTGTCGTCAGTACTTAATTATTATATAAGCCCATGAGGGTAGAGAAAAAAGATAAGGATATATCTATAACATATTATGAATAGTGTAACACACGATCAGTTGGCGTATCTGGCGAGTGGGCCCACAACAATCCATGCTGCAGCATGTTTATCTAAATGATTATCGCCTAATATCAGCAATAATACAAATATTTACAATTAATTATAATCTATAAATTATTCGTACCTATATCTACATATTTATGATTCTCAAGATAAATGCGATTTTTGTTTGGTACATCAGTGATGAAAAACGATTACACTTTGACAAATTACTAATATTTTTTTCAACTGTTCGCACTGCTAAAAATACAACGACGACGACGACATCCACCGCACAATGTATAACAATTAGGACGATAAAGATTGGATCATAATAATAATTACAACAACAACAACAATGAATTATAACTAAACTCTTACACGCTATATATTTTTTTACGTTTAAAAGTTGACGTGCAAGTTGCTGAACTAACTTTAGACGAGAAACTATGTACTTATATTCATTTATATCATGCGTGCAGATAGACACTGGTGAAAAGGCGTTCCGAATTTTGATTAGTAGTTAATAGGTATTTCCAAAGTTCCTTTAGGTAGCCATCTTGAACAAAACATTAAAGAAGTCAGTAAAAATTTACAATTAAGTAATAAAATCTAATTAATACTACTTAAAATATTATTTACCGTGAGTCTTCCATTGCATCGAGAAGATCGTTGGATCGGTTAATAACTTCTGCGTTGAGACGTCCGACGTCAACCGGTTGGCTATGCTCTGTCAGTCAGTCATTTAATGTATAGATTTGTATGATGAAAGTCCTTTTGGTTGTAAATAGCCGAAAAATCACCAAAAGAGAGGGTCACATTGGCAAGAAATATATAAGGTAATAATAGCTTGAAAAAATTAGAAAATCGAAAGTGACCAAATGAATTAATGACTATTGCGATAATAATTATTGCGAGAAAAAAAACTTTTGCTCAAGGAATTATTAGCAGTAAATTAATTCGACGATAAAAGAAATTAAATAAATAAAAATGTAAATGAAATGGCAGCGCTATGCGAAATGTAGTAAAATCGAAATAGGAAACTTTCTCTCTCTTTCTCGTTTGGTTATACGGTCAAAGTCTGTCGGACGTGTAATTTAATTAATTCTTTTCGTACATGGAATCTTATGATAACGACAAAGGCAAATCGAAAACCTTCTTGTTTAATTCTTTGGATAAGTAATAGATACTGGACGGATATAAAAAACTTTAAAAGTGATGTGGAAGTAATATAGGTAGCTCCTGAGTATAATTGACATGAATAATGATGTATGTATGTATCTGAACTGACTGACCAAAGCTAACCAATTCTCAAGTTTGCGTCAAAGTTTGTGCTATTTCTGAATCTGAGTCCGTAATTAGGTAAATATGCGGTGTGTGCTGCTGACTTTATCGATAGTAAGTGGTAAGTAAATTGTGTATGTTAAGTCGATTCGAGAGAAAGGATCCTGTTTTTGATCAGTGAGTCTCCGCGCAGTGGAACGAGAAGGACAGAAGGCGATGGGCATATTCATTGAAACTGAGGAGTTGCTGGCTTACCAACAAGGTCGTACTCATCATCTTGAACTACTTGTCCAACGCCGGGCATTCCCATTGCGCCATGAACAGCTCCATACTGTGCCATCATGGGGGCTTGTTGATGTTGATTGTAATTGTACGATGGGTCGTAATAATTCCCATAATTTTGCCATGCTGCATAGTTTTGCCAATATTGTTCGTAGTACTGACTGTAGTCTTGGCCCTGACCCTGTTGCTGTCCTACATGAGGAGGACTCGTAGCAGTCTGTGGGACTACTTGTCCACTCCTACAATGCAATTAAGGAAGTCAATTATTATATAATAAATAATACAACAAATAGTTAAACCTGACAAAAAAATTAATGAATATAAAACCGAGATGTTTATAATCATATCATTTCTACGAATTAATAAACAAGGCGTACCACATAGCTTGAACAGCAGCCATAGCTTGTCCTTGCAGTGGGTTGCTAGTTTTCTGGCCTCCTGTATTAATGGGAGTTGGGAAAAAAATGATATGTTCTACCATTGTTTCTTGATCAATTTTAAAAACTCTTACCAGCACGGTTGATGGCAATACTGACACGTAATGCCTTACTCCCAACGCTCTGATTCATTAAACAATGTATACATTAATCATGAACTAGAAAATGTCTGAAACTGGTATGCATCATAATTCTGAAAAGTTAGTATACCTTAAATCCATTCATTTGAATCAGAGCGTCCTTCTGCTCATCTTCATCCGCAAAGCGAACAAATCCATATCCTTTACTGAAACCATTTGTGTCCAAGATAACTGTTACAAGAGAAACACCATGATAGTTTAAGACAAAATATTTTAGAGCAGAGGTCATGAACGGTTATTATCATTTTCTCTGAATGTACCTTTAGCTAATCTCACAGATGGATATCTAGACGCAAATCCCTTGTATAAAGTATAATCATCCACATCTGGACTCAAGTCACCGATCCACAGCGAAAAGTCTCTGTCCATTGCCTGTTTTCCTCCCAGTGATGTATGATTCAACCGAAATTTGGTTGGGGGTTGTGAATTGGGAATCATTTTATTGTTCAGCTTATGCATCGCGGTCAGGGCACAAAAATCATCCTGGAACCTGTAGAATTTATACTCGCATTAGTATTTGTATTCACAATAGTGAATGCTACGTAGAATCTGTTAAAACTTAAAGAAATTGCACTCACTGCACGAAACAGTATCCAGCGGCTTCTCCAGTAAACTTGTTCTTTAGCATTTTTATCCCCGTAATAATTTCTCCCATCTGCGTGAAGGAGTTACGAATGAAGTTCTCATCCATATATGGCTCCAGCTACAGAATTGGAATAAAACCTTAATAATTCCTCAATAAACTGAATATTAAACTAAATTAATAAATTTACTTACCGATCCCATCCAAAGGACACCGACTTGTCCGGCCATTTTAGTTAATTATTCGAGATAAATAATATTCTGCAATATTACAGAGACAAAATGAATATATAACCACTAACCAGTCACATACTTGAATGAACTGATATGATCAGTATTTTCCTGCTACTGCAATATTTACTTTGAATGACTAATAATTGTTCTGGTTAATACCATATCTTAGACTTAAAATTTTCCAGAAAACTGTTGACAGCCTAATTTATCTTCTCATTACACATAAAAATCTTCCTTCCATTCCATATTCTGTCCTTGTTATAATAATAATGACACTCCTATTTACTACCCTTCTCTTCTTAAATTTGTTCCGTTATAAAAATACAATTCACCTACATTCGTCCGGTCTTACATCTTATCTCACCAAATGTAAGGTAGTACATAATAATACGATATATGCATTTACAGTAACAATTTTATAAAAACTCGTAATAATTTCGAAATCTTACCTCTTCTTATCTTCCTTTGTTATACCGTCCTGCGAAAACCACTGCGTACTTTTTCGTAGTTATTAATAAACAGGCTGGAAAAATCCTTTCCCAGAAATAAGATAAACGTCACACTCTTCTAATCCTGCCCTTCTACGCGGAGAGTACGTGATAGCTAACTAACTAACTATGATATTAAGTAATTAATTAATTAATTAAACTAAGTATTAGTAAATTGTGAATTATGTGATGTGGTGGGAGCGCAGCGCAGACGAGAGGCGAGCGAGCGGAGAGAGAAGAATGAGTGACACTGTGAGTTCCTTGCTGAGCTGGTGCCGTTCATACTTTCCACTTGCCCGACTCCAGCCTCGGGGCACCGCAAGAAATTCACACTAAATTTCCGAAAATTTGAGACATTATGAAATTGAGACATTTCTATATTTTTTGAAAAATTATGAGAAATGTAAATATTCTAAAATATGGATAAGGGGTTATCGCCACACTTTGCATAAGTGTTAAAGAAGCAGAGATTATTGTGAGTGAGATTGTGAAATGATAAATTATTCCTGAAATGCGACAAATAATTGGGAAATTTGAGACAAATCTCATCTCACTTTTCGTTGTGCATACCTTTGTAAAATCACTACATGAATTGTCGCATATTTCTTTTTGCCAAATTGAAGGTTGCAAACAAAAAGTGTAAAGATGGAGTGGTCAATTAGTAATTGGGAATGACAAGACAAGTCTCTTTTTTTGCACTTGTCAAGATTTATGTAATCATGTTTTTTATTATTATTACGCGATTTACAATGTACATAATCAGTTTTAGTGAATTTGATGGGCGAGCAAAAAAAACTCGTTGAATTGAATATGACTTACGATCAGTAGTCAGTTCTTTGCAGTTAATCGTTCTGAGTGGACACCATTAAATTAATAAATTTAGTAAATAAATTGAAATGAATACTGGGCGAGCCCTGTGAAAGAATGTGTTACTTAATTTAATAAATAATTCGTTTATTGCGGTTAAATATTTTCCATTGTCCAGGCTTAATTGTTCTACATACATAATAATATGCGATGGTAAAATAATAAATCAGCTGAATTAATTATCATCAATTCCAAGTTATTTCCTTCATTTTATATTTATATGACACATTTTGTTATCATTTTAACTTTATACAAACTGATTTTTTTCATACATAAAGTGTATCCGCTGCGAAAATAATTTAACTTTTTATTGGAAATTTTTGACATTATTTCCTCCTATTGTTATACTTAAGATTAGTTGGGACTGCATTATAAATAAATAATTTGTTATCCACAAAGCACATCTATTACTGATAATTAATCAATTTTGTACTAGAATTATTAACATTTACACAAATAATGTAAATATGTATGTACACGACGAGAATCGTTCTTTAGCATAGAGTTATTTATGTATGTATGTACTGTTTGTTGGGTATATTTGGGTTATAAATACTGTACATTTTGTTAATTTGTCCGAGATCTCAGCTTTCCTTCCTTCCCATTTAGCAGACATTTTTATGACATAGCTCTAATTAAAATACTCTAAATCTGCGGTATTTATCTCCCAATCTTGTGTAATCAACCGTTTCAGCAGGTGTAAATAACATTTTTTGGAAATGGGCGACAGGAACGACGTCCTCAATCTCGTCAGACCTCGTATTTGACGGCATGGCCCTAGCTTGTGACGAAATGTCCAAAACTTCCGAACTTCTAGCCCTGTTTCGACTCCTACTTCGGTGATGACTTTGGTCAATCTCTTCCTCTCCAAATTCACTGCTGCTGGGAAAATCTGGGTCAATTTCCCTCATCAGAATCAGCTCCGGTGAAATATCACCCCTCCGAAAAGGAAGTGATGGAGACGAAGTCGACGGTGGCGTTTCTGTCGACTGATGAAACCTCAATAATGACTGAGAAATTGGCTTCAGTCTGGATAATATTTCTTGAGCTAGACTCATCGGAGGCGAAGAGGGTATGGCTGTGGATAAGATTTCTTCCACGGAAGATGAAGAGCTCGTGATTTTGTCCAAATTTGGACGTGTAAATAATTCATCTTGAGGTTTAGTTTTGAAAATATTTTCAACTTTCACATCCGTGTCTTCCATCATCATCACGGCTGGAGTAGGGTCGTCCTTCCTTAGTGGATCCATTTCAAAGTCATTTATCTGTATCAACTGATGCGGCTGAGGAGATGTTGGTACATTGGATAAGCCTTCTTCCATTTCGTCGTCTTTCGCTGCTGCTGTTGGGCTCGTGATAAAGGTGGAAGCCAAGTCTCCTTCTGGTGATGATGATGTTTTTTGAACATGATGTCCCGTATTTTGAGCTCCATTAAGATCCGGAAGACGGGTGTTCCCATCCGTCATCCTTGTGTCATTTTCACTCTCCGTGAAATTGTGTGGTGTTTGGATCTTGGTGTTGGAGATAAGTTGGGGAACAAGGAGTGGAATTATGATGGTGACAGGTGTATCTGAAGTTACCACCGTCAGAGTGCTGTTACTCGGTTCTGAAAGAAACATGATATGGTTAAATGAAATTTCGAAAGTGAAAGTAAATAAAAATTATATAAATTTCTCTTACGTGGATGGGAGGCATTGACACCGGATCCTGATTCCGGCCATGCTATCTGGTCGGGTTCAGTCTCATTTTGAGGTTTGGTGACAATAATGCTTGAATTGCTTATTGGGTCAAAAGTATCCGGGTGAATATTATTGACGACCTTGTCCTCTTCTTCCCCAGTCTCGTTGGCCGTGACACTTTGACCCATCGTCGTCATCAGTGAGGAGGGAAGAGTTGTTGTCTCTGTGGTTGCGTCTGCATCGAGAAAATTAAAGAGAAAGGGACGACTCCTTATTAAAACTGTCAATCATCATGTCATCAGAAAGTCTCGATATTTGGCAAGATTTATGACTTGACCGAAGTTTTGACTATGCACTTTGTCTCGTTTGTTTGTACTTATATTTAATTTGAATAATGTTACATACCAATGACTTGCTCCTCCAGTTCCTGCGTAGTATTCGTCCCGTCGTCAAAATTTATGATCTCATCTTCTCTCATAATCGAGATCATAGTCGTTGAGAAATCCGTACTGGTTTCAGTTGTCTGTTCTTCATCGTTGTCGTCCTTGATCCCTTTAATTTATTAATTATGAACTTTTGTTTAGAAACGAAATGCTAAATAAATCTATGCATTTACATCCGTATAACAGTTTCATTATTCAAGCACATACCTAGATTTTGAGGAGGAAGGAAAGTTGTCATATTAGAGGCAATAATGGACCCAATTTTTCCTGGAGAAAGTGTTTCGACAGGATCCTCAAGTTTCAATACTTCTGTTTCAGCAGTAACTATAAAAATTTTAGCAATTTCATGAATTAATTTCATTTCAAAATTATTATGCATCATTTTGATTTATTGCACAGCTGCATAGCACCACATTTTTAAGTTATTCACATGAAAAGCTTGAGAGACCCAACATAACATTCTTGCCTGATTTGATCATTCATTCAACTCCCAAGTCAACCAGATCTTTGACCAACCCCACCCACATTCAAATGTAGTATTTTTATAATTTCCAGCCTACCTACACCCACGAGGCACTAAATTTAATTTACATTCCGACATTTTTTCAACATCACATCACAAGGTTAATTCCACTATATCCGGTCATATGTAGTATGTACATATCCGATATCTTGTGCTGGATACGTAGGCACTGATTTAGCACGAGAGAGCTTAAAAACTAAAGCAAATAAATAAACAAAGGACACACGCCTTATTTCCTAAATCTAAATACAGACAAGTTCTTGGTAGCATTTTGCGTTTGAGCGATGAAGCAATTGTGAAAGAATTTCATACAGATTTGATCATGTGATGAGGAGCACTATAAATCCGTGAAGATGATGACCTTTGCCTCCCGGACCGTTAATTCAAGCATCATTGAAACCAAGGAAGATTAAAGAATCCGCTTGTTCCTTGTCTTAAGTAGCATTTATTTCTGCATATTTTTTTAGTTTGTCACCAACAACCCGTTGCAATTGCAAAATCATCCCCCTTATATTGGACACAGCTCAAATGGAATCAACCGAATAATGAGAATTCATCGAGCATAAAATCGCTTCTAAAAATATTACTGAACTTGTCTCTTGCACATACAAATATATTTGCACAGGAGTGGATTGGATACGTAAAGAGGGCGAAGAGCACGAGCCATTAAAAGTTGAGACAATTCTAAAGGTCTGTGTTGTGCCAAAATGTGTGCTCATCTTATCCTCAGCTTATGCATGCATAACCGCTTTAGAAAAAAAAACCTGAAACTGAAATTTAGTGTTCTTCTCGCAAAACCAGAACCAAACCAGACCACATCAAAAACCGCACGGCTAGACAGCTTGACTCTTTAACTTCTCGGAATTTATTTTGGTTTCTTATCATCAAAGAAGAAGGTGTGTATCAGTACGTATGCAATTGATCGCTTAAAACAGACACACACAAAACCGTTACACAAAAACCTGCTCATGGGCTTGAAATAAAGTTACAGGAATTAAAATAATGTTGTGCGCAATGACACTAAGAATTTTAGCGTTTGAATGACTTTTCGACAGTGTCAGTTTGTTGGAATTTGAGAAATTCCAAGATAGTTTTTATGAGAAATAAGTAGAGATGCATGTAAAATAGGAAGCACAAACAATGTACGTTCTTGTTCTTATGCTCTTCTAGAATAAAATTCAAGGATTGGGCGAAGCACGTTTAGGTTAAATCGAGATGTATTTACGTAACGACAGGAAATCAAAATGTTTTGAAGTTTGGACTTTCCAAGTCGAAAACAGATGAGCAAAAATAGAGAATATTGAGATTGAAAATCCAAATGATGCCAAGAAATTCTATGTAGGAGAAGGCAGACCATGTACAAAAGTAGAGATAGCAGAGCCAGTGAAAAGATTCGGTTTTGTAAGCACCCGTTGTTTATTATTCTTTACAAAAAATCCTAAAAAGGAATTTGTCCATCCCAGAAGTTAGTATTTAATATATTTTGTAGGTAAGAGTAGTCGTAGTGGTGAAAGAACAGAGAAATTCTTCATTCAGAAAATAAAAAAAACCCTGATGACAGGTTTTCAAAAAGGGACATGAAGACAAAGGGCAAATTATTACCTACAATTTATACAGTATTTAGTCAGACAGAGCTCTGAACATTAAATAGTAATTAACAAAATTATAGAATTAACTAAAGTATTTTAAGGCATGAGGTAGTTTTTAGTGGGCAAGATATTAAGTACTACAGATATTTTCATACACTTGTATCGTCCTCTGAGAAAAGTGAGACTCATTATTGCTAAAATTCACTAGTGCGATGTTAAAGTTCATCTGGTTATGTTAATTGCTACAAATTGTAAAACAATTATTTATTTAATTGTACTTCAGCATATATCAGCTGCCACCGTTAAACAGCTCACCTTCATTTATAATTAATTCTTCACCCCGATTAAAATTGCCTCTCTGTTAATTATAACTTTAAATAAGCAAGAAACAAAATCTCGCGAGATTCTAAAAACGCTTTGTACAGTACATGACTTTGGTACAGAAGGTTAATTGAATGTGTATTAGTCTGTTTGTCACTATATGATAACTTCAGCTGCATTATTTGCATTATTGGTTTCGTATAGCACGCTTATTAAAGAGGTCGACTCTCAATCAAGTCTGGTGGGATGGGTTTCTTATCATATATGTAAATAAGTACAAGTAAAATGCACCCGAAATCTAGAAAATCTACAATAGATAAGGTACGAGTATATGTATGACATAAGGAAATATCTGCTTAGGTCACATTCCGGTCACCCCGTTGCGACTTTTTCCTTCTGATTGAATTACTCTCTTGCACCGGTTTAATTTGAGGATCATCCAAATTACCATTTTCACTCGAGCCGTTGTTTGTCGATGCAGGAGGAGCCGGTGTCATCATTGTTGGTGTAGGCAGTGGCCTTGGACCTTGTTGCGGAGTCGGTATTGGCACTGACATTGACGGCGAGGAGATGGAAGAAGCCGGCATTACGGTCATGTCGGGGTGAATTTGCGGTTCTTGGGTTTTCGTGGTGTCAACTTCTATGTCCAGCATCTCGACGTTACCAACCTTCTTTACATCTCCGTTTGATTGAGGTCGTGATTCTGAAATTATTAGAAATTTTAAATTGTTTTTTATTTAATGATTGATTACGTGATTACAAACACGTGGAAAAGTCAGCGCAATGCTACATGCTCAAAATAGCCAAAGCATTATAAAAGTTTCGAAATCTGGCTCAATTTATTGCAGTGGTTGACTCGCTGACTTTCTGAAATAAATATCCGCAAATCTATTTTTGATTTTTTAGTATAGTTCAATTTCATCAGACATCAAGGCTTCTTGCAAATGTTAAAGTTTGCAACTGTACTAAAATCATGGGGGACATATGAACATAAGCAACCCCCACCCAACCGACGTTTTGTGCGTCATTTCCTTCATTTCTCACTCACACGACGACATTTACGAGTTTATCAAAACCCAGTAAATCATTCCGGAGCTGGTGGAATCGTGGCGGTGCGGTGCCGTGGTGCGAAATAAATTATTGTGCTTTCTATTTAAACTAGGTCTGCGACCAGAACCAGAAGGCAAATCTTTCCATTGAGCAGGCAAAGGTTTCTTGTTTCGCACAGCTAAAACCAGTCGACACCCGTAAAGTTGAGAAATTATTACATATCTAGATTAGTAAAACAGGTTACATAAAAATCTTGTTTTTTCGGAGCAAGGCAGTCTTCGAGTGGAAAATTTTGTTAATTTTTTTTATTCAAGATTACATGCAGTAGCAAAGAAATAGTAAGTAAAAGCTGTCGTTAACAAGAAGAAAGTTAGTGCAGTCGGAGTAACGCGTGCCGTTGCAGAATCTGTGCTGATTTCCTCCTCGTGAAAGAAAAAGTATTTATTTTCATGAGTAACATGACCCCCATATTCACCTTCGTTTTCCACGTTTTCCGCAGCAGTCGGAGGTAATCCCCACGTCGTTGGTGCGGCCGTCTCAATCGCTGTGGTTGTTGATGGGATTGGCGTGGTCGTGGTCCTGTGTCGATTTCGATGCTTGCTGCTCGTCGGTCTCCGACCCCCTCCGGTAATCCCCTTGAGGATCGAGAGCTGAAATTCTTCATCGAAAACGGGGCCTGATCCTGTATACCTCGTCACGCAGGGTCCCCCCTCCTTCACCCGCTGCATTCCGGACTGACATGGCGTCGTGGTGACGCGAATCACCGTATTGTACACGGATTTGGCCACAATTTTCTTAGATTCGAGCTGATTCTCGTCCTGTTCAGATTGGAAGACGGGGTCGATCATTTGATTCAATTCTTCTGCCGTCCTTATCGGAGCGGACATTGGGAGCATGTGGGTCATTGTGAGGGTTTGAAGGAGCACGACGCAAAGCGTGGTCGTGTACATGGCGGATTTCTTGGATAAGGTCAAGAGCATTTTGATCTTTGCTGGAGGGTGTTGTTTACGGGAAGTGGTGGTGGTTGTTGAAAACTATTTTTAGGTAGTTGTTTGCGCTATAATCTGTAATTTAAACACAAAATTTTATTAGGCATTTCGACCCATGATGGCCAAGACCATGACAAAATACGTGTCGACATTTGCCGTAGAATTATAAAATAATCCGCAAATTCATTTTTAATTTGGAACTAATTAAAACCGGAAGCTGAGAAGGTCAAATGGATAATTTTTTGGTGTGCTTGCATTCAATTCAACGCATCCTGCCAAATGTGCCAAATTAATCCTAATTTCACAACTGGTACGTACATATCCCCGTAATTTGGCTGCACTTAAATTATTGTATTTACTCAATAAATTGGGCAAACTCATCAGTTTTTCTTTTAAGTAAACAAAAAATGCATTTCCTGTACAAAGGGAAGTGAGTGAATTGTAACACAGAGCAGCAGCAATTATTTACATTATTACCTTTTTAAGCAAGTCGGATTGAGGAGGTTAATCAGAGTTGCTTTGAGTGGTTCCCTACGAAAAAAAGTTGTGTGCAGCTTTATTGCAATCAGCGAGCTTTCTTATCGGAAAAAAAGAGTTTTCTGCTGCTCCTGACTAATTTTTGTTCTTATGCTTTCACCAACCAAAACCTTGTCGTAATTTCTTTGAGAAAACCAGAAGTACCAGACGGACAGAAATCTCAAGTGAAACTGGTCTGTTCCTGAACTTTGTTTCCTTCTTTATACAAATGAACTTTTTTGTTAGTTTAGCTTAGAAACAGAAACCATCATAAAATTATTCCATTTGAAACTTGTGACTTTCAAACGTTTTAATCACATGCCTTTCTTGTTCACCGGGCAGCAGCAGCATAGGTTGGTCCCTGTTTGTTTACTTTGATGGGCAAGAATGTGCAGAATTTTTTGCGTATTTCCTGCACTTGTATACATCTAAATTTTGCGAGTGAATGAATGTCACTTTCAGTTTAACGAGTACGAATTGAGGAAAGGAAAGGCCATGGAACTGGGGATGATGTTGAGCGTGTCTGATTTATGAGTAAAAATATTAGAAAAAATCGTATAATTTCCAGAGAAAATAAAATGCCTAAAAATATTAAATGTTATCACTATCCTGGGCAAATCAGACTAATGGTCGCCCTCAATTTTGGGTGATTACTTAACCCTGCAAATGGCATCATTTATGATAGATAATGTGCATCGTGGTATCAGTTTAACGAGTAATTTGTTGGATGACCAATTCAGTGGATGGATAAACCCAACATGCAAATGCGTATATTGAGGTGGGTTGTGTGGGTGCAAGATTGCATATTTAGCATGGAAATAATACCACATTTTACAGGGTACGTAGGTTTGTCCTGTAATTAATCATGAATCAATTTACAAATAATGCCATCATATTTTTAACCCATCTCAATTTCCGGTGATGCCATGTATGTATGAGTTGTGCAATATTTTACACAACGGTACATACCTAACTGGAGTACAAGTACATACAATTTGTTACTGTCTGGCTGAATAGATATGTGCATTTGCTTGTTCAATTTTGTCACGTCATTTCCTCGCACTCGTAAATGAATGCATAATCAGTTCATTAATTTTATCTAGATTTGAAATTAATGTGTGAAAATGAATGACGCATAGTTAATAGTATGCACACCACACCGTCTAATAATAATATGTGGAACTAAATATACGGAAAATATGTACACCTGTCGACCCAAAATTTTTTTTCTCATATTCAAAAATTACCATCACACCTCGACGCACATTCTTGAGAGATGTGTCACCCATACTAAATATCACATTTCGCTTTTTGTGAAGCCCAAATACCGCACACCAACATCGTATCGGACAGGTGCGACAGAGATGAATTCCAGCATTTAATCTGTTTTTTTTCCAAACCATGAGCATGAGAAGATTATTCGGTTATGTGGAAGAGGAAAAGGTTCTCATGTTGCAGGTTCACAAAAACCTTCTCATAAAATTGGGCCGATATAGTACAAAAGTACAAAAAAAACCTCTCTCAGTTTAAAGCCTGGAGGTTTACAACAATCGGGTTTTAAAGGCACATGTATGACTCATGTTTGAAAGATGATATCGTCCAAAACTAGGTTTTGCCGTGTAACAATCCTTCTTCCAGACGCAACCGATTGTAATAAAAATTCAGAGATTACTCATCTTTCTACCAGATTCCAAACTTGTGAATGTCGTGTGGATGCCATCAAGTATGAAAATGCATCAAGATTTGGTGAAGAAAAAAGGAGCGATGAAACTGAAGCAGTAAATGAGTCATGTTTTAAGGACAAAAACCTATTCGTAACCCTTGCTAACGAACCTTTTCGATATATTTATCGACGCTTTCTTGAACAAACTTTAAGACCTCACATTTCAGATTGCAATGCACCATTTCCAATTTCGACTTGGTTTTAAAAACTTGACGACAAATGAGTGTCTCCGCGTGAAAAAATCCTTATCACAGCACAGCCAAAACTTTATGGAGACTTGTTGAGTGCGTAGAGGTTGTTGTCAATCATTGGTTTCTAATTTTAAGCTAATTCATATTAACACTTCAACTCTAACCCATCTCTCGTTGTGGAAAAATGTGGTGGAAAAGCAAGGATAATATTTTCATTTATTCTATGGTAAAAAAAACCTAGAGTGCAGAGTTCATTTGGCCCGAGTCAGGGTCAGATTCGCTTCTGTTTCTTTTTGTTCGGATGACCCAACTACTATCACCTCACGTAATTATAAACGATTTCTCGGCAAAAATTACTATACACAGGATGCATATTAGCAATCATCGTCTACATATTTTCGCATATCTCCAGCATGCAAAATCTCAGCTCCTTTATTAGATCACTTTCATAAAGCTGTGTTACTAGATTTCTAGAAATTTATTTCCCATTCATAAATCTGAGATGCTCATTTATGACAAATTTCAACCAATTTCAAAACCTAGTGCGGATCACACCCTCTGACCAAGATATTTTTGAATTTGACTTCATATTCTTTTCTTTGGCCTAATATGCACCTGGACCGGTTATGCCCGTCTTCCTTGGAGAGATACTCATACGGACAGACAGACATGACGATCCTACAAGCCCTGACTTAAGCTAAAAAGGTAGTGCACAAGCACATATAACCAACAATCATGGGTTTGTTGACTGTTCCCTTTTAACGAATATTTATACACCAATTTCCTTACGATAAAGGCAACTGGTCTCGTCTGGGAAGTTCAATTTAAAATCACACCCTCTTTCCTACAGTTCTTTTGTGTCACAAAAGTCCGACCATTGGCTCCAACTAACCATAATGCTTCCTGTTTCCTGGAAAATCAATGAGTCATCCTCAACTCGGTCTACGGACTGGAGGGTCGAATAAAAGTACACTACACACATTTGTGATTAGTAGAGTTCACTAATTACGAAACCTTAAATCTTCACGTTATTTCCAGTGGCTGTCTGCGAGGTAAATCTATTTAGATATGGATGCTCTTAAATTCTAATCGTTACATATTGACGGGTAAAGCAAAATTGGCCATTACTTTCAACTTATTGCTACCAGTAGACCATGCAAATTCACTGTCATTGTCATCATTAGTGTATCTCCAATTGTTTTTTGGCTGTTTGTATGAGATGTTTAGAACCTGAAATAAATTAGCTATACGCCATACGCTACACAACAAGTAAACTGTATCTCATGTCATGCGACGAAATGAAAAAGAGCAATAATTAGCAGATGAATGATGAACACGAGTGAATCATTCGACGGCCGTAGGAAAGTTGCAGAGTCGCAAATAATTATGGCTTAATTTACTAACGAATATTATACGCTTCGCCATGAATTCTGCCGTTGTTTTACTACTCTATTTGTCATGCATGTTGTTGTGCAACGAATTGAAGTCTATCTGTATGTTACCAGTTTAACCAAGTTAAGGGGGTGACGATGGAGAGAAATTTGGCCCAAGTTCAATTCTTCTTACATGTAACGGAGTGCATAAAATTGGGATTCATTTGGCTGGATGGATGACATGACGATGCGAACAAATTACCTTTCATTTATGCGACTGTGATTGTCCGCGTCGTAAAAATGAACTGTCTCAAGTTGTAAGAAAATTGTTCTGTTCGTAACTTTACCTACCGTGACATTTTTATCCAGCATTTACACACAGATTTTATGCATTGCTTTGCTTGACTATTTTTTGGGGACAAAAAAATAGTCGGGCAAAGGATTCTTATTACATAAACAACTGTACTGTAACCCGAGAGAAATGTCAAGGTTTTTTAGCACGTAAAAGTTACCTGATTGAGCTGTAAAGTCAAATTCTACTGGGAAATGCAGGTGTTTTTATAACATTTGTGTACATACCAAGTCTAAAAAGTAGTCCTACCTAATCTTTTCTTTTCTTCTTTGACGTGACTTTTGTTAAAGAAATGCCGAAAGAAACGAAATCTGTTCTCAGACGGTGTTTTTATTTCAGTTGAATACCTGCTGCGTTTATGCTTTACAGAACTGTACTTGAGTAAGTAAACATCCCTGAGCTAGGACAATAATGAAAGAGTCGTCTTACACACGGCGTACAAGAGAGTTGTGTAATATTTAAGCATTTCTTCAATCCAGACTTTATGTGTGGTCTTTTACACAAAAAACATAAAAATTGTTGTATGTACGCAGTTTTTTTAATCGTCATGTTGAACTTTCTTTCTAGCATGGATTATAAAATCAAGGCATTGGCGAATGTTGTACAATTTGTTGAACAAAATATTTCAAGACATTTCCGTGTAGTGTCAGATTTTACTCCTCACACGTAATAATAATTCGCGTGTACTAATAATTCTGGTAAAATAATGATTTGCTCACATTATTGAAATCTCCTGGAAATCTTCTACGCATATTTTTTTTTCTTCTCGGATATGACTTGAAACGTCGAACTAAAAGTGAGAGTGATCTTCCCCATTGAACGAATGAAAGATTATGTAGAATCCAGCGTACGTAATCTTTAAATCGTTAAAAGGTTGTGAAGTAGACGATTCGTGGCAGTAAACATTTATCTAAAAAGTTTAAACAGCTCGTAAAATTCTCAATAAATCTTGTTGTTTTCTAAACCTGGCGAATACGTATCAGTAAATTCATGAAATAGGCTAAACATATAAATCTCATGCCTTTTACAGCAATATAAATATGTACCTACTAGTTGTGCAGCCAGAAGTAATAAAAGATGGTCATTTCGGTGTCTAGAATGCCCCGAGTTGACAGTTTTAATGCCGATTTAACTATTGTTGTGCCACTTTTAATTCTCAACTAATTATAAATACGCTTATTAAACAAATTTATATGCACAGTACATACATCGAATGACATAACATAAAGTGTCGTAATTGTGCCTCACCTTGGTCATCCTGGTTTGTTTGAAGCTTTTGTTCTCGCGTGACAATTTGTTTGCCAATTGTACTTTATTTCAAGTTCTTACGTACGATTAGTCACTTGTCACAATTTTTACGCATATTCGTCAAAACAAATTTCATAAGATTTATGTAAGTTTATAGTTTCTCTTAATACCTGTCCTCTCAATTAAGTTTTTTTATCTGTGCACTCAGATTCATCAAAATTTCACAATCAGCAATTTTCCTCCCTTTCTTGGAGAATTAAATCTTTGTTCATCACGGAATAATCAACACTTGCGATTTACTATATTTTTTGCACACACTTTAATCCACACACATTAGTTTTATTTTACTGCAATAATAATGTCTCAAGTCGTCTCACTCCAACGAAATGATGATGTACATACGCCGTACTGTAATCAGGTTCCTTGTGCATGCACAAAAATCGAGCATTTATTCGCAAGATGACGACCAAGAAATTATTACAAGGTGTCCGATTTTTATATCTTTTTCTTCACAACTATTGTTTACTAAGGTTGCACGGTAACTTGAAGGTAAGATGAGTCAGCAACCAACCATCACTTAATTCACTGCTGCTATCGTGTATTGATTACCACTTGATTAGGTTTTTAGATGCATAAATATGTGTGAAGTATTTTACTTACAGGACGAGAGAGAGACTCCATTCCATTGATTATTTTGTAACACAATGCATTTTACTTATGTATGCATGGAGAGCACGATGCAGAGTCAAAAGAGCTTTAACCAGGCAACTGTGATGTACACAAATCACAAATGCATACTGAACTGCAACTCCAACTTTTGTGAGCCAACGTGTGATGAACAGAACACAAAGTCTCAAAATGTAATGTGTAATAACCCTTTCCTTTCCACAAAGGAGTCAAGTCAAACTCGTCCGACGCTTTACAAGCTGAAAGGATAAGGAGTTACCTACGTTGCGTTGCCGTGTTGTGAACGCTCTTGGTTAGTTGGTTACCTTTTACCTTTGCTATAAATGTTGTTGTGGGAGTATCGAATTCAAACTATCGACTTCTTCTCCTTAAGTGCTAGCTAAGAGTGAGGAAGAACAAGTCAAAATGCAGTATGGATGGGGACCCAGGAAGAAAAGGTTTAGATTCAGTTGTTACCTACTCGAGGCATGGGATTTGATGGGATCCATGGGATGGATATGGCCGATGAGAGGATGATACTACTTAAATACAAAAGTTTTAGACTTTCAGGGAAGAAATGCAGTTTAGCATTGACGTTTTATTAGGTGTGAGTGAGTAGTAAATGGGAAAGATGTATGTACCAAACCTGAAAAATATGTACACGAGACATGGCTAAAACCTAAAATCATGTCATGCAGAAGAGGGTGCAGGGAAAGAGATGAGATGATGATAACAATATTATTATTATTGGGGGAATATGTAGTATCAGTGTGTATCTACGTGTCTATTATGTCCATGGCGTCGATAGTGGTGCCAGACTGCAATTAATAGGATTCATTGATTCGGTAATGAGGGTATTGTGGGAAGAGACGCCTAAATATGTATGCAGCTGATGTGATGATGAGATGATTTCCTCTAATCGTGTCGAAATCATTTGGTAATTGACAAACTGTATGGTTTTATTCAGCATATAGCTACATGAATTTCACATTTTGGCAATGAAAAGGCTGTAAAATTTGAATATTTTCTTCATTTTTAAAGAGAGGTAAGAAGCCAAGTCGACAATTGGCAGTGTGGATTCTTTTAAGGTACCTTTTAGGTCCTTTAGCACAATTTTTTGGAAATTCTCAAGGTAAACAATTCATTACCAAAAGGTGATTGTTATGTAGGACGTATTTTTACGTGCATAAACATTTATCTCAACATCATACATGTGTATCAAGATTCATGAAAAACAGCACGCAGGTTTAGCCAAATACTTACTTATCTAAATACAAAAATAATTCTTACTCATTCCTACAACAAATCTTATTATGAAGGTTAAGATTCTTATGCAATAGGTCAATTTAAGCCAGATAAGCCCAGGCCAGTAAAGACAAGTCGTATTTAGTTTTGCTTTGCTTGTGCCACTATTTCAGGAAAATGAGTAAATCCACATCTCTTGTTGCACGAGTTCTCCTTTCATCCCAGGTCACACAATAATATGAATGATCACATAACATAATATGCAAATTTGTATATTCATCAACTGGACTTGTTAGAAGATCAAGTCGAATACATATTGCGCATCATTATATTATGCGAAAATTTCAAAATGTGAATACATTCAGTCTTGACAAGCCAGCTAAATAGAGCTGATAAAGAGGACACACAGCTTCATTTACTTACGACCTGGACGACCCAGACATGAACTCGTACTATTAAGAAAGGTGGTGAATATTACTAGGTTAGGTTGTTGGGTATGAAACGAGGGTGTAGGTGGACGTGGACCCTCTTTTCTTTACCACCTTTTAGCCATTTATGTCCCATCCTGACACGACCAGGCTGTGTGAGAGATCAAGTAGAAACAGGAAAAGTGGGAGCTTTCAGCTTTCTTAACTTTGCCAACTTCTTTTAAATACGAGGGGCGATAATCCAACCCAGCTCTCTTTCCTTCTTCTAATCCGTAAACATTAAGAGAGTCCGTGTGCAAGAGAGAGATTCATTCCCGTCCTACGATACGACATGAGGACGCGACCGACGACGACGACGCTTGGTTAAAAACCAAACCCAAAATAACCTTCGATGGCGAACAAGTCTAAGGTTATGTCAACGTCAACCACCAACATGCTCAACCAACCAACAAACTCTAATTTATGCTCTTTAAAGTTACTATTCCTACTTATTTAGTGTGCTGCGCTTTTGGGGTACAACATTAAAGAAATGTATCTGAAGATGGATTCTTTAAGACTAAAATTTAAGGAATAATATTGACGAGTTTTATTTCAGGGGTCGTTTGGGGATCAACAGAGCAATTCTGAAAAGTGTTTCATGTAAAATTTAATGAGATGGAAGTTGGAAGTGATGATCGGAAGGTAGACTATACAATCCATCAATCAATCATTCCAACAAAAATTACTTAAAAATAAGAAAAGGTGTGAAAAAACGCCACAGAATTTCACAAATCTTGACTTGTCTCTAACTTCTTAGCACTTCGAGTAAAATTTAGCCAATTAAATGACTTATTAGTTAGTGATGAACGGGCAAGAAATAAGTAATCCAGACAATGGAAGGGAGGTACCTACACGAGCATGGTTTTCATACCCTGCTGGCGTAATGTCTCCAGCAAAATCAGTGGAAAGTTTATGTCTGGCCCAGTTTAAGTAATTAGTCTAAACATTAAATATGTACATGAGAATATGGGTTAAAAAATATAATGACGAGCCTGCTCAATTTATTTTTCGGCTCCACGTGCGAATTATCCAAAATGGCAACTTTATGCGAACAACCTGTTCTGGTTCTGGTAATGGAAGTGATCCATTCAAAATCATGGCTGCTCGCATTGTGTTTGTTATTACAAGCATTTTTAAAACCCAAGTTTATCAAGTCTGAACAGAACATTTGCAGCACTTGAACATGAACTTGTAGATTAATTTCAAGAGATGAGGTCGAGGTTAGTAGAAAAATAAACTATTTTTGTACCTCAACTAGTGGTGGATGTATCAAAATGGTATTAAATTGTAGTAGAGCGTGCATACGTATGTATGTTCATGTGTCTCATTTTCGTCAACATTCCTGAAATTATGACGTTCAACGTTTTGCACTTGGACGCAAGTTGACCAGTTGATAAAATTGTTTTTGTCATTTTTTTTTACATTCTGCACAATAAAATGCACAACTGAATCGTCATTGTGCAAGAATATAGTCTGCACTTGGACGTTATTATTATTATGCAAATTGACGGAGTTAAAAAGAAAGCCAATAAAATAATCCAATCTTAGGACCATGATTTGCGGATCAATTCAATCCGATTCGGATTCAGCACTTCTATTACAGCAATTCATAAATATGTACATTCATTACACAGATTTTTTCTTATTGGGTCCCAATGAAAATGAAAATGAGTCGTCTCAGTTTTTGCTGCAATTTACTCAATTAAATAATTGATGTTAATTACTGTTTTGTGATGTTAATTGGTAGTATTGACTAGTAGCAAGTGCACTGTTCTTCATGAATTGCGAAAAACAGGAAAGGGAGCTGGTTATTTATTAAAACTATTATAATCTTGCCTACTACTACGGCTACTTCTTAAACAGACACATAGGATAAAATGCAGCTATACATATATTTGTTGCTCAGGACCAATTGGTGGAAGAAGGAGGAAGACATTAATTTAAAATCAAAGTCAAGGAAGCACCAACAACAGGAATGACACGAAATACGGTCATCATTCCATTTTATTTTGAAATGAAAAATAAATGGGCCAACAAGACCTTAATCCGCTCAAGAATGATTTATATCGAGTATGTCCTCTTCAAAGAGGGCTGAGGATTTACTTACAGAAACTGCGTCAACAAAACCATTCGTGTCACAACAAATACACTAAAAATAGATAGAAATAAACCGAAATAAGATGTGCATGTTTGTTGGATGCGACAAAATGGGCAATGAATATGAGAAACAAAATGTGAAATGTTATGATTTATGATGATTAAATGACTAGAATTAGGATTTTCACTTCTTTATTTTTTTTAGCTATTATTGACCTCCAAATACTCAAATGAATGGATAAACAAGTATCGATTAATAATTAAAATTTTTTGCTAATGGTCAGGAAGATAAATTATTATTCACACCAAGTGAATGTAATTTGGAATATAACTCGACAACTAAAAATATCTAGGATCATGATAAAGTAGCAAAATTTTTCTTAAAAAAAACTCTATTATTCTAAACTTATCTTCCTTGTGTTTTGGCAATTTGTTCCTTAAGAAGGAGGATGCTATTCCGCTGAGCTTCTGGGAGCTGATTTATCTGTTCGTCAGACAACTGCAAAACTTGCATTATCAAATTAGCCTTTTCCTTATCTGATGCTCCAGCCAGGTTGGCAATTCCTGAAAATGCTGCTGCAGCTGCTTTGGCTGCATTTGAAGAATCTGAAGAAGCCGCAGATGAAGACGAGGCAGGTGCAGGTCGACGTGCGCGTGGGTCTAAAGGAGCAGCTCGAAGATCTCGGTCATTTCGCATTTCGCGATGTTCAGTTCTTGGATCCCGCATGTCTCCACGTTGTTGTTGTTGCTGTTCTCCACGGAGATCGCGATCCCCTCTCATGTCACGGTCTCGCATCTCTCGTAAGTCTCGATCACGCCTTTCCATTTGTTGGAACCTGTCCTGTGCTTGAGCCCGAGGGTCACGCCTATAAAACAAAATGATAGATAATTAGAAAAATATTCGTTCCCCGTCACACAAACTTTACTCATGTAATAATCTCATATAAAACTTACAAATCAAAATCTTGGGGTGGTGGACCTTGGTTTCGTAGTCTGGGATCCATTTGCCGTAGATCCTATAGAAAATAGTATAGAAATTCAATTTAAATACCTTCTTCTACGGCATAGTAAAATTTTGTATCAATAAAAAAATCATTCTTCGCGTAGCCAACTCACCAAATCTCCCCCTCCTTGAGAAGCAGAGGATACAGCAGGACCTGGTCCGAAGGGGCCAATTGGATTTGGAGGCATCAAAGGAACTCCCATACCAACCGAACTACCTCCAGCTGCTGCAATCCACGGATTTTCTGACGGAGGAGGGACAAAAGGTCCAGGCATCATGTTAGCTTGACCTTCCGGCAACAATGCACCCATTCCTATCGAGTTATCCTTGTGCAGCATAGACTAAAAAAGGACCAAAAGTATTGCAATATTTTGAATCATTAAATGCTTATCACTCAGCCTCGTTCTCCACTTACAATTGCCGTTGTTGGTTCGACAATCTTCATTACGACCAGAGCCTGAAGCAAAGCGTAGGCCAATTGAGGATTTTGAAGCAACATTGTTCTGGCCTCTCCAGGATTATTTTGGATGCAAAGTTTCATTTGCTTCATGATTTCAAACATTTGTTCTGGTGGGAGGGACGCGACTGCTTTTGAAATCATTTCTGGTGCTTTTTCAGGGGCTGGTGGCCCCTCATCTCGTATCATCCCACCGCCGCCGAAAGGACCCTCATTGTTGTCGTTGTATCTCGGGCCGTTGTTGTGTTGCTGCTGATTCATTCCTGCCGAACCCGTTATTATGATAATAAATTTAAGACTCGTTGTTAATTTAAGACATTAATTAAGAAATGAATGACCTACCACCACCGGAAGGACCCCCCATTTCAGCCATTCTATGCCTTTCAGCTCCAGCATTATCTAACAAATAACAGCAATAATTTTATAATAATGCATTATTATTATTCAGATAAAATATATATACTGGTACATGTACTACTCACCGACACGAAGGACTCGCCCATTAATTTCGTACCCGTTCAAATTTCTCATCGCACTCATGGCCGTTTCGACGTCTTTGTATTCACAGAATCCATACCCTTTGGGTTTTCCGGTTTCACGGTCATACACCAATTTCAAGGAAAGGACGGGCCCGGCCTCGGTGAAAATCTCCTTCAATTTTTCCTCCGTCACTTCGTATGGAATATTTCCAACTACAAAAAAATAAACAAACAGTTAATTTAAGTTTCATTTAATTAAACGAAAAAATAAGAACAAGAAAATATGTTAAATCAAGTTAAATGTGATTAATTAAAGTACAACTCACCAAATACTGACCGTAGCGGTCGATCCACCATTTGTTCCGACATGATCAATACTTTATAAAACTTTATTAAATAAGTATAAAACTTTTTAATTTATTAAATGTTTTGTGTACTTTCTTTTCAACAAAAATCTTGTAAAGAAATGTACAGAAACTATGCAAAGAGAAATTGCGAATTGAGTCGCCGATCTGGCACAAACTCCGCTCCGGATTTAGTCGCTCATTACATTTTACATGATATCCTTTACTCCAATATCTGGCTTTTCATAAAGTTCATATGAATTTATGTAACAGAATATGTTTTTCGATAATATGGGTTATCGACGCAGTTACCGAAGGTGCTAAATAATTTCTTGTATAAAAGTTTCAACTGATGACATGTGTTTTCTTTTCATTTTAGAATTTGGGGTGCATTGGGAATTTATAAAGCAGTTAATTTGCAGTTATATGAATATATATTTGCATATTCGCGTTAATGCATCTCTCCATCTATTTACTTTTAATATAGATTCGACAAAATTAAATTCTATTAAGTCCTTTAGTCAAATCATGTCTCCATTCCAGAATCTGGAATAATCTAGACTATAATTACTTCCTGGGTTTTGAAATGAAATGAACTTTACATGAAATGAACTTTACACGAAATCAAACTTGTCATATATGCAATGTCTTTCTATTTTGCACGTTTAACATGCAAGCGACATTTCGATGACATTTATAATATCGAGATTATATAATATTTATAATATCGAGAGACCTGTGTGTGAGACTATGAACTCAGGTGCGTATAAAATTTCGAAGAATGAATAGATGAATATAATGAATTATGATGAAATGAATCAATCTCACAGACACAAAATTAGATTACGATTGCAAATTTATTGGAATGGGCCATTGAAAATTTTGACGGAATTTAAAAAAAACTGATTTCGAAATTCAAAGGTCACGAAAGTAATCTACTTTTTGTAGTAAGCAAGTCCGCTGTAACCTCCCCAGGCTGGGTAGGCACCGTATCCGAGGGTAGAGTATCCTATAAATATAAAAACAATTAACATTTTCTCCAATTTTTACCCCACATTTCGATAAGTTACGCTTGCATACCGTATCCTCCCCAGACGGGTGCAGCATACCCGTATCCGGAGTAGCCCAGTCCAGAGTAGACGTATTGGGCCTGCAAATAGGTCAAAATATTATTAGTTTACATACGTCTTTCCTAAAATGGGAACAAATTTTTTTGAAAAAACTTACAGAGGCAGCGGCGACGATGGCGACGAGGACCATGAGGGCGAACTACAGAAACAATTAGGAAAATTTAGCTTTCGGGTAATATCAAAATTTCAAACTTAATTCAGAAAACTTACAAGTCGAGACATCTTGAAGATTGGTTTGGTTTGGTTTGAAGATTTGTTTTGTAAAGTGTTTAAATGGCTTGTGATGCCGTCGTGCTGGAGTGGCCAGCTATTTATACCAATTTCTGCAGAGGACCCACCCAATCAACAGCTCATATGTAAAAGGAACGAGAAACAAAGGCCCAGATTTTTCCAGTTTTTCATAAACATTCTCAGCAGCGCTTACTAAATTAGATTTTTGCCGAGATATCAGAATACTATATGTATTCCGAGGTACTACTTGATCATATTTACAGCAATATCAAGACAACAATCTCTCAATATGGACTATACATAGCTGTTTTTGCTCGTCGCCACTCACGAACAGGACCTCTGCAAGGTTGCTAATGAATTCCAACAGGGGTTCAATTTGCATGCTCCTTAACATAGGCAATGAAAACGAGTTTTTACACTCGTGCTGCTTTGTCTCATCATCAAATCACTGCTGTGTTTAATCCAGAAGACGAACCAGTAAAACGATCAGAGTTGCAGACTAAACTTGCCATGATCACGATGACGATGGTGCTATTAAGCAAAATCACAACAAAGAGATGACACAAAAACGCTAGACTTATTGACTTGTTGTTATCAGCCGAGAGAGAGAACCCAGAAGTCTTTGAAGATCATTAAATCATCTCTATTTTGCAAAGTACATACTTATTTGATGACCAATTTGGTAACACGCCCATTCCATTCGTAGCTTTTTTTAACTCACTCACCCAGTTCGTTATATAATTTATTACCAAAATCAATATGCAACAGTAGAAAGATTCCAGCACAATAATAATCAAGCTCTCATTTCTTCATCGAAATAAATCTGGCGAACTGCGCACATGTTTCTTGTTTCGTAAGACATTGCAATTACGACAAGGATAACTATAATTATTCCACACGTGGTTCCAATCGTACAGAAGAAGAAAATAAAGCCACGCTCGCTCCCCGCAGAAGATCACGGAACAAAGGAGCAGGCCGAGGAGCAGGATCATAAATGCGGTAGAAACGTCTTGCAAATTGAGGGGTGGAGGGGCATGAACAACGTCACCCAGACATCGAGGAAACAATGAGCCGTACCAAATTGTAGTAAATCTTTTAATGAATCCACGCTCGTACAGCATCGCCACTCTGAAACAGAGACACCATACTTGCAAAAAATGCCGAATTGCAGAAATTTTTGCGTGAATCTCACTTTGGGTTAAAAATCTGCCTTAGACCAGACCCCTTTCGAAACATCATGCCCCCATTCATCCGGACCCCGGGGACTGTCAGCTTGAACAGATTGTTGCAAATGTAGTCGTCCCCCATTTTGAAGTCGATTTTATACGCCGTGTTTAACGCATCCTCGAACGAGATGTAGGTGCTTTTTCGATCAATCACTTTCCGCACGCCGTTTTGAACATTGACAAAATACGTATCATCTAAAGATGGGAGGAGAGATTTTCCTTCGCCTGTGAGACGCTCGTTAACAATGTTCTGCAGGTTGGAGCATAACGTTTTATTAGTTTGTCAGACAGTAAATAAGTATATAGCGAGTTACTATACGTAAATTTGCATACTTTGACATAATCATGAGTAAAAGGGATCGATACGTCTCCATAAATTCTGAGTTGACTTTGGATAAGATCAGTAAATGTACGAATCGGTAATAGTTCGACGGACAGGTTGGAAACCAGAGCAGCGGAAAAAACGACATATGCAACGATGCATAAAATTGTCAACGCTAAGTAAATAATTCTCATCGGAATTGATTCTGGGGACCCGACTGAATCTGCAGTGTGGTGAAAATATGCATGTCATTTATTCTTCGGATGCTATCAAATTATCTGAAAAAAATAAAGGTTATCTTACTCCTCTGACAAAAGGTGACCAAAACCCAGTAGCTAGCATCCAACGCGAGCAAGGCGTCCATCCAGCCCTCTTCTTCTTCTTCCTCCTCCTCCTCATTAATATCGACACTTTTAATTACTGAACACACTCGTTCGTTGTAAAATGTTTTACCGAAATGTAAAACTTTGATCGATATGATGAATATTAATGCAAATATGAATAAAACAAGCCACAAAACGGGTGGAAAGGATGCCGTCAGAATGTTTCTGACCGAGTTGGATGGTGGTTGTCGAAATGCTGCCACCAAAAATCCCTTTGATGTAGGGAACAAAAAATCGAAAACTTTCACATTCCAGGGAAGTAGGGTAGCTTAAAATGAAAATGAAAATGAAAATAGTAAAATGACGATTGATTTAAAACATCCGAGTGAAAGTGCTTTGGGAATTTACCTTGAGCAATCGAAAACTCTGCCTCATTCGACAGCACTTGACGTCCTACTCCTGCCCATGAACCATTTGGCAGCAAGTCGGACCAGCCTTCACCCTTCAAGGCGACATATCTGAAAATAAGTTATACATATTTTTTAATTATTCCCACAATTAACTAATTGAATTACGTACATTGACTTAAATTATGTATATAAATATACACTCACGTAAAATTTAGTGAGTATTGAAGCAGTAAAAGTAAATCCAATGCGAATCCCGAGTTGAAATCGATTGAACCATCTGAACAATTTTTTAAGGTCAACTGGTACGCGTAATCAGGGTCAGCCTGAGGACAAGAAATGTAGAAATTACCACTTTGTCTCTTCGTACAACTAATAATCCGCACTACAATGTGTCACCTTACCAATCCCACAACCCGAAGCTTGCGCCCCATCAAATTGACTTTGGTAATGTTATAGATAACATCAAAATTCGAAACATGGTCTTCCATCCCATCGGATTGCAGGGACATGGCTGACGGAACGGGGATGCTGTGTAGCTACAAAATGCAGTAAACGGCGTACCAAGGAATTCCTCATTGTACGAAAGCATTAGCGGAATTATCACCATTATTGATGCAAAAACGACCCAAGGATTGAATGGAATTGTGGAACTTGCGCCGTGACATAAATAAATAGCAGTTTCCACATTCTCGTAAATGAAGCTAATTTTCATTCCGGCTCTTGCATAATAAAGTGCGTTAATAGTGATGCAGGTTATGCAAATTTGGCTCACGAAGTGTACAATTTTAATCAATTATAGCACTGCCAGGGAATAAGTATCAAATGCTACGTATTGCATTGTATAATAAGACGATTGAGTGTTTCCTTCGACTTCTTCGAGGTCTAAATTATGGATGGGATCCATATTGTTGGCTATGGCTTTCACTCGTATTGCATTGTGCGGATGACAGTTTTCTACGTTTTGGGAAACTCTTTGGTAATTTGGGTCTTGGAAAGCGATGTGTTTAGCTGATAAAATTAGAAAAAACTTCAGAGTGACATTGAATACTGTATCCACTAAAGCGTCATAAAATGTGTATTCATAGTATTTGACATATTTGGCATAGAAAAAGTCACACTCATTGCATGCTTTTCTTCAAATTCCTGTATGGAATTGCATTCTATGCAGCATTTTTTACTACACTTTTGCTATTTAGGTGGTGTTATGATGAATATATAAGACGCAATTGTACCCAAAAATATGTGGGTTCCAGTAAATATGAAACGTATGATTCTAAATAGGTCACCGTTGTAAGCAATTAAATCCTCATTAGCAAAAGCAGAAGAGAAATTGCACTTGCAAAGAAGTTCTAGATTTATGAGCATGGTAAAGTTAATAAGTTAGACTTGGATGTTTGTCGTTGTCTTAATTTTAGGAAACTGGTCAAAATACTATTGCGAAATTAGTATAGACTGCTGGCTAATTTTTGTTTCCGCCAGATGTGTCACTTCCTTATTATTCATCCATTTGTTTACCACGTTAATGAAGTCCAATCTTGTCATTTGCGGTTACAATATAGTTCAATAACAATTTTGTCATGGTCTAGATTTATTGTAAAGTTTATTTATCTACGTGCATACGATTTGCAAGAGGTCAGTGTCATTTGTACTTTAGCGTTTCCCTCTCTCACGATGATAACACAAAATTGAAACATGTTGTTGCCAGCTATAATTGTGTCCTTATTACTCGTCACAAAATTAAGGGCAGACGTGAGCGAATTTTTTAACAATAATTTAGTAATTGAATCCCCTCTCGGGACACTATTTCCCGGAGAGCACGCCCAATTCGTATGTATCGCAAAGAATTTCGAAGGAGATGGAAAACTCGTTTGGCATTGGCATTTCACGAATAGGTCAACATTGTACACGATAGGTAAATATTTTTGTAAATAAAATATTTTGAGATTTTTTTTACCAAAATAAAAATAATTCTGTCAAAACTCCCAATGTTTTCAGAACCTGAATCAGACCAGTTGGACAGATCCAATGGCGATTTTCTTAGGCGCAGCGTTATTCGGGTGCCCGACAGCGACAGTAGCAGAAGAATTGCTTACATTGGATGTGAATTTTCTACGGAAGGACATCTCTACACGAAATTGATGCCTCTGGATATTCTGAGTATTTATTTCATAAACTGAACTATTTTTACTCGGTGAATTTTGAATAAATAGCATCAATATTTCTACGTTTTAGAAACATCCAGCCCAACAACCTTCAGAAATCATCAAATAATTTATCCACAAATAGCTCTCGAAGTTTACAGCTCCGAAATAAGAAAACCTGATTCAGATGCACCAATGACGATCCTAAATTCCTCATCTTACCGACATCCTGCCTACCTTGTCACAAACAAATCCATCAGTTTATCACCTGACGCCAAGAGTATACGATTATCCTGCATAACTCCAAAACATCAGCACGGAGAGTATCGATGGGTCATATCCACCACGGGACAGGTAGGACAATCTTCTACATTAATAATTTCTAAAAACGGTCATTTAATGAATGTAACCAATTTTTAAGACTCCAACAAACGATTCCAAAAAGCAGTCTGCCAATCAACTACCCAGCATATCCTTAGTTCTCAACAGGATGTCTTTAATTTACCGTGAAGCCGTACTTGCTGGGCGTTTGCCTAATTGTGGGGACAACACGAGCGACATTTCTCGTCGCCAATTTCCGTTCTTGCCGTACGAGGACACAGTTTCGGATACGATTGAAATACTTTTGTCCCCACTTGTCCTCGAAGCAGAGACGTTAACCTACACCTGCGAACCAGTCAACAAAACTAACAATCCCCAAAATACTGCATACACTAAGATAATGCTACTTGGTAATATCTATTCACACAAAAATGTGTATTTACTAGTAATAAGTTTTAATTGCACATTATAATTCAAAGCGACAAGAAGTGGTACGCAGATGCAGGAACGTGACCAAGAATTTCTACAATTGATCAACATCCTCATGCAAATTTTGCAAAGTTCTTCTGGAGGTGGTGGTGCAAATTCTGAAGGCGGTGGGAGTGGTGGTGGTGGATCTGGCCCCATTTACGGGGTGGGGTTTGGATCTTCAACCATCATGATTTTAATGGGGGTCACTATTTTCTACTTGAAGAGACAACTTAACCAAATTCAGGTACAAATTAAATTGCCAACAATTAAAACACAAAATATCTTAACGTACTTGTATGTCTTATGTACAACATCTCATTTTTCACACTTTTGTCCTGTTCTTTTCTGTCCAGGAACAAGTCAGAGAACACGACGAAGAACGGAAGAAGCTGAACAGATCCAGCAGACCAGTAAATGAGAATGATTCTTCAGAGTTATGACCTTTTTTGACCGTGTAAAGAAGTGCATAAATAATAGTTATGAAATCTCATTTTTTCGCATATCTGATGACATCACATAAATCTCAATTTCCCCACTTGCAATTTACTCTCTCAGGGAAACAAGGTTGACACATATGCTGACTCGGCTTTAAGAAGTAACAGCTTCAGATTGTTAATTAATTAATTGCCGAGTTAGCATATTTATAATTTATTGCATGTTTCTCCTCTTGCCGATAACCACAATCTCCATTTGCCGTATGGTGTCAATTTAATAGTTAATCCATAATTTGTAGCTTTGTTAATTTATTATAATATTTATTTGTTGGAGTTAAGTTCTTAAAATGACGACAGATTTAAAACATCCGAGTAATAAAACCAGACTAAAATTTATTGGAAATGCTTTGGGAGTTTTTGTGTGCTTCTTTTTCTACGGGATTCTACAAGAAGCAATGTAATTATAAAGTTAAATCCGTGCAAAACTAATGATTCTATTGCTTTCTTGTGTTTGCAGAATTGTTTATATAATTGTTTATATATTTCTTTTAGCACTAAAGGGACTTACACAATTGATGAGGAGACCACAGAAAAATTTGTGTACACCTTGTCTCTCGTCTGTGTCCAGTGTGTCGTCAATTATTTCTATGCAGAAATATGTAGGTCTTTTTGCAAATGAGTGTTTATATGCATTAATATTATGAAATTAATGAAAATTATGTTAATTAGTGCTCAAAACATGGCAAAAGCCTAAATCTACCGATGCAAAGGTGGAAGTTAAGCTGTACGGAGTATGCTCTCTTACTTATTTGCTGGCTATGGTTTCGAGTAACATGGCTTTGCAATGGGTCCCTTATCCAACTCAGGTTAGTTAAATAGGGAACTGTGAACATATTAGTGAATTTATACTAAAATATAAACTTGTTAAGGTCATTGGGAAATCTTGCAAGCCAATCCCGGTCATGATTCTCGGAGTCTTACTCGGAGGGCGGAGCTATTCTTTGCGGAAATATCTGTTTGTCCTCTTAATTGTCCTGGGAGTCGCTTTGTTCATGTACAAGCCAAGAAATTCCCCGTCATCCCTAGTGGCAAATGCGACCATGACTGGAGAGCTGCTTCTAATAATGTCACTATCGATGGACGGTCTAACTGGTGCGGTACAAGAGAGGATGCGACACGGGTCGCAACGACCAAATTCTGCGACCATGATGAAGATGATGAATCTATTTTCTATTGTGTACTCCTTTTCTGCAATACTTTTAACGGGAGAAATTTTTACATTCTCCCAGTTTTGTGTCCGACATCCGGAAGTATTGTGGAAGATTTTCAGTTTCTCTGTGATGTCCGCGCTAGGACAATTCTTTATCTATGTCCTTGTCACCGACTTTGGACCACTGCCTTGCTCTATTGTAACGACTACTAGAAAGTTTTTTACAGTTTTGGCTAGTGTCATCTTCTTTGGAAATGTTCTGAGTGAAACGCAATGGTTGGGCGCACTACTAGTTTTTGTTGGGTTAGGATTAGATTCTGTTTATATGTAACTATATTGGAGTTGGATTTATATCATGATTGTACAATTAATTATTATATAACGAAATTAAAAATGGGTATATTGGAAATCATTAAGTTTTATATGCATTTTATTATCATTTCTTAGTCGTTGTAGGTGTGGCGACGTACATAGACATATCACGTACAAAAAAATATGCATAATTTTTGCAAGTAAAATCAGCATTGAATATCACACTAAAACAGCCATACACATACACCCTTCACAAAAATGGGCTCAAAGGTGGAAGACACCGAAATTGTCGCTTCGTTAAAACGAAAGAAGGAAAATGAAGTCCTATTTTCGCGAGCGGAAATCTTTCATCAAATGCTCATGGTAGAAAAGTAGAAATTATGACATACATGTATTGTAATATATCGATACTTCTTGATTATGCGGTACAGGAAGATTTTCAATTTTTGGAAGCAGCTCGAATTTACTCTGGAGGCTGTGAACCACCAAAACTTAACTATGCAGATATTACTGGTATTTCTCGAATATACATAAAATTATATATTACTTTCGCTAATTAGTCAATGTATTAGTCAATGCTATGTTCTTTCCAATACATACCACCAGATGCAGAAAATTTTCGAGAAGTTGCACTCGCATATCCGAACGGTCTGATTCAATATGATCATTTTACGCATCGATCTGCGGAACGAGTAAGATGACTACATTTTTTAATTAGTGAAATTACTACAGAATTTTCTTCTTATGAAAAAAGGTGTTCAAAGATCGCCTCCATGTTGAACCTGATATCAGATCACTGCGGTTTATGGCACGACGCTCCAAGTGGCCCCCAATCGGAATTTGGGCCCATTGGTTCCTCCAAACACCATTCTTCGAAATCATTATGGTTTGCATCATTGTGGTGAATTCGGTCACCATTGCTATTGACCTAGGTGGGCTTCTTATAATTAATTCCTATTGACTGATCTGAGATTCATAAGGTTCGTGACGTTTGTGTTTTAGAGTTGCCTCAAGACAATGGTCTGTTCAGAGAAAACTTAGAAATTGTCGATTTCTTTTTCTTGTGCATGTTCGTAGCAGAGATCTTTCTGAAGTGGGTTGATAGCTTTGGGTCTTTTTGGAACGATGGGTGGAACATTTTTGATTTCATCATTACAGCGACGGTATGTGTACATATTCTATCTAAATATTTATTCAACTATTTCTATCTAAATATTTATTCAACTATTTCTATCTAAATATTTATTCAACTATTTCTATCTAAATGGCTTCATCTTGGCTTCATCCTTAAATACAAATAAATACAGTCACTAGTTGCACCGCTGATTGATCTCACATTTCCTGAAACGGACGAGGAGGAAGATCTTGAAGGAATCTTTAACGCTGTGAAATATCTTCGAATCATTCGCATCTTTCGATCTCTTAATGTAGTGACCCGGATTCCAAAAATTCAGCAAATTTGGGCTGCTGTGGTCAAGACTTTCACCGCAATGATATTCATCACAGGTGCATATTTGAAATAACTAATTAGTAAAAAGGTTGAGGTATAATGATCTTATTCGTCACTACTCTTTAAAAAATAGTGAAAACAATTTGCTTGTCAATTTATGTAGCACTCATGGCCATCTTCTTTTACATTTTCGCCATCATCGGTATACAAGTTTTTGATCGCTACACTCATTCTCATCGTGCCAACTTGGATTATCGAAAGTCATTTTCTGTAAGTAATTTATTGCAGGAAATTATTCCCAGTTTTACTTATATGCTTTAAATATTGGTAAATAATTTAAAATTGAAGGGACTTCCAAACTCATTTGTCACCCTTTTCCAACTTTTTACCCTGGATCATTGGTACGATCTCCTTCGCGAGACGTCCGATGTCATGAAGGGGTGGACAGTTCCTTGTATTTACATTTTATCCTGGATCTTGCTGGGATCGTTCATCTTTAGGAATATATTCGTTGGCGTTATGGGTAATTGTAATTATGCAATTTATCCTGTCTACATATGCGTAAGACAATTTCACATGGCGTCATTTTTTAGTGAATAATTTCCAAAACATTCGACAAAACATGATGACGGAACAGAAACAAGATCATCAAAATCGAAAATTAGCCCAACTAAATATTTTTGCACTGGACGAATTGTACATAAATCCATATATTTATGACACATCATGTTATTCTATTTGGATTATTAGTCAACTTGACCTTATTTATTAATTCAGAGAAATGGAACATATCGAGTCGGATGATCCACTTGTCGACTGGGAAGCCGAAGTATTTCACAATTTGGAAATTATCAAGGCTTTGGGACAGAAAATGTCTCCTGTTATGTGGCCAAGGTTAGAATGCGCAAGTCACATGCATAATTTTCATGTTGTGAATGACGTGCCCCACTTATACGTACCAATTAGAGATACAATGTTCCAATACTACATGTTGTTGGAAGCGTATGCAAGCAATGCGGACGAAAGGAATCAATTGTTTAAACTGTTGGGTAAAAAATAATCAGTAAAAAAAATGAAGAATTTCGTTTTGACATCTGGATATTTTGATTTAGATAAGGCCTTGCTCCGATTTTTGGATTCATGAATCAAGAACATGGATCGATTTTGAATTAATAAGTTACTTTTTATAAATTTTTTACTACAAGTTCAATGTTGTAATGATACCTAAATAATGTACGAATCAATGTAAAAAAACAAGTTGTTCGCTGCTAATTCAATTTTGTATGGACAGCTAATTTGAGTTAACATAAAGTACTAAAGGTGGGAGATAATGAATAGCATTATGAGTCTTACTTAACCTTAATGTTTGCGGTCATTCAGCTCGTATTTACATACTTATTATGATGATATGTCAAACGTTGTGTCGTTTTTCCAGATCTGTCCTGGTTGGGATTTCCATATTGAGTAAAATGCGGTTTTGAGACCTACTTTTTGTCTTAAAAAAACAATTAAATGTCTTGACTATCTGCTTACTTTTGCACAAAGCTCTATTAAGCAAACATTGTCATTTTTACACATATTGATATTAGACGTTGTGCATTTAAATAAACTACTAGATTTTTGCATAGCTTTGCAAAATGAGAGCAATCAAAGTCTTAATCTTCACCGTTTTAGTGGTGGGTGTGTCCGCACTGGATAAAGTTACAGCACCCAGTAGAGACCTTTTCATCGGAGATTTTGAATCGTTTACATGTGAGACGTCTTCTGGTCCAAATTTGAAATGGGTGTACAAGTTTAAGGACTCGATGGATGAAGTTTTAGACTCAGGTGGGTGATTGGAATTCCTAAAAAACAAGATTTGAATTTTAAAATATTGTTATTTTTTGCATTAGACATTCTTCGGGACAAACGGATCAGTGAACATGAGTCTTTCATTCGAAAGAGTCTGATTCGTGTTCCGCGTGCACTTGAAAGTATTTCTTGTTATGACGCAACAAAACATAGTGAAGTAGGCAATGCGCCTGTATCTGTTAATGGTACGATTGCATGGTAAACTGCACTTTAAGAAATATACATATCTCAATTTTTCCTATAATTGTAGACTTTAACGATGTCGATATACTTGACGATCCGTGAGTTTTTTATTATCCCCGCATTTTACTCTTCTCAATACTAAGATGATCTCCAATTTCTGCACAGGACTTGCCAAGATGTCCCCAAAATTACACTAGTTCGATGGAACCAATTTTCAAACAATCATATTTGGTTGAATCATTACGTAACTAATGAAGATGTTCGTCTTGAAGGAATTCGTGGGATAAAACTCACTTGCATGTCTAACATGAAAGTGAACTGGACCATTTCGCATAAAACATTGAGAGTAGTTTTACTATTTATAATATTGCTATATTTCATTGAACAATTTCGCGAAATATTCTTGCACAACTTAGGAATTCAGATACTGGACTTCATCAGGGAAGGAATGTTACTTTGCTTCTTTGGTCTTGAGCCCCATCAATCCCACCTCGGCTCAAAAGTTCATTTGTACTGGAAATGATAAAGATCATGTCAAGAAGGAATCAAGTGTAAATATTATTTTGCGTAAGTGTGAGCATAAAAAAATACGAAATTTAATACTTGACGATTCAGATTAATAATTAAAGAATTCAATCGTTTAAACAGCTCCAACGAGATATGCTGACGAGACCGTCTTGGACTTCAACAAGACGCAGGAATGCATCGAGTATTTGGGAACGACCGTTTTTGGGAGTCAAACGTTGGCGTGGAGCACGGCAGGGAGTTCAATGTTATCTATCGGCATGATGGTGGGAATTGTCTTCCTAAAGAAGCAACTGGAAAAGCAGAAGGTATTCATATTTTAGGATGTCATGAATTTATGACTATGAGGTCTCAATTTTCATATCATTTTTTGCAGACAAATAATAACTCAGGTGGTGCACAGCCCGTACCCGCATAATAACTAAAGAAAGATCCATATCACACAAAATTTCCGTTATAAAAAGTACATACTTCATATTTGGATAAAGTTTGATCAATAAAGCTACATTTTCTTAAAACATGCTACCATCAAACAATTAATGAGCAGCGTGAAATTGACTCGTAATGAAAGCACGACACATTATTGATTCAACAATTCATCCTTTGACTTCCTGTTTGACACATTATTTATGCTTTCACTTTTTTGTCCCCAGTCTCATTTCCAGATCGGCACTGTTTGCACCCACTCACTCACTCACTTTTAATTTTTATATCCACATTTTCCACACCTTTAAAATGGACGTTCCTTCAAACGAAAATCGTACCAAGGAAGTTTTAGATTTCCTCCTAAGTTCATATCGAGCAAAAATGGCGTTACAAAATCCTACAGAAAATTGCCCCTTCGACTTTCAACAATTTCTTGCAACGTGGAAAGGAAAATATCCGGACTGGGCAACGTTAAAGGCGACCATGAAGAAAGACTTGGAACCTTTATTGCAACAAGGAATATTTGACTCTATAATTCCTTACTTGGCAGCGTCAATCAACCAATCTGCAGCTCGTCGAGATAACAGCAATACTAATCTGCAGGACTTATCACATCTTCTTGAACGGAGGGACAGTAACAGTGGAATAATTAGCACGGAACTATTCGCACTGACGCCAACATCCAAATCTAAAAGAAATCCTGATATTCTTACCAAGAGATCACCTGACCTTCAGATTGGAGACGAAGAAACATGCGAAATTGTGATCCATGTTTGTGACGAAGCTAAAAATTTGAAACAGGATTTTAAATGTGTTCAATCAGTCCTTGTCCAAGAAATGGGATACTTCTCAAAAGTGACCGTTCGTGGACAGAAACTTAAAGATATGGACATTTCCGTTCATTGTGACATAGCCGTTTTTGACTGGTTAATGAAATGGGTCAAGTCTAAAATTGATCAAGATGGTGGTGGCGAAGCAAATTCTGCTGCTCCAACATTGGGTAATTTCACTACCGAAAATTCTGCCACTTATATATATAAATATTAATATGGTAATTTCATGTTATCAGAATCATCAAACGTCATTGGACTCATGGTCTCTGCCGAATTCTTACAAATGCCTACTCTCACCTCTGAATGCATTCAATTTACAGCCGAAAATATTGAAGAGGTGATCCTCACCTCGCCAAATTTAGGCTGTCTCAACGAATCGCTTACCAATCGACTTAGCACTTACTTTGACAATATCGAAATGGAAACTAAAATTGCAAGGATTGATACCAACGACAGAATAACTTCTCGACTGTATACTCAATTTACAATGTCGCTTAACGAGCCTTCCGATTTAGCGAAAGATGAGAAGGGTAAAACTTGTCCGAGGGGTCACTTCGCCTCCACAGTGACCTTATTTAAATGCAATACGTGTGGAAGATTGCTCATCAACGAGGTCGCATCTCGAGTCCCTTGCACCTCGATGAGATTAGATTGTCGAGGACGACTATACTCTACGCATGTCAAAGATTTGAATTGGTCACTCAGCAATTACATCAGAGATTTGAAACGGGAGTTGAAATCGTGGCGGAAAGTTTATTGGAGGTACATACATATTTAGTAATTGATATTTATCTACTAACCTCATTTATAAGGGGCCGTTCATAAACTACGTAACGCTCGGAAGTGGGTGGGTGGGTAGTGGAGCTTGCGTCACGCATAGTCACATGTTTTCATTTATGCTAATATATAGATTACTTATTCGTATTAAAAGTTATACTTTTTGCATAGCTTTGTTCTAAAATGTCAAACAAAAGACGACCTTTGGAGTCCCAAGCCTTCCAAGAAGCAAATGGTAACATGAAACTCCAACAATGCGATCAGGAAGTTGTGAAATATTGAATGGTTTAAAAAATCAAGAAAATTTTGGATCTTAAGTTGAGCAAGATATGCCCAGGCGTGAAATATTTCGAACCAAAAAATTTTTGCTGGATAACATGTTGCCCACATGTTATCCACAAAAATTTAAGAGAAATAGCGAAATCATGGCATGGCGACGAAATTTGTCGAAAACAAGGTGGTGGCGGCGGGTGTGACCTTGCGACATGTCGATAACACCAACAAGAAGTGTTGTGCCAAATTTCATACAAATCGGACGAAAAATGGCGAAGTTATGGCATTTCGACGAAATTTGGCGAAAACAAGGTGGTGGCTGTGGGTGTGACCTTGCGACACGTCGACAACACCAATAAGAAGCATTGTGCTCAATTTCATGCAAATCGGCCGAGAAATGGCGAAATTATGGCATGGCGACGAAATTTGGCGGGTGGCGATGAGTGTGACCTTGCGACATGTCGATAACACCAAAAAGAAGTCTCTATCGAAGTTTGATGGAAATCCGCCGAGAAATGGCGAAATTATGGCATGGCGACGAAATTTGGCGAAAACAAGGTGGTGGCGATGAGTGTGACCTTGCGACATGTCGATAACACCAAAAAGGAGTCTTCGTCGAAGTTTGATGGAAATCGGACGAAAAATGGCGAAGTTATGGCATGGCGACGAAATTTGGCGAAAACAAGGTGGTGGCGATGAGTGTGACCTTGCGACATGTCGATAACACCAAAAAGAAGTCTCTGTCGAAGTTTGATGGAAATCCGCCGAGAAATGGCGAAATTATGGCATGGCGACGAAATTTGGCGAAAACAATGGGGTGGCGACGGGTGGGACCTTGCGACATGTCGATGACACCAAAAAGAAGTCTCTGTCGAAGTTTGATGGAAATCCGCCGAGAAATGGCGAAATTATGGCATGGCGACGAAATTTGGCGAAAATAAGGAGGTGGCGGCGGGTGGGACCTTGCGACATGTCGATAACACCAAAAAGAAGTCTCTGTCGAAGTTTGATGGAGATCCGCCGAGAAATGGCGAAATTATGGCTTGGCGACGAAATTTGGCGAAAACAAGGTGGTGGCGATGAGTGTGACCTTGCGACATGTCGATAACACCAAAAAGAAGGCTCTGTCGAAGTTTGATGGAAATCGGCCGAGAAATTGCGAAATTATGGCATGGCGACGATATTTGGCGAAAACAAGGTGGTGGCGATGAGTGTGACCTTGCGACATGTCGATAACCCCAAAAAGAAGGCTCTGTCGAAGTTTGATGGAAATCGGACGAAAAATGGCGAAGTTATGGCATGGCGACGAAATTTGGCGAAAACAAGGTGGTGGCGATGAGTGTGACCTTGCGACATGTCGATAACTCCAAAAAGAAGTCTCTGTCGAAGTTTGATGGAAATCGGACGAAAAATGGCGAAGTTATGGCATGGCGACGATATTTGTCGAAAATATGGGGGTGGCGGCTGGTGGGAGCTTGCGACATGTCAACAACACCAATAAGAAGCATTGTGCCAAATTTCATGCAAATCGGCCGAGAAATGGCGAAGTTATGGCATGGCGACAAAGGTTGTCGCCATGCAATGCATTTATAAGGGGGGAGCTGTTAGCCGCCCTAAGAAGGGCGTTTCCAGAGCACACGACGAGGACGTCGCTCCCTCGTGCTCCACGCGGGTCGGCCCCCACTTGCGCCCGGAGGCGCAAGGGGGGTCTACCTCCACCGACCGGGAAAGCCCTGCCCACGTCGCCGCCTCTGCAACCGCGTTCCCCTAGGGGGCCCGTCTGACCCTCGCCTTACGAGGTGGGAGCGCACCCGTAAATCGGCCCCCATTAAGGCTTCGAACTCGGGAACCCGACCGGCCCCAAGGGGAGTGCAAGCTAAAGAGCCCGGTCACCCAAGGGTTGGAGGTAGAGAGCCCCTCTCACTTGCCAAGCGCCACCCGCACTTTTGGCAAGCCCCGCCGGCTCCCCACCCGGTGAGCCTGCTTGGTGGGAGGAGCATTGGAGGGGGGACCTTCCCGTAAGGCTCTCCCCTTGCAGCGTTGCTCCCCCGGACCACCCCTCCAACGGGAGGAGAGTCGGGGCTGTGGGACAAACCACGGGTGGACCCGACTCCCCAGAGAGGCAGGGCGGTCCAGGGGCGCAGCTGCAATGGGGAGCTCACCCAGGGACACGTCCCCCACGAGCGCCTCCCGCAGACTAAAAAAATTGCGGAACGGAACTTGTACTAGGCAACTTTGTCCCCCTAACCACTAACCGTGGTCACTTTTGCAAGGAAAAGTTTCAATGACTTGACTTGAAACTGGTCAAATCAGCCTATTTTTTAGTTGTAGGGCAGTATGATCTTGCATTTTGTGCATTAAAACTTTCAAAAAGGTCAGTGGGGGTTTTCAAAAGGAGGGGTGGCTTATGGCTGATATGCCAATATCTACATGTCCACATGTTCCATGTTTACAATTATTACGATAATTCAATTAATTATTTCGACGTCATTATCGTTGGGTAAATGTCGATTTTTATAGTTTTTTGGTCGCTGATTTCGAATCTGAGGTCAGATTTTCGATTGGAACATCGTGGGAAGGGGCACATGGCCAAAAAATTTTGCTAAAATTTCTCATTAAATTAGGTGCATATATTATTTCCTTTGTCATGTCATATAATCCAATTTAAAACGTATTGGATCAGTGTGACAGGCCAATCTACGGGCGTATACACTAGTAACGATATAATCTGACGACACCATAAACAGTGCATATTATATATCACACAATTTGTAGTTGTATGAATAACGTAACGTTAATACTATAAACTGGTTTATACTATACGTGCACGTTTTATGCTCAAAATACACTATGTATGTACATAAAAATATAAAATATGCATAAAACATAAAAATATGCGATTTTAGCGTTACATAGTTTATGAACGACCCCTAAGGTTAATGAGTTAAGACCTTATAAGTTAATTAAGAGTATCATTCGAATCCTTAGGCTATGGGGCACCGTTCACTTCCTGCCATGTTCCAGTTGCGAGTTAACATTCCCCTTAAAAGACTTCGCTTCGTGTCAATTTCACCCAAAATTACCACAACTTCAAGTCAGCGTTCTTGCTGCTACGGGTGAAATTCAAGAAAGGGATTTATTCGACTCGGCAGATGTTCTGGTCGGGAGGAAAGATGACATCAAAACTAAAGAATCGCCACCGGAAGAATTCATCAATCCGTTCAGACGCCAAAGAGAGAAAAAGGGAAAAGTTGAACAAGAGGAGGATCTGGAAACTATTAATTGTGCTTTTGGAGTTTATCCATGTTGTCGAAAACCGGGCTACAAGTTTTACCCGTTACCATCAACAAATGTATATACATTTATGCAAAAAAAACAAGTTATACAATCTCAAAATACATTTTTTTGTCAAAGGGCTGCCAATTTCGCGATCACAACGTTTCTACCACCACGGCAGAACAAATCATGCAACGTCTCACCATGTTCAGGGACTTAATTGTCGTTCCTCCGCCTAAAGATAAGCGAGAAGAAGCTTTATCCAAGAAAGGGACGCATTTCGAGTGGGGTTCAATTGTAGATTTGACCCCATTTAAACCGATATCCTCGTCTAGTCTAAACCTCACACACAGATATCCAACTAATCGTCACCTTAATCCTGATCACCCCAGCTCCACAGAGGAGTCCAATCATTCAAATTCTTTCAGTGATACGGAAGAAAATAATAGTGCTGAAGTTGGAGGAAGTCATTTAGGACAAAGTAATAATACGAGTAATACTCGTCCAAATACTCGGAGTGGTCAAGTCGTATCGGAATTTTGGAGTTGGAATAGCGATTTCACAACGAGGTCTGTTGGTTAAAAATTGTCGCAAAAAATTTGAAATTTGTTATCAACTTTGCCAATTAGATACAACCAAGACATGCAGCGAGAAAAGGAGGAAAAACTAATGTCCGATTTAGAACTCTTACTGTCTCAAAGGGTGTCTCTTGAACCGACGTCGTCTGCAGCAGGATCCTCGATGAGATTTGGATATTTGAGTAGAAGAACGCCCAAGGTGGGTTAACGTGCATATTATCCGGTTTAGTGATTAATTACTTAAAATTAATAATTAAACACCTTTCTATTTAGTAGTTAATAAAAAGAGCCGCAGATAATAATAAAAATAATGTGTTGACTGTGTGTAGAACTTGGGCGGATCGTTTATGAAGTTGGAGGAGAAGTGGAGAGAGCTGCAGAAGGGAGGAGGAGGAGCAAAAGGTCAAACTCAAACTCAGAGGACGGCTACTGCAAAATCAGCAAAATCTTAAATTTTCGTTTCAAGCTCAAACTGCTGAACTGCTCCACAAAATTAAAATAAATAAAAAATTCTAATTTTATAATTAGTAAAGTAAATTATTTCATCATTAGTGTATAATTATTATAAAATTTCATTTATAAATTGGAGAATGTAATTTTCGAGCTCAAATAATTTATGTGAAATCGTTTTCGTTTGACACGGGTTTCGTTTAGTTTCTGTCCTAAAGGTAATAATTTGTACTTTTATTTATTATTGCTATCTAAAATCTAATTTATCAAATGTGAATTTCAGAACAGATTTCGATTTAGAGTCTTTGGCGTGAGAAAAACTACAATGAATAATTTCGAGAGAGGAAGAGAATCGCTGCTTCAGGCCCTTGCCATAATGCGGAATGTAAGCTGGCTTATCAGTAAAAATTGGTGGTAGCTTTCTGTATATTACGTTAAGAATTGTTTAACAGGAAGAAGAACACAAAAGAAAATATGGAGGCGTGTCTGAAATATTGAACAACCGAAGGGAGACTTCAGTAGCAGTGCTGAGTGATATGATTGTTCGAATGAAACGAGAAATTGATGGGAAGAATAAATGTGTTAAATTTTTCGAGGATATTGCTGGTAAAATTATTAATTTGTTAGGCCAAATCCTATTTAATAAGATGACCAAGTTTTTTGTTGGGAATAGGATGGTGGAAAGATGTTCAAGATGAGAGACAGAGAATGTATCAAAGAATTAAGGATTTGGAACAAGTAATTTCTATTTATGTTTATTAAATAGATCCAACACCTATACATAATTTAGGAAAATGCCGATTTGCAAAAGAAGTTGGGAGGAGGTACATCATCGATATCATCATACAACTGGAATCCCAAAGACAACAAATCTCCAGGAATAGATGATAACTTTAGCACAATGCATGATACCAACGATCATGGTGAAGTTACGACAGACAATAGAAAGAGTAACAGCGGAAATGGGGACAGTGAGAATTCTAATGATTTATCGGGCTCCTACTTGCAAAATGATAGTGTCATGCAAAATGAAGATCAAAATGGGGACGATGACGAGGAAAGCTTCCACTCCAGGTATGGCACTACCACTTCCGCAAACGATAATGTGGATTGGATGAAATCTCCGACTTCCTCCAATACTATGGTATTTTTCATTGCCTCATATTAATAAATTCCCTTTTCATTTGATATTCGCAAATAAATAAGTAGATTAATCATTTTTAGGCCTCTTTTCCTCCCCTGATTTCCAACCCGTATGACTCCTTGGACACAAGTTATTACAACCCTACACAATTTTTCCAACGATTGTCCAGTACAAGTGTTCGAAAAGGAAAGCCCAAGCGTGGAGGTGCTTCCGGTAGCCGTATCAGTAAGGGAAAGAAATCTCAACCAGCTGCTGGAAAAGCGAAGGAGAAAGCCGCAGCAAAGAGGTTTTTTATGTATAATTGACAATGATAAATGTAATACATATGTGCATATATCAAATCTCATTACAAAATTACGCTAAATTTCTGCAGGAAATCCGGAGCGAATAATAGCAGTGCACCGGATATCAATCAAGTCATAGAATTAGACCCCAGCCCTGGTGAAAGTGATGCAACTAACCAGTCTGTCTCAATTTATGGCAATATGGAAGATGGTATTAGTCCTACTGAGTCAACTCAAAATGGGAGTAACGACGAGCCGGTTGTCGAAACAATTGAAGAATCTCCGGATAAAAGTTACTTCGATTATACCTCCACATTTCTTGATGAGACAGAAAACTTGCGCGATGTGTAATCTTATTGATGGAAAGTTTTTTTACACGAACTATTCTTATGTATCATCTTTTGTTAGCTGAGCTTATGCATAGTTTATTTACTTGCTGTTTGATTTTTTCGATTAATCGTCTTTCAGTCAATGCATAAATGTAAATTTTAGTGAAAGATGTTTCAGTTACTTTTTATAGTCGATCATTTGATAGTAAATAAATTTATGAAACAACGTCATTCAATTTGGCATAATATAGTCTTTAATGTTGAACATAAATAGCATCATCAAATAGTTAAAATTGTAAGTAGAAGTGTTTTTTTTGTAATTACCTTTAAAATATTTTGTCCTCATATTTCCATTAAATTTGCATACGTACATACATTTTCATTCAGGTTGAAATTATGTGTCTATGTTACTACATAAATTGAGGTATACCCGAGAACAATCGAAATAGACTTTGTTGAATCAACTAATAATAAAAAGTTGCTTTTGTGAGGAAGATTACTTTTCTCAACTATAATAATATTTTCCAATATACCCGTAAAACTTGTCTAGTTTGCTATCTATATAAACTTTAATTTGTTCGTACTTTGAAGTCATAATGATGCACGTGCTAATATCGTGCCATGCTGAATGGTCACACGTGCTCATACATATTTATCCTTGAAATTCAGTTCATTTTACATATTAATATTTAACTTATCACCAACTTTTCAAACCTTTTTCAAGATAGTTGTACAATATTTGTCACATTCAAAACTCATCCTGCTGGTCAGCAATGTACATTATGCGTCTTTCTTAATGCAAGATAAGGATGACGATCAAAAGCTGGACGGGGTAAAGTGATTGTAAAGAATTAACATCTACATATATTTTAAATATGTGCACATACGTACAGTAATTTGTATCTGGGTGCTTAAAACGAAACTAACCTAATGATCCGCTAACTCAGAAATGTCACGTTTCCGCTTAAAGTGAAAGTCAGAAATTGGCAAAAAATTCCTGACCTATAAAATGGAAGATATGGAATACATCTGTCGAGCGACATTACATTTACTCGTTTGCATCACACACAATTATTATGCATCATTTATGTATTTTGTAGCTGCACAAAAAATTCGGGATGAATAATAATAATAATTATTATTATTCAATTATAATAATAATTATTATTATTATTTTAAATGTATGCAATTGTAATTACACCACAACGGTCATGGCATAAATAATTTTTTGTATCAACCGCACATAAAAATTTTACAAATTACAATGCGCAATAAGTATCTACTCGTTCTCTCTTAGCTTTTAACACCGTTGGTTATCTCGCTAGAAGAATTGCCGTTAACAGGTACAGGGGTCGACGTCCTAGGCGTTGTCATTCCTTTCTTCTTACTTTCACTCCCGGTCTCACTTTTTTCGCCGTCGCCGTCGCCATCATCATCATCGCCACCACCGTTATCCTCATAATCATCATTTCGCGCATCGCCACCATCGTCATCACCACCTTCTTGATTTTCTTCGGAAGATTGTGTTCGTGCTTTTTGCGAAGAACGTGACCCTGGCCGAGAAGAGTTTGGAGATATGTCAGGGGTACTCGGTCCATTGGTAATTAGAACGGTGGGAATTTCTTGTTCTGCTTTTTCCTCTACTTCCTCCACCTTCACATTTTCCTTCGTTCCCGCTTCCACAACAGGTTGTGCTCCCTGCTGTTCTTCGGCTTCTTTTAGCTCCCTGGCTTCTCGGAGGGCTTTCTTCTCCGCAGCGATTTCCGTCCAACGCTCCAAGTTGCGTTGAACCCCGGCCAGCAAGGGCTCCGATTCGGGGACAAGTTTCTCCAAGAGGGAGTAACAGGGGACGCAGATGCCAGAAAGAAATCCCACCTTGAACATCAATCTCTCCTAAATCAACTTGCTCTTGTAAAATATGTGTGCCTCGTACATACATGCGCATTTTTGTGCCATAAATTCCAGTATTTTTTTGTTATTAAATACAGAAAGTGTTTTGTAACCATCATCAATTAATCGTGAGAGTTGTTGTAAGGATTTTATGGCACACAAAATGCTCCAAGATTTTCACTGATACCTGGCTCGCAGCTTGTTCGTCTTTTTTATCTCGATCCATCATTGGAATGGGCTAATGAGAAAATTATGAAATGAATAAACTATAATTGAATCGTTGAAGGAATATGTTTATAATTTCAACAAATTAACAAAGCTTCCCTATTTTTGTAAGCCGGAATTTGACTCAGAACACCTTTCTCATTCTATAAGGTCGTAGCAGAAAAATAAAATCTTACCGTTCTCCCTGCTTGCTTCTCCAAATCGCCTTGTTCTAAGGGACAAAGTGTGAAAAAAATTAACACGCTAATTATTTGACAACATTTAAAATAATCGTCAAACGAACCCTAAAAACGTCTCAACTTACCATAAAACTCTTCGAAAATTACTCGAACAGTTTCAACCTGTGCATCCCACGCCTTCGTGGATGCACACAGATCCGCTGCGGTCATAGCTATGGCTTCGATAAGGAGTCTGAAAATACACCAAAATGGCATTCATTTCACGGTGGTGAAAGTAAGCTTCTTTACTTTAAAAGGAATTCGTAGGCAGCATTAGGAGACAGGGATTATTTCATATCTTTCCCCAAATCTCTAGACAGTTAAATTCTGCCAGCAGAGTTTCACCAGAGAAAATGAAAAAAGTGGGATTGGTGAAAGTTTAAAATTTGTTTCCATCATATGCAAAATCCATTATCAAGTTTTTTAATCTAAAACCCAAACTAAAGTAATTTATCGGGAACTTTTTTTAGCTGATTCGTCGTTTAAAAAATGAGATGAATTTCTCCTCTTAAAATCGATTAAATTCGTTGTTAAGCTTGATTACACACCTGTGATCTGGAACCGTCCAGGAGAAGGCTTCCCTTTGAACCAAATCGAAAAGTCTCGCCTTGTTTGGGAAGAACAATGCCAAGTCCGTGGCTAAAATGCAATGCTTTATGTTTCCAAGAGCTTGTTTGTACTCTTCCGAACTCAACTTTGAGAATATGTTGTGGCCCTCCTGCAAGGAATCGAGGAAAGCAAGATTAAAACCACTGTCACACTGTTGGATTAAACCAAAATGAAAATTGGAAGGTTCTGCGAATAAGCTTGTTTCTGATTGACAAAAATATTTGCAATGTGTACAGTAGTCTGGTTGGCATTGATTATATGTCATTCTTGGAATGGAGGTCTCCCAGCGCATGCTCTCAGATTTTTATAAAATTATTGTCAATCGATTACGAATATTCTATTTGCGGAAGACACGATCTGCTAAATAATGCTCAGTTTGGCGGACATATTTGTATCCAAAGAGGAGAAACCAAGTGTTTAAACGTTTAGTGAAACTTAATCTGCCTCATTTTCTTACCAAAGGAAAATAGAAAGGAATGTTGTTACATATGTACATACATTACAAGGTCCCTAAAAAGGGGAAATCTTAGTGAGGTAGTGCAATCATAACTAATAAATAAAATTAGATTGCATAACCTTTGCATCACCGCTCTCAGTTCCATTTTTAACTTGTAGCATTAATCTTTTAAGTATAACACTTGCCCCCTCAAAACGTACGATGAATTTGTCTGAATAGAATATCCAAATTAATATATTTAATTAAAATTATTGATGAGTATCTTTTTTAAACAAATAAGTACGTACATAGTTCACAATTGTTTAGCCATTATATTTTGTATGTCTCAGGTAATTTAATCCACTTCTCTTTAAGTTAGACACTTAAAGTTTAAGTTTCACTTAAAGTGTTTTAAGTGTTTAAGTGTTTAAAGTTGTCAAATTTCCAAATTTCCTGTACGCTTTCTCCTCTTCTGATGCAAATATCTCTGCCCGACCTGAGCATTGGGAGATAGTGCCTTTTCAAGTTTCATATTACTTAAATTTGTGATCGATTGACACTAATTTCATCAAAATCTGCGAGCATACGTTGGGAGACCTCCATTCTGAGCTTATGAAAACAACACGACGAGTAACATCTGTACGCCATATTATGCCTGATTTTGCAATACTACACGACCCGCATGGGAATTGGTTGCTCCGTCACAGTAGTCAAAACTCAGGAGAATATGTATGCAGATAGATATAAAATCATCACTTTCATTGGCACGATCAACCCGTATATTTGGCACATGTATCCCATGATGAGATTCTCATCTACCTTTCACCACCACCACCTTTCTCTTCACTCACTCACTCACTCACCCACCACGACGATCATCATCATCCTCCTTGTCGTGACTTTCTTTCCAACCAACCAATTCATTTCCATTCGACGGAAGAGACTTGGTGATTGAGCAGACGAGCGAGTGCATGCCGTTCGGGTGAAAGGCAAATGAATTGAATCCTGATAAGGAAGGATCGGGTGCGGGTTAGTGATACGTATAAATGCTCCAGGCAGGAGAAAATTGAAATTCAATCCTGTGACCAAAATTCTAAATCACAGGTTGTAAACGGTATAATATGAAAGTCTAGATCCTCCGATCCTCCTCCTCCTCCAAATCCGTCAAATTCAACCCCACGGGCGTGAGATGAATGTTTATTACTTGCCAACCTTTTCGCTCCAATTTCTCACAAAGCTTATCTCAAAAATGGACTTGGTGATGAAATCCACACACCGTAAGGAAAAAGAGGTGGGACATACATGGTCCAATTTTGATGCTAAATTTTGTCCAACTGGATAACCAGTTATTCAAGTGAAAGGAAGAGCAGGAGAGTGAAAACTGTATCTCTCACCTGCTGCAGAATTGTGACCGTTTGGTTAAAATGGTGATGCTCCATGGTGGACGTTGTGTAAATTGATGCCAATGGAGAAGAAGAGTCCAACATGAACTTGTTACTTCGTCCCCGATGATCCAAATCGTGGCACAAGCAGCCCACAAAGAGAGCCAAACACTGCGAACAGAATTAAAGGGGTAAGCTAAGCTATCTAGTCAATTCTGGTCGTTTCGGAGGACTATTTTGAGTGGAAATTTTATTTGCTTTTGGTATGAGAGCATAATATATTTACCTCTAAAGGTCGGAATGCATTACTCTTTTTGAGGATGCAATACATCGAGTTGGCAACTGCAAATCCGTGTGTCCAGTTGTGATATGGCACTCTCTGGTCAATAGATAAATAGTTATGTTAGTTTTTGCGCGTTCTTCGTCTTTACTCACTTGCTAAATATTATGTCTCACCCGATAGTTCTTCCTAACCGTGAGGACAAACCTGTACAAGTGATCAGAGTCGAAACGGCTGAGCCCAAAGAGATCGATGAACATGTAGAGCGTGTAATGGACTTTCAGATTATCATCGACGGACATGGAGACAAAGTAATAACTGGAATAAGCACAGGAATGAAATTGATGAAATATACATTATTGTAAAAAGTAGTGGGGAATTTGAGATTATCATCTCACTCAGCCGTTCTCGCTTTTATGCGGATAATAAGCTTCCCATCACTGGACAGGGTATATATGTATGTATGCAAGTATCTGTGTTTATGGTTATGCCATTGGGCAAGTATGACTGTTACGTAACTATTATATCGTAAAATTTATAGTGCCAAAGCACTGCCCCAATTTCTCACAGGATTCATGTTATGACGCGTACTTAAGGGGTGAAAGCCCTTTATAAGATGGTTATGTCCGTCCGTCCGTTAGTTCGATAACGAAAAGACAGAAACCTGAAACTTTCAACGCTAACTTCTAACCTCAAGGCGCAGGGTCAGTTCTGAGATGGTCACTGTAGGTCACACCGGTCAGGTTTAAAAGGTCAAAAAAGGCTAAATTGCATATGTATATCAATTTGTACAGAAAATTAACCCAGCACCAATGACAACCTTTCTTTTGGCCCCAAAGGTCACGAAAAGGTCACCAAATGTTAAAGATTCTTATGTCAAAAATGTCTTAAACACGTCAGACGTGTCAATTTTAACAGATTTCCCACGGGCAAAAACAATACAATATTCATTTTCACTGCTTTCACCCCTTTGTTACACGCGTTATAACGGATTATTAGTCTTCACATTACCACCAAGTTACTACCACTGACTGACTACTGACGAATGTCTTTCTTCACACGGAGAAACTAACTTGGCGTGTGTGTAAAGAACAGAGGAGAGGAATTCTCCTCCCAAGTAGAAAACTCTTAGGAGGGAGAAACTTACTCATCCAGTCCAAGGACATTTGAGGGAACGCCATGGGCTTTGAACGTAATGAATTCATTGTCGTGGCAAGTGTTGTGGTACGAGAGAACTTCTAATGCCACCTTAAACTTTTGCTCAGATCGGCGAATCTAAACACATATAAACTCCAGTAATTATTCTTAACTCTAAATATTAATGGCTTTCCTCACACCTTGTCGTACAGTTTCGCGTGATGAAGGGCAAGACCACAGTAAACTGCGAAGGTCTGAAAGGCTTCCTCATCCTGAAAAATAATAATTTATTCATTAAGACTAATCCTCATGTATTTACATACATTTGCTTTCACCTCTTTTTCAAGGGTTATTTTAAGTAAATTTTAGTATTTAACTAACTTCTTTGGTAAAACCTCCCGACCTCTTGTTCACCATTTGGACGACCTGGTTAAAAAATAATAGTATAACAGGAGGCTAATTTAATTTCAAATTTTTCTAAATTATTCTTGAGTTAATTGTATGAAAATTTGTGTTAATGACTGTCGAGAAAATTTAATGTAAACCTCGAAACTCTTACCCCGATAACTGTGGCACGGATGAAAACTGTTGAAACAACAAAACTATTATGTCGCAATTTCCTTCCAAAATTTCAAGTTAGTTTTAGCAGAAATAGTGTACCTGGCATACAAAGTATACTTTTGGTATGATACCCAGTGACCTGATCAACTGCCCGATTGAAACGCTCATCTAAATAGGTATGAAAAAATATATGATAAATATAAATATATATATGAAAGTATATCCTTGGAAGAACTCCGCAGATGTAAACTTACCGGCATACGCATCAGAGATGTTTAGGACTTGACCTGTTGCGGCAACTTGTCCTAAAATGATATTATGATTAAAATACATGTATTTAATATGCAAATTATTCTTTTACTAATTGAAGCTTTTACCAGCTATTCCTGTTCCGATTGAGAATCTACAGAGAAAATTAATTAGCTCAATTGTTATCAAATATGGATTAGAATTAGAATTAGAATATGCGTGCTTATCTTGAGGGGATGCTTATCTTAAAATTTCGTACCTAATCTCTTTGGCAGGTTCCTTCGTATTCGCGTCCTGATTCAAGACCAAGTCTTGGCCACCACCCATGTCAAAGAGACGGGCGTAAAGCTCTTTGTTTTTATTATCTGAGGCGTGAAAGGAAAATAAAAACTGTGGCTTTCTATCCCATTTTATGCGCGTTTTACTCGGAAATTTACTCACCCAGCAAGAACAAGGAAGCTCTATCGGCGTCTACGAGTTTCTGAGCATAATTCATCACCTTCTTGATAAGCTGGAAATTAAATTCATTAAACATTCATTCATTTAATATACCACGTTGTGCAAGCTTGGCTTTAATGAAACTAGTAAACCGAAATTCTTACAGTGTCCATTGAGACCTAATAATCAGATAATAATCATCATTACATAATGAACATTTGAATAATTACATTTCTTCTCTGCATATTTATCGGAATATTTTATAACTTACCATGTCTTGAAAAATTGACCTGTAAAAGAGAAAGTTTATTCATGTACATGTATTTATTTACGATGTGGCGTCACACATATTCAAATGTTTATCACTCACTTTACGACGTTTAAGAGAAAGTCATTAAGTTTCTTTTGTTTGTTCATCACCGCATTAAGTTCCGCGTAATGCAGCGCAATTCCTGAGCAATGACGTTAACACGTGCTTACTTGCGAATTATTTATGATGTAAATTTACGAGAATTATAAAACTAACCTCCCCAAATTACGTAGCTGTTCACCACTAAAAATTTAAAAATTCATAAAATTCATAACGAACGAACTAATAAAAATGGAAAATAGAAGCTACCTTCTTCATCCTCCGTATAAAACGGCGTCCCAACATTGACTCTGTGCAGTTCTACCACCTTTAAATTATCATTGCAAAAATAAATACCCCAACAATCGCACACCTGCAAATAAATTGGCTCATTATTCCTATTTATCTCACCCCTGCGAGATCACCATCCGCCCTGATTATCGGATGACAAAGGATATGCAGAGCATTCCTGGACTCTGGATTTTCACCGAGTCCCTAGAAATAAGAAGAATTGTCTCAAAGTCAGGAAAATTTGTTTGCTTTTTAATCTCATTTCCGGTAAATTGGTAAATGGTCAGGTGTTGGGAGCAGAAATGCAGTCCAGGGCCATTTACATGTTTAATTAATTAAATGGTTAATAAATTGATTCTTATTTATTTGGCGAAAGTGGAGAAAGTTGCATTAGAAAAACTTAAATATCTCGGTTAGTTACCTCAGGAAATCGGGCTTCTGCCTCCGCCCGTGAAAGTCTTATAGGTCCACGCCTTTGTCCCGCGTAGCTCGCCATCGTCAATCCCTCCGACATGGAATATATTCTCGGCTCCACCACCCCAATCTTCTCCGTCGACGAACTGTTGCTGTTGCTGGCACAAAAGGAGAACGTCGTAAATAGAGAGATTTTCTTGACACAGAATTTCTCAACGGGTGCCGACCGACCGTCTTTGTGTCGAATTGAGGACATTTACAGAATTTTCAAAAGCAGTCTTGGTCATCCCTTTGCGCAATTTTAATGCGAAAGTGAGTCATTCTATTTTATGGACGTCATATTTTTGACGTGCCGAGAAGAAGTCATTTTTCTAAAAGCTTAGATATTTTTCTACAATGTTGCTTGCTCCGTCCATCTCTAAAGTCCCAAATGAACGGAGAAAAAAAGAAAGCTATAGCCGTAACATTTATCAAAAAAAGGATGAACCGACTCCTTCACTGTTGCACAATAAAAGTCTTTTAAAAACACGTGATAGAAATAAAATGTCTCTTTTGAAGAAAGTCGGCGAGTGAGAAATATATACGTCTCATAAATTCTGCACGGTTTTTAGTTGAGGAGGACCAACTGCAAATGAAGGCTACTCAAGAATGTCAATTATTTTGAGACACTCGAGAGATTACTTCATCTTCGTGAAATGATTTCGGGGAATAAAAGCACAAAAAAAATTGACATTGTCCCACGAGGAAATCTTATAAATTAATAAATTATTTACTTACTTGGTATTGTTGTTTGCCACGTATCGCTGCAACTCGTCCGTATTCCTGTTGCATAAATAGAGGGTAAAACTGTCCGCTGAGACGGCAGATGAGATGCACAACGCCAACTCCCACATAACCTGGATAAAAGCGATAACCCATCGATTATGCAGGAAACCAATTTGGTTACCGATAAATTCCAAAGATTACTCACACTGCCTTCTTGAGAATTTCGTTGTAAAGACTTTGCCAGCTCTGGGGAATACAATTTTGGTATAAATTTCAACCGCTGGATGAGAAATGATGTGTCTAATTTATTAAAAAGTTACCTTGCAACATATTTTTCCGAGTATCCGAACCACTTCCATATTTCCACCGGGAAAGAGAACTTTTCCTGCTGTGGGCCACCTTCTGCCGATCTATCAACCAGCACTCGAGCGTCTCCTGGTCCACGTTGCGGGTCACATATGACTCCAAAAAGTCGGGATTAGCCACCAAAAATTCCTCGACTTGATCTGAATACGGATTAAAGCATAGCAAAAAAACCAAATTAAAACACGTGGATGGCACCCTTCCACTTTCAAGTTCATTCTTTAGCAGAGAAACGCTATGCGATGCGACGTATGAGAAAATTATGACCAGATTGCGTTACACAAATCTACTTTAGCATTAATGGATATTATATGCATCTAAATATGTAAATAAGTCAAGTGCTACACATAACTATGTACAGGCTGGACATTTTATGACTAATTGTGATGATTCCATACCTGATTCTCCCTGATTTACTGCAACAGAAAAAGTGAATACCGTATATAAAGCAACTTGTTGAAGGAATATATAAATTATGTATGCGTCGATCTTGTCGATTTTTTTGCTGGTACACGATACCAACAGTGTGTCAAGTTCTTATTCTTCAACTTGTGCGTACAATTTGAAACCTTCCGTCATACATAATAAATCATGCAACATTTACTAATAACTTCTGTCCCACTTTCAATCATGCTCGGAACTGGATGCTCAGAAGGAAGACATTGTTTTGTACCCAGACAAATTATAAATTTCATGGTTCAACTGGCCTGATGAATTCCATGCAGTCGTTTTACTGCTCGTGCATGCATGCAGGCAGCCAGGACATAAAGCAGTATTTAGCGCAGCAGGCAGTGCGTCGATTTGTACTCAATATTATACGATTAATCTGCTCATGGTTTTGACATGGCTTGCCTGCCACGGGTGACTGGGAGTAATAAATGATTCGATTTTACAAGAGCATATCAACTTCACTGTGCACGCGTTTAAGGTTACCAAGTGCAATCTGTCATATTATCGCGATATTCCAGCAGCCAAAGTCGACTCAACTTTCAAACGCTACCATTTTGTCTTGGATGGATAGGAAGACAATGTTCCATTGAATTATTTCCTATCTCGGGTTAACAAACTGTTCGAAAATAAAATAAACGTGATGTCTGGAGCGCAACCATTTCATATTATCCGTTTTATGAGACTCGTTCTGCTCGATGTTGTAGCCTAGTTCTCGCTCATTTCACCAAGCCCATTTGATACTCGGTCGGTGGAACCAAACCACGGCTACGTACATAAGTATTACCACACTACATTAAATTTCACATTCGATATTCGCATCACACTATCAACTCCACTAATAGGATAATAACATAAAAGTGGGAATAAACTTGGTAAAACTAAAGCCAGACTGGCTCCGTCCGTGGATATCTATGTATGAAAGCAGTGTGTACTACTAAAGTAAAGCATAACTGTAGATATGTGTGTACAGTAAGTCAAATAATTCTAGAGGCAACTTCAATCATCGTTTATCTCGGTAAAAGATACAAATCTAAAGTTTTGCACACAGATTCTTGAGCGTTTTTGTGGTTGAGCCATCATGATTCGGTTTTAAAGAAATGTCACACAGGTCACAGGTTACAATTTTTTGACCTCAGAACCACAAAATCAGGTTACTATTAGAAAATTTTTTACCTTGTGTTTTTATAGTTATAAACCTGAGGCAACTCATTCTGAGCATTTTGATTTGCAAAACACCTCTGCAATTTTTTATAGCGAGTTTTTGAAAAGCTATAACATTGCGTTTATGGGAGAAAGCTTCGAAACCTGCGCTTTTCAAAGTACCTAGAACTATTCGACATACTGTATATATCCCACCCATCACGAGTACCCACATAAACAACACATTTAGCAGAACAGAACATAATGGGCTCGTCACGTCAAAATACAGGAAGTAAATACTACATTTGTGAAAAGTAAAAAGCGCAGAAAAATACTTTGTCAGTTTTCCTACATGCACAAAGTAATACAATATTGACACGAGTATGTACATGTTGTATTGTTGATGACACGCTTGGGAGGAGAAAACAGTCTCGTCAAGGTTGACACCATAGAACAAAATTCCAAATGTCATGACATGATAATAACGTATTATTCTCTCCCCTTCGTTGCCTGGTTGGTTGATTTACTTAGAATTCGACTCACACTATCTACAACTTTTCCGCTAAATTCTCTCCAGAACTCCGGATTTACACAAACCGTCTAATCAGCATTTCTCTCCAGTTTGTTGTGATTAGCTTAGCTTAGCGACCTGTTCACCAAACAGAGGAGGACGAGAAGCGGCAATCAGAACGACTTCATTTGTGACCTGATTGTAACCTGACTAAAACGCAGAATTTCGTAGGTTACAAGGACAAAAACATTTTCGAATTATTCATTTCGAGATGCTCCTGAATGCAATCAATTCCAGTGTCAACTTTCTTTTCAAAACCCGTCGAAATTCATGCACTTTCTTTCAATCTACAAGTGTGCCCATAATATAATTTTTCGTCATGAAACAAGATTATTACTGCGCCCAATCCCATTTCCTATATCATTTCGTATTTGTTGAATTGTGAGAGCAACAAGGAAACCAACTCAACTTTCTCTCCCCTATTAACCTCCTCCTTATCTGGAGCGTAACTAAACCGAGTTCCATTGCCAACCAACTGCTAATCTCGTCACACACGAGGCATAGTTTTCTCCACTGGCTGCTGCCTATCTCGATGTGTTGATGTGAATGGGAGAAAGTTGAAGGATGCTTTTGTCCCGACAAAGAGGAAGATTCGTATATGGACAGAATGCCTCCATTCAACCAAACGAAACCAAAAGAGAGTAGTCTTATTATTGTAGGGTGAAGCCCTATTTATGGGTTTGCCTTGTCCGTCCGTCTGTACGTGCTCAAACTATTGAACGGATTCGAATTATTTCGACTTTGGTTTTCACTAACGTGTTCCTAATTTTTGAAGCACAGAAAGCTCGAAGATGGGCGTTGTAGGTCATAAGGTCACGGCCCTATACGGTCAAAAATGGCGAATTTTTTGTTTCTACCGTTTTAGACGTGGTCCGAGGCAGGGATTTCAGAAATTGACATACTTTCGGCGTAGGATAGCCCCGTGACTGTGTAAATAAGATTAAACGCCAAAATGTCGAATTTTTAGTCTCGAGCATTTTAGGCGAAAACGAATATCCCATTTGGTTTCACCCTATTGCTACATTCGTTTGCCACGGTTTATTTATTTACTGTTGTGTGGTGCTCATTCCACTGTGAAAGAAGAACAAGTTCCTCATTTCTCGTCTCTCGGAATGACTGTACCACTTTCACTTGCTTTCTCCTCGTGATCCTACTTACTTTATTTTCGCGAAAGCGGGGACGCGCTACTGAAAAGAGTTGATTGTTAATGAGTGGTATTATATTCGAATTACGACGCAGGCAACACTTTGACCACCAGCTTTTGTCCTTTATTTGGGAATCAGGCTCAAGGGCCAAAGTGGAATTTGGATGGGTGGGACGCCACTTGAAAGGATTTCCATCAACGCCCGGCTGGCTTTCCTAATCCCAAGTATGTTACTTACTTATCAAGATTAACTTTGTTATGCAGTGCGGATGGATGGTTGGATGGATAACCAAGTAGGAATAATAATACTGCGGAGATGATACTGCGCAGTGACCGCGGAAGCGTGGGGACAGGGGGACAATATCCCCATCATCTGCCCATGTTATATAAACCCCTCCCTCTCCAATCCTACAATGTTAATGCCCCCAGATGTCCCCACAACTTCCGCGGCAACTGATACTGGATGCATAATTCTACTGATATGCTACTTATGCATATGAATGCTTAATACTCTACATAGTTGCACTTATGTATGTATATAATTAGAATTATTAAGTAAGCCCGTCTATTATGAGATTTGCATCATAAAAGTATTTATTTATTTATATTATGTGTTACATACCTTCGGAAACTTCGTTCTTAACACACGAAGCCCCCATTTTTCCAGAATGGTAATTTTGCGTTTAAAATTGAACTAAGATTCACAATTCTGGTACTCATTTGGCACAGATATTTGCATAATCACATTTCGGTAGTGGTCGATGAGTAGAAATTATACAGTAAGTAATAGTTTGTCGTAGTATGTAAAGTTTGGGACAGTTTGAGTCATTTAAATTGGATGGAACTCGATGTCATCATCATCACCGGTTCCATAATTCATTCACATATTTAATGCTATTATGAGGTTGTCAATGAAATTGCACTCGGTTCGTCCCATCCCAACAACTTGATTCTAATCACGAAATTAGTGCTTATCACATTATCAAATCTGTTCACATTCGCAGGTTTACAATCAATAAGGTCAGCAGCAGGAGGGGACAAAGGCAGTATCATATCTCCTGTCACGTGACATGTTGCAACTGGAAAAATCGGGGTCGATGAAATTATATAACTTTTCAGCTCTCTGATAACAACGAGGCGTTCATTTCAGGACTTGATTTTTCTCTGAAGTTGGTTAGTGAACGTTACACAAAAAATGTTCGAAATCGATGGATTGATTAATACTAAAACAAGAACATTGCCCAAAACTGTGAGCAAGTTTCAATTATGAATTTATCTATTTCCGTCTCATGCAAACGGTTCCAAATACGTAGCTAGCTACTCCATTTCTTTTATGGAGAGAGCACCACCAAGTTTCTGCAAACTATTTCATACATTCGCATACGTATGTACGTACGTGGTGCTAAATTCGTCAACTAAAAGATAATTAGTCCCAGTTTCTCGACAAAGTGGTAGAGCGAGTAATTTCCAATTAACAATGACCAATCGTTAATCTAAATGAAATCAGCGTCACTCCATCAGTCAAGTTGCCACTTTAGTTTTCCTCCTCCCGTGATTCCGTCCGTACTGAATTTCAACTCAACTCTTATTTTCCTTTGTTGTATCCACTATACGGAAGCAAGAGAAGCGTTATTTCGTAAATATTTATTAGGCAGGACGAATTTGCCCAGGATATCGAATCTTTCCCATTCGTTGTTGTTGAAACTTTAGCACTTTGCTTTGACTTTCATCAGTCTCTTCTCTGACCTTTTTGTTAATTGTGGACTTCAATCACACAAACTGACATCGATGGCCGGAGTTCAAAAGACTGAAACTTTTCAATTTCTGCTACCAACCAC